CGTGGCTCCATTGCAGGCAGCCGTTACTGTATTGGGTACGAGAATTAGAGTCTGTGTCTGCTGAACAGTCCTGACGGTAGCTACAATAGAGTTAGTATCTGCAAACTGACGTGTTCTAAGGGTATGCTATGTTACTTTGAGCCTTGGGTGTGCTCGTAATTCCCAGGACGATTGTTGGTGTGGCCTAAGGTAGTCAGTGTCCAACTCTAAAAAGGACAGAATGAGGGCTTCCTTACAATCACTGTTGATGTTTGGGGCACTCCAACTGTCAAGGAAACTGAGCGTTGCACCGCTATTTGGTTACCCGATACGATAATCTTCCAAGTCCCAGATGTCATCTGTGAGAATGGAATGCCGCTGGAAACAATGAGCCCCTTAATCTGATATTCTGAAACCCTTCACTTACCAAGTTGAGGTAACCTGAGCGCCAGCCGGAGTGGTGTTGATAGCAGAGCATGCGTATTCATTGCCACTAGGCGATACAAGTACTGGATTGATACTTTCGGAAGTGCAGCCTGCCATGAATTGAGTAAATAGTTCCATACGCTGAAAGAATTTCCGTACCTTGAAAGACAGTGATGAAGCTAAAGTATTGATTTGACGATCCATCAATGTAGTAAGAGCCTCCATTCGAGTAGTCAACACCATAACTACCACAGTCTGCCCTTACAGTCAATGCCATCGCCAGGGCTGCCAGTGTCGCCCATATTGGTCGGAAGTATACACCCATTGTAACTCTGTGGGAGAGCTTTGGCCGGTAACCGTTTCGTTGAGGTGAGCGATCTCTCGACTCAAACTGGTGTTGGGCGTTGGTCATTATGTAGGGACGAGCTATAGTAGAGCTTCGAAAGCTATCAGGAACCTCAAAGCTATCTAGATTGTTTAATCAAAAAGTGTTTACCAAGAATAGCGTAATAATGCTATCAAGCGATCATCTCAAGCAAGATAAATCAAAGTTTTGGCGGTAAGCTCCAGTGACCCGGCGAAGACCTGGTGATTGTTTACAGAGCGAGCGAAGAGCCATATTGCAAAGTGATGGTCCCATATTGGCCTACATTCAGCCTGTGGTCAAGCGGTTCCCGGGAACCAAGACGGACAGCGACTTGATGGCGACTATGGCAGATGAGGAAGACAAGGAAGCGAAGCGATTAGTCTAAGTTGACAAAGCTAGCGGCAGCAAGGAAGGTAGAAGCTCAGCTTCCCACAAGGTCACCACTGGGCAATGACTGGAACAGTCTACTGGTAGCACTTGCTCAAGCCGGTTCTTCGCAGTCAGGCACTTGGATCAAGGTAGAGTGGGGGACAGCAATATGCCCCAATTCCGCGACCTACACATCTGGTAGTTTGGGAAACGTCCCAGGCGAGAGGCACCACTACCACCCTGGTGGTGAAATGTTGCGAGGGGATCCCAGTCTGTCTCTCATAAGGGCGACTACATAAGCTTTCCTGTCAAGTGGATGAACGGTTCAGCTGTAGTAAATTGCAGTCTCTCTGATAGTCAAAGGTGCCCGAAGCCCAGGATCACCGAGAACACTAGACAAGGATGAGGTCTAATCTTGCGAAAGCGTGCAGAAAGTGTGCCAACCATGAGCAAAGCATTCTGCTCATTTCTGCCTATATGCATTCATCATTCATTAGTTTGCGGGACACAGGAGGTACTTTTGGACTCTAAGCTCTCAGTGACGTGAGGGAAGAAATGCAGGGCAATCCATTGAAATCTCCGAGGCTCCATACTGTGCATTCCGGGTCGTTCAAATAGGTGAGAGATATCCGAATGTGAGGCTCGATCTCAGAGTAGCTTCGGATGTAACCTACGATCCCATTACCAGACGCATATACTAATCGAACGACATTCAATAATGATCAGGCTCTCAACGAGAATACTCGAGTTGTTTGGTAAATGATGAAGCTCAATTTCATGGGAAAGCCCCAGGGGAAAGTGCGGTGGATTGTTCGCTGTGGCGCATATGCTGACGCAGAGCAATAATAGCAGAGAAAGTTATGATTGTAATTACTGCATCGATGTCAGGATCAGTTGCCTTAGATTCCGAAGGAAATTGCAAGCAGTCAGTTAGAATGCTTGGCGTAGCGGTTGTGGACTGAACCGTTATCGAAGATGTGCGTCATAGCAGACGAGATATAGCAGACCAGTTGAGAAAGACGGTACGGGATGTAGCAGCGGCTGGAGATCTCTCTCTCACCTGGCTCGATGATGAGTGGAACACTTGTCTCTGTGATATTGGGTTTGAACCTGACACGATTCTCGTTCATTGTCTTTGCCCCAAGAGCAATGGTCAATATACGTCAAAGCGTTCTGCTTTCGTAACGACAAGGACATGGGATGACTGGTTACCTGGGACTTCGCCATGACCATAGCCCAGCCTTGTGATGCACGGAGTTGCAAGGCAGAATGTAGCCAGGCACCGGCCGGTGATTGGGGCTAATGGCGGCAAATTTCAATTCGGCTGTGTCCAAGAGAGGATCACACGGGACGGGTTGAGAACAACCACTTCAGGTCTCCTTGGCACTCCGACAATGGGCGGTGACACTTGATCTCCAGCTGCCAGCGAGTGCTAGCCTCCAGATAGGAGACTTCACCTTCAACTTTAACCGCTCCGACCAATGACACTTAACCCTTCATCGTCAGCACCTAGCATAGAGTCCGACCTCTAGTACAATCTATTTTATTAGACTCGAGGACTGATTGGATCATTCTTGGATAGAATACAAAGACATAGAACTCCGCAAGTCTGGAAAGGCTCTTCGCCCAGGCGTGTACGCCCTCAAGCGCTGGAGCTACCTTTTGATCATGCGCAACACAATTGCCTGTCCTCGTAGGCAAGCACTGAAGGCTTTCGTCGGAGAATTTACTCATGCATGACGTGGGCTATGCAGCAAACATGCCTCCACGGGCCCTCCGACGGCCCGGTAGATCTCAACTCGCCACGGTTAGGAGGGCGGTGGGTGGCATGCCGGATATAGCATTGCTATTATGAGCTATCAGAGGTGTGGGTTATGGGTTCGTACCTGACACCGCGCCAGGAAACCAGATCCGGTGAACCTTTTCAGGTACTCTTCTCCCACGTTGACTACAGTATGGACTACTGCAGATACCTGAGTTACCGGTGCTACTTATCCATGATCCCATGGCGAGTCTGACTTGTATGCGGTCAATTGTCCGGCAATCTAAGTTTAGGCGTAGCTTCAGCCTCATTCGTCGATTGGCGACACCGAGGATATATTAACAACACCAACACGGCAAATATATTAGCTCGTCCACCATATGGGACAAGACGAAGAACCTGACGCTGCATGATATATTAGCTCTTCCACCCGGCGCGTACTGTCATAGCCATGTCCAGGAAGTATGGTCTAAAAATAGTCTTCTAGGTAACTAAAGAGTAGAAGCCCGGACGCCATAGTCTTGGTATACGAAGAAAACTACGAGGATGGGTAGTCCGACATATTCGGGCTAAGTTGAGGACAAAGAATTGGGCAGATCAGGTTTCTCGACTGCATCGAATTTGATGCTGTTGATGTTTTCAAGATCGATCCTCCCTATGATAACCTGATCGCAGGTAAGCCTCAACTCATCGATCTCTCAGCTCCTGTAATTCGATTACTCTCTCTATTGGAACAAACAGACAGACAGGTGAGCAAAATATGCCTACCAATCAGTAGTAAGTGTTCTAAATGTATGAGGCACCCAGTTCCAAGATAGCCGTGCCTGGTCCGGACAGCCAAGAGAACTGAGGAATGGGCATCAGTTGTGTCCATAACTTAGACATACAGGAAACTTGTACTTTCAGAAAGCGGCCGCTAGTCTCTGTGCCATTTGGCTAGTTCTTCTCTGATGACTGTGATTCTCTAAGTAAAATCATTCGCCGTCATCGGAGACAATTTGACCCATGCACTCCTTCGATTCGGATTTACCACCCACTTCATGGTGTACGATCTTGCTATCTTGTTGATGCTGTTATCATTAAATCGTGATCTTCCACGACAGGAATTTATCTCGGATCCAAAATCGGGCGGTTTGAGTACTTCTTGAGCTTCTATTTGCGAAAGGGGGTGAGAAAGCTGTGCGACATGAGGCATGTCATGCGATTCCGCCTGCCTTCTTTTTTTCCTGGTGGTGTTCTCTTCATTAGCCGCGATAATACCAAACCATATCTCTGGTACTCGGCCTTGACGACCGGCGGGTTGGCAGCCTGTCCTGGCCATGGTAGTGGCCGTTTGTTTCTATCTCAGGCAAATGAGTAACGTTTCTGACGGGGCGCTCCGTTCGTCATTCCTACCGCTTAAGGCCCACAGCCTCAGCAGTCACCGACGTGAGACGAAGATGCCGGTACTGCATAATGTATGGTGCCGACAATATCTGTAGGGCAGAGGAGTCTCGTCCTGTAGGGTGAACACTCGTGAACAACCTCCCATGTTTGGTGTGCCTAGTCTCGACTAAGCCATCGCAACACCTCGCCTCGCACATCACTCGCCCATCAAAAAAAGGGTTTCGACTGTAAGAAAGACCAGTTGACGCATCCTTCTGCTGTCACGTAACCAGAAAAGGGCTCGCTCCGATTGGCAGTTTCCCACGTCCCTGACGATGACGCCGGGACTCGTGCATGGTCGTCACCTCATCTGCGCCACGAAGGCTTCTATTTGGCCTCCTGTTGCTGTTCTGGAATAGTTACACGAGTGAAGACTCTGCAGAAGTCAGACTCTCAAGGCTGGCATCATGAAGGAGTTGGCGACCTCAGCCTCAGTCAGGGCATTCTGCCTCGTATTTCAAGTGCGCTCTAAATCTATATAACTTCATCGAACTCCTAGATCTTGAGTATGGGTTCATCACAAAAGCAAAGTCTCAATATCTAGACACGTTTCTTTTCATATTTCCTTGCGTCCTAGCTTTTTTCTTCTTTTCTTTCGTCATGTTTCTTCCGGGTCTTCTTTCGGGCTTTCTGCCCGGTGTAATGTTTGCTGCTCTAGCATCTGCCAAACCTATGCCAAATCCACAGGTAGCTTCTCGCGCTATCGTGACTTGTGGCCAAAACGAGGCACACAACCGCGCGTGCTGGAAGAACCGTTGGGACATCAACACCGACTATGAAAACATCACCCCGGATACTGGCAATACTCGGACATTCGATCTGAGGATTACCAATGTAACCGAGTTCGCACTAGATGGCGTTCTACGGAGGGCCATGTTGATCAACAACCAGTACCCCGGCCCCGCCATCACTGCTGGTGAGTCTTCATTCAAACAGGGAGTAACTTCAAAGGCTGACCTTCATAGATTGGGGTGATATGCTCCATATCACTGTTCACAACGAGTTGACAGACAACGGGTACGAACTCAACTCTATTTTCACGAAGTTTACCTGCTAAAATCAAATCTTAGGACATCCATTCACTGGCACGGCATGAGACAACTTCACACAAATAACCAAGATGGGGCAAACGGTGTCACTGAATGCCCCATTCCTCCCGGCGAATCGAGAACCTATAGCTTTCGCGCAACGCAATACGGTACCTCGTGGTATCACTCTCACTTCTCGACTCAATATGGCAATGGAGTTGTCGGCCCTTTGGTCATCAACGGCCCTGCTAGTGCTGATTACGACCTCGATCTTGGGCCGTACGTGGTCTCGGATACATACCACTTCACCTCAGATGTCGGCATGTTGATGGCGGAGATGGCTAACAAAGCACCTCCCAAGTCTGACAATATCCTTTTCAACGGACAAAACATCAATACTGCTGGCGAAGGGGGCTCATACAACAAGATGACTCTGATCAAGGGCAAGAAGCACCGACTAAGAATAATCAACACCTCTGTTGAGAACCATTTCACTCTGTCTCTGGTTGGGCACAACTTCACGGTCATCGCAACCGACATGGTTCCGGTTCGCCCGGTCGTCAAGTCACAGATCTTTGTCGCTGTTGGTCAAAGGTACGATGTGATCATCGATGCATCTCAGGAAGTTGGCAACTATTGGTTCAACGCTACCTTAAGCAAAGATGGTCTCTGCGGAGCATCCAAAAACCTATTCCCAGCCGCCATCTTCTCCTACTCCGGCGCGGACGATGACGTACTTCCAACGGATCAAGGCACACCAGTCACCGCCGACTGCCATGACACAACTGGATTTGTACCGGTGGTGTCCCGCACCGCATCGCTTGAGGATTGGCAGGACAACAACAAAGAGCTTGACATTAACCTCACCACGGTTGTTACAGGCAGAGGGCGGGTCTTTCAGTGGCAAGTCAACTCCTCGGCAATGGACGTCACGTGGGAAAGGCCGATCCTCTCATACATCCGGGAGGGTAACACCTCATATCCCACAGCCGGCAACGCCATCAGCCTCGACAAGGCCAATGTCTGGACCTACTGGGTAATCGCCAACATCGTGGGTTTGCCTCATCCAATCCACCTTCACGGCCACGACTTCCTCGTGCTAGGCACCGCCGACAAGGGTCACTTCGATCCCGCTGCCGACATGGACAAGCTGAACTTCAAAAACCCCGTCCGTCGCGATGTTGCCATGCTGCCGGGCGGCTGGTTGGTCATTGCTTTCAAGACTGACAACCCTGGTGCGTGGCTCATGCACTGTCATATCGCGTGGCACGTCAGCCAGGGCCTCAGCGTACAATTCCTTGAGAGGACGAGCGAGATTGCTACTGCCAATGATCTGAGCCAGCTCCAACCGTAAGTTACCCCTGGAACCCAATCAGTATCCTGAGCAAGACCAGTCACTGACAAGACCTACAGAAATTGCGATTCCTGGAAAACGTACCATGCCAAAGCCTTCTACCCCAAGCTCGACTCGGGTTTATGAGGATTCAAGCAGTTTCAATTACTTTGATTTATAGACCGGCGAAAAGGACCAAAGAATCATACAAGGGGTTGGGGTAATAATGCATTGGAAGCATGGCGTTACTTGGAAGAGGTCTCGTGAATGCTTTGCTCTAGAATTTTTACTTATGTGATTCTGGGTAACGGCTTCAACTCATATATTTTAGATTTCATTTCAACTAGACCAAGGGTACCTGTTCAGCATTGTTTGGCGGATTTAGAATTGGAGTTTGAAAGGTGTTTAGCATTGCATTTGAAGTGGAATATGTACTTTCACTTCCGGGAGCTTTGATATCAAACATCCGTTTTTGCAAAATCAGACAGACACTAGAACTTACGTAGACCTATGCAATGCATTAGACTTTATTATATGCCTCGTTCTTGGGTAACAATCAACCTCATGAAAGGTCAGGTGTGTTGTCTTACACAGATTGTAAGACAGTCATGCCGTGCAGTAGCCAATGCTTACGCCCCTATGATAGAGGTTAAGCCACATGTCGAGCTTAAATGAACCTTAGTACCACCTCGTTATACATGAGTGATTCTTTGAACGCATTACGTGGCCATGAACGAGCCAGTAACCTCATATTAACAAGCTCTTGATCTCTCTTCTCCAACAGCCGTCCGCGGCAGCTCGTCATCCAAACACAGGCCTGGCCGAGTTTCCACCTGTTGGCGGTGGTGGCCGTTGAGCAAGGTCAGGCTCGTAATAGCCCCGCAGTTGGCTTGTTGCCTCTGAATCGCCGCCGTTCTCAATTCCTTTGGCAGGAGCCTCAGGTGCATAGTAACCCTCGATCTCAGGAAACGCCTGTGGTTGTTGTGCCGCCTGTTGGACGCCCCGCGACGCCCTTTGAGCGGCACGAGTCCGCCTTGATTCTCTGCCAATATATGCCTGGAACTCTTCGTCCGTCATGTGTGAGGTGTCTTGGACGGCAATCTGCTCCCGCTGGCGTCTTTTACTCCGCCGATGGATCCTAAGCCAGGCGAAAATGCTGAAGGAAATGGCCATGACGATGAGCAATGGGATGAGAATATAGTAGGCCAGATCCATCTAATGGCTCTAGGGCGAAGACGAATGCAGTCTTTTTTGATAGAGTAGGTGGAAGACGGCAAGACTACCGCCTGGGTATTGCACTATGCCTGCGACCTGGAGACTGCCATGCTTCATAGCAAAATGCAGATGAAAGTCTGAGTTGTGAGATCTTGAAGAAAGCTGTTCTAACTCCTGAAAACCGTGTTACGCGTCATGCCAGGATCTCTCCTCATTTGTCTTTATGATGGCCAGCTTTCTTGCATGAGCAGCGATGTGATTTGGCCCAAGTTGGAGACTGAACACGAACTGGCGTGAGGCGTAGCCCAATATTTGACCCCTGAGCCAGGTCAATTGGCCAGGCTGCAATGGCCCTGTACCCAAATGCTGTTAGTAGAAACGTAGAGAATGTAAACGAACACTAACAAACAAATCGCTCTGCACCAGTACGCTAGCGATGTCATCTCCTGCCCGCTGAGATGCCCCACTCCGAATAATCAAACCCCGACCCAAAAGCGGACACGGCAGGGCCGTTGTGCAACCTCAGGCCATCCCACTCCCAGGTCCCCGGAAGAACTGCCCCCTGTTCAGGATGCCCCTGTCCATGGATGTCGATGGCCTGGACGTCCTCGTCTCTGCCGTTCCATTGACCTCCGACGCCTTTGCTCCGTTCGGCGAGCTTGTCGAGAACCCAAGGCCGGACCTCCATCCCTCACAGCACCCTGCCGTCGCCGATCCCGGCGGCGCAAAGGCACAGGCACCGCTACCCTTTGATGCCGTGTCTGCGAACCAGGGCTCTGCTATCAAGTATCAGCATGTCACCCGCATGGTCAACCTGTATGGCCAGGCGCCCAGCAAAGCACCTGGGGAGGCCGTCATGAACATGTTCACATGTGCGGCGCGCAAGCTCCAGCGCCAGCGCCAAGGCTCGGAACCGGCGTCCGGCAGTGAAGGTTATTTCAACGTCCGGATCCTCGAACGGCACCCCTACACCACGCAGACCTTCAGCCCTCTGGCAAAGGATCCTAATGCGCGGTATCTTGTCGTCGTAGCACCGTCATTACCGCCTAGTGACGCTGATGCCGCCCTTCCAGTCCCCTCGTCTGGCGTCCCTCATGGGCGATCACAGGTTCTCCCGGGACGTGGGCTCCCAGATCTGCGTCGACTGAAAGCCTTCATCACCACAGGTGCCCAGGCTGTGACGTACGGGGCGGGAACGTGGCATGCACCGATGGTCGCTCTCGGTCGTAAGGGTTCCATCGTGGATTTTGTAGTCGTACAGTTTGCGAACGGCGTTGGCGTTGAGGATTGCCAGGAGGTCATATTCACGTCCTCGTCATCAAAACAATCCCCGAGGATATCTGTTCATATTTCACAAACGGCAAGGGAGTCGAAATTATAATCAGTGGTGCCAAAATCCACATCGAGGGCATTCTACAAACATGTCACATCATGAACTCAGGGTTTTTTTTTTTTTTTTTAATAATTATATTTAATGTTGTTACATGGTTGTACAAAACAAAGTTGTCATAATGTTCTGGGGGCTCCCCCCCCCCCCCCCCCCCNNCCCCCTCCCCTTCTCCTCCCCCGGTGGTAGTACAGATTTTTTCAGCTCCTAGGGCACTTTGGTTAGAAGAATCCATGATGAGGTAGCAGCCTGTTAACTTACCAAAAGGAGCAACACAACGCAAAGCAAAAGGACTCCTCTTCACCGCAATGGAATCTCGACGGATCGCGGCGCGAGACTAATTGTAGAACCGCTGCTCCGGAGAGGCAGCTCGCCCCCCCGAGCCGCTCAGGTAGGATTCGAACTGGCCGTAGGTGCCTGGCCAGCACACCTCACGCCAGTCCGCAGCGGTCTCGCGATCAGTCTCGCGCTGCGATCCGTCGAGATTCCTCAACTTCCACTTCCTGATACATCGAGCGCAAGGGGCGTAGCCGTCACATGGTTGATGTGAATACTTGCAACTTGCGCAGCCGACGCGTCGAGTGTAGGTGTCATCGGTGTAGCCTCGATCCCGGCGATCGCCCTTGAAGTCCTTTGGCACATTGATGATGGATGGCTGGACATACACCTTTTGGTCGTAATTGCACATTTTGTGTGCGAATCCTGGGTTCTTCTTGCTGGTCTGCATACCCTTGCATCCGCTGCATGGATGACCACCATCGCAATCCCACCCCTCCTTGGCGCAGTGAGAACATCTCTGGTCCAGAGGAACGGGGTTTTGAACAATGGGACGATGAAGCTTCTTCCTGGCGATAGGGTTCTGGGCACTGTGATGATCGTGGTCGTGGTGATGACCGGCGTCATGATCCTCATCGATAACCATCTCATCCCAAAAGGCATCGTCCGGTCTCGTCATATTTAAGTACTCGGTTTGCCCACGCACACGCGATGACCGTCTGGCTGGCATGCTGGCAGCCGTTGCCTCATCAGATGTGGATGGAACAAAATCAGGGTCATACTCATTGCGTAGGGGCCAACCAACGAGGCCGGCCGAAGAGTGATGGCCCCGGTTCTCGACTTCATTAACCTCGTTGACACCGTACGCATCGGCATTATTCTCATCAGCGTTCATCTCGTTGTCCTCATCGGCATCGCTCTCATTGGCGTCCATCTCGTCGTCCTCATCGACGTTTTCTGCTCCGCTGCGATCCTCATGGTTCGCTATACCGTTATCGTTATCGTTATCGTCATCGTCATCGTACTCATCATCATCATCCTCTTCTGAGGGCGAAGACGGGTTATTATGAGCGAGACGATTCTCAGACGCGATGAACTTCTCTCGAGAAATACGGATCTTGCCGGCTTCCACGGGCTGCTTGGAGAACTCGGCTGCGCGGCCAATGTATTGACCCTTGTCGGTATCAATATCCGTGCTCTTTTCATTGCCTCGGGGAGAACGATTTACCTTCTTGGGAACCTGGCCATTTACGACGAAGGGATATGGATTCTCCTCACGCGGGCTAGATAACTCCTCATGCATGTGTGTGTCGTCTGTCTCATCGGGCTCTGGACTAGACTGCGGAGCGGGACGTCGAGGGCCCATATAGCCTCGATCGGCAGGCTGCGGGTACGGCGCGGATCCTCGAGTTTTGCCACCCATGATTCCTGTCTTCTCTGTAGTCACAGCGAGAGTTGGGATCGAGGAGGCTGTCGAGGCCAAAGGAGGGTGAGATGGGGAAGGTGAAATTGGGGCAGGCGGAGGTCGCGAAAAAGAGGGTTGAAGAAGTGAGGTTTCACTGGAAGCGGGAAACTGTGCAGTGAAGTTGGTTTGAGGATGAGAGGAACGCGAAGTTGTGGGTTGACGCGTAGGTGCTCTGGTGAAGCGTGTCTGGTTGCCTGGATAAAAAGACGAGGTATTTGTACCTGACGACTTTCGAGTGGTGTTTGTGTGGGCAGACGGGGAAGCACTTGTTGTGCGGTCTCCGGGGTGTCCACCACCTTCCAACCGGGATGAGTTGCCACGTGCTCCGGAAGCTTCCTCGACATTTGACATCGAAACTTTGCCCTGTTTAGACCATATTTCCTCCTCTATTGTGTCCTCGCAAATAAAGTATCGGATATGGACAAACTTCTTCTGACCCCGGCGAAGACAACGACCCTTGGCCTGCCTCATGATAACTTCAAATTCATGATCATCAGCTTCATGCAAAGCAGATGGAAAGAGAACATGATTCGCAATTGTGAGGTTAGCTCCCGCAGCCTCAACCTGCCCAAGTCTTAGAAGTAAGACCTTTGCACCTCCCTGCTTGAACTTTTCAAGATCATTCGAAGTCAGACTGCCCTCTTGCCCGCCCAGGAAAGTGATGCCATGGGATTTCAGAGCTGATGACATTTGATGTCTCAGGACGTCGAACTGCACAAAGATTACAACATGATCCTCTGCAGGGGTCTTCTTGATGTAGCTGATTACTGCCTGTATCTTGTTGCTCTCCCTGATGTCGATTTCAGCATTTTCGATGGCATGTCGTGGCTCATGGAGTTTCGAGCAAGGAATAGCGGGAGCAGCACGCCACTTCGTGTTGCAACCTCCGACTGGGCAGATCTTGCTCGAGTTTGAGGCGCTTTGGTTGACCATATTGCATGACTGGCAGAGGAAGTGGCCACAATTTGGCAACAAGAAGCTTTGGTCGAGATCCTCAATCTTGACTTGACAGAAATCGCATGAAAGATCGTCTTGGTGTCCTTGAGGGACGTCTTGTCTCTTTTGTAGTCTCTTGACGGAGAGTATGAACTTGTATCTTCGTAATGCGTCTATGAACGCCTCAAGTCTGTCACGGAAAAGTTCGTAGAATGTCATAAGATCGTCTACAGAGGCTTCGGTCTCGCTATTATTGCGTTTGACTCTGTTGCCGAACTTCGGGTATCTTCTCGCTCCCTCAGAACGAGCTCGTTGCTCCAGATAGTCATCCAAAGATGCAACGCCTTTCTCATGACTGATGATCAGATTCCTGAGATGCTCGTTGGTCCTGGACTTCGTGGTAGGCTTAAGACCCCTCTTACTGCATTGGCGCAAGAGTTCATCTTTGCTCAGGTTATTGAGCAGGCCAGTGAGCTTATCCTCTTCAACAATACTAGCAGCATCCTCTTTCTCCTTCAAGCAGGCTAAAATGAAATCCTTCATGGACTTTGCTGTACCTGGTGGAAGATCACCAGTCAATTGACCCTTGAATGGCTCGAGACATTTTCCCAGCACAAGAGGGTCTACATCTCGATGATTGCTTGGGAACACTAATCCGTGACAGGAATGCATTCCCGTCAAATCTTGTGCTTTATCATGACGAGACTTCCAGTAGGCAGAATCTATGAAAAGTTCGCGCAGCTCGTCTGAAGAAAGCTGCTCAAGCTCCTCAGATGTGATGGTGTAATAGTCCAGAGCAGAATGTCTTCCCCGTCCGCTCTTGCTGAAATCCCAATTATCCAGCGAGGGTTCCGGCCGAGTCCATTCGGGTAGAGTCTCGGAGACATCTCCGGCCGTAAGACAGTTCAGTACAACTGTTCGCAAAAAAGTATCCTCGGAGTACGTGCCATTCCGTCTCAGCAGCTTGTTGAATGTCTCGTCCGCAAGCTCAATGCTGGTTTTCGGCTTGTCCCACTGGGAAGCAACCTTGAGTTCTTCAACAGACTCGTCCTCAGCCATCTGGGGGGCCGTTCGGGTAGGTTGCTTGGGACCCTGTTTTGTGTTCAAGTGATGAACTCTATTCCGAAGCCAGACCATCAAGTCAAAGGTCGCCTTGATCTGCTTCCCAATGTCTTGGACGTTTTTGACGCAATACTCGGCAAGTTTATTGAGAATTTCAGTCGGGTTATAGGTCTGTTTAGAGTTGTCAAGAGTTTTGCCGTGCATGAAGTGTTCCAAGTTACATGAGGCAGTCATGATGCGGGCTTCTATCGCATTACTCGCTAAAACGACCTTCATCTTCTTGTCCTTCTCAACAGTGTAGGTCGCTAGGGCGTCCTGGGCTGCCTCACTCATACAGTAGATGTCAGAGTTACTGCAGGACAACTCCTGTTTGAGTTCCAGGTTCATCAGCTTAGATGCGAGGTTCATTCTGACGATAATGACCCGCTCTTTGTGCGCGAATTTGTTGAAATCAACTGTGTTGCAGCTCATAAAGTTCTTGACAAAGCTGATCCCTTGCTCATACTGCTTGTACGTGAAGTCAATCGATTTGATTGCTGCGTAGGATCGAAACTTTTCAGGTTCCGTCTGCTCTGTCGGCTCATTTGAAGTGACGGCAGGCAAACCTGGCATTCGATTAGCTTCAGGCGAAGCCACATGGACGCCGAAAATACGGGCCATCATGCAGACATCCTTCAAACTCTGCAACGGAGGAGTTCCTGAAAGGAGCCACTTGGAATCGGCAACAAGGCCGACCACGAACTCGTGGTAGTAAGGGACACTCTTTGTCTTGACATAGGAGTACTCATCCACAATCATCCGAGAAAACGCGAAACATTCAAGTGGGAGGATGATCTCTGAATTTGTCGGCGCCTTGTGGTGCAGGTCTTCCTCCCCGTCATCATCCTCATCGTTATCCGCTGCTTCAGTCTGCTGGTTATAAGTCTCGTCACGAGAAGGAGGATGAAGGATCAGATTCCTCAATTCGCGAGCGCGTAACTCGTGCTTTTTGGATTGTGCCTGCACAGCTCTCCGTAGGGCTAGGTCGCTCTCCCCTGACTTTATCCACTCCTAGATGATGTCCCTCAGGGAGGAGCGAGCTCGTTGGTTCCAGGTCTCGTAGCTTCTGGCCGTGTACTTGCCGAAACGCTTCTGCCCAGAAAACCCGGCAATCAGATCAACATATTTCTCGTTGAACAAACTGTCGCTGACCAGCACGATGTTTGCTTGTCTCATCTTTTGAATTGTGATACGCTTCAAGTCATTGATTGTCTTGATGCACTCAACTGCCCATTGACGCGAAGAAGATTGAAGTTTAGCATCGATCTCAGATGCCCATTGGTCCATGATGGTCGCTGGAACCACGATGAGAGTAGCTTTCAGATGAATGCGAGTCTCAACAGACTGTGATACTCGTCCGCCGTCCTGATCATAACTCCGCTCTGTCAAATCCCGGGATTGCCGGATACTGCTCTTGAGTTGATCGTGGTCCCATTGAGAGTCGCAGACCGCAAGGCATAGAATAGTCTTTCCATAACCAACGTCATGGGCGAGCACTCCACCAGTGCTGCCCCAATATTTCCCATCGTTCTTGCGGCTCACTGTCGCCATCACTGACACTCCAAGATCCTGCGAAAAACACTCAGAGAACTCTCTCTCCTCGAATGGCGCGGCATATCGCTCCCGGCATATCATCTTGCCAAGGGCAATCACCTGATCGGGATCGAGCGTGACTTTGTTATCTTTGAAGGACTCCATCTTATCAAGGTGTTCCGCAATCAAATTCTCTCTAGACCTGGCGTACGGGATATTGAGACCGTCTTCATTCAGAGAGAGGACCTTACCAGCTGTAAACGCCGGTTTAAGGAATGAGCTCAAGCTGTGGAAAGTCTTGCAGGGCGACAAATACGCAGCATCAATAGCAATGGAGCCAGTTGCTTTTTCACGAATGAAGTCGCTGTGACGATCAAGCCGAGAATTGTCCGCCAGGTTTTGAAGCGCCAGATGAATAAGAAGCTCTGGATTGGCTGTAATTCTGGTCTCAATACTTCGATGCTTATTGGCCTTGAATGTAACGCCAAGTGCCGGAGGAAGACTCTTCATCGCGTCCATGTGCAAACGTGCCTGATTCTGGTCCTCGTATGGGTAATAGATTCGCTCCTTGATCTGCTTGTCAGGGTTGAGCTCCACGAACTCTACCTTCGGTACGGGGGGCGGCATTCTAGCAGTTTTGGTTGCTTCTTCGAGACGAAACTCGATGGCTTGGCCCTGAATGTAGCCAGGGAATCCTTCACGTGGGAGCTTGAGCAAGAAGAGATTGATGCTCTTCGCAAAGGCCGGGATACGGCCATTGCGCACACGGTACCACCCATCCTCCAGAGGACGCGATCCGGCCTTAAGCAGTGCAATCGCATCGTTGGGATCATATCGCAGCTTTGCTTGAAAAGCAATGATGGTACGATCGCTGTCGTTTATAGTGGCCTCGCCTTTGCTGAACGAAGCTCTTGACCCAACATGAACCTCCGCCTCTGTGAAAATTTGTTGTGTCCCCTGCAGTTGATCACCATTGCCGGGCGCGAGGTCGTGAACGGATTCATGCGAGATGTCATTAGTATCGAGAATGATAGAATTCTTATCCATGGGGATCCAATGACCGTCGATGTAAGACTTGACTTGAGCAGGAAACTTCTTGTGAAACTGAACATTCGGGTCAAATCTCATCGAGACCTCCCGGTATTCACGAGATTCAAGTTGACGATGAGCCCGCGCTATCACAAATTGATCTTTGTCAGCGGACCGGAAGGGTCTGCAGTCCTTGAAGAGATAGTTGTCTGTGGTATCGGCTTTATGAAGCGCTCGTTCTGCTGTGCCACAGTTCGCCTTCTTGCTGTATTTGAGACCTAGATCCGACAATAAGTCCTGAGAAATCTTCTCACGGTATACCTCAGGAATATTTCCGGGCAATTTGTTGAATGCGTCCTCAGTGAACCTGAGCCGAATGTCCACGCCCTCTTGTTGTGTAGCGTGCATCTTGAAGGTCAACCGGTTTGCCTTCCACACCTGCCATTCGTCATGAAGGGTTGGCATGACGCTGCGCTTCGGTCCTTCAAGATCTGCAAAGCACACAGCCCGGGCAATTGGCTGTTCAAGCTCGAATGCCTTATTCTGATGTTTGACCAAATCTGATGCTGGATTGACCAGGATGTACCAGGTAACGGTCGTGGCCGTTCCCTGCTTCGAGACCACTGCTTGAAGCAGCATGTGCTGCGAACGATAGTGAACAGTAATATCCTCCGTAATTGTGATGCCATCAAGGTAGCAGATAGGGCTGCTGGAATGCATTGCATTCAAGAGGTCCAACACCGTCATGCCCTCCTTGTTGTCCTGTGAGCTCAGATACTTTTGACAAGATGTGCTCAAAGTCTCATGGTTGAAACGAAAAGTGAGCGCTCCGGGGAAATAGCTTGCTAATCTTCTCTTCGTGGATTCAGGAGAGATCAGCCGCGGGACATGCGCGTGTGCGAACTTGTGTCTAGGATTTCCAGCACATTGTCCACAGGCAGTTTCACCACAGTCTTCGCATACACGAATGTCAGGTAGCGTAGCAAATGTATCGTGACAGAAGCAGTAGCGGCGTCCTGAAGTAAAGACATCTTTGAATGAGCTATCGATCACACGATACGACTTTGGTGACCACAGGATGACCTCTCCTTCAGGCTGTGAAGGGGCTTTGCTTCCCTCGGATGAGTTTCGCTGAAGGCCGTCCTCACATGTGTCAGGGGACACTCGCTTGACGGATCGGGGTGCATGAGAGTCAAGAGCAACAATCATTGACAAGATTGAAGCACTGGCGACTGTTGCAGTCATGGCATTCCCAGCCAGATCTCGCAGTTGCGCCTGAGTCTCACTGGACAGCAACAGATCGTCGATAGGAATACCTTGAAGATGCAACGCCTCACAACCAGTGATTAGCCGTTGCTGGTTGGTCAAGAAAGGTAGGCCATCTGGAGTGATGCACCCGATGCCACCGATATCATTCCCATCAATCTTGAGTCTGGGCACTCTATCGGCATTCTGACTAAGGTCCACAACCAATACCTTGTAGGTTATGTCGCAGTCTCTCGTCAGACCGATAGCATAGACGATATCGATCATGTCCAATACACGAACGGGCTGGCTGCGAATCCACGCCCTATCACAGCGCTGATGAGGCTCCATGTAGGCCACACGGGATCCGACTTGCTCGATGTGGTTCAAGGATGGTGCGTCATCGGGAATCTTGTAGAACCGTCGTACATTCTCATGTCGAGTTTTCGACCTTATCCAACTGGTTTGATTCCCACCATCTTTTGCCTGAGTTTCAGCTCTGGCGCGAATGGCTCTCGGATCCTCCGGAGACAGGAGAAATCGCTCGATGTTGACGCGATCGGGATGTTGAAGAAGTACCATCGTCTTTGCCCACGATTCGAGAATGTCAGTCGACTTCTCTTTGAAGATCGCATAATCAACAGCTATCAACCAGCCTCTCTGTCGGGTTTGAGGCACGCCGTAGTTGTTGCTGTCTAGGGTGATGGCTTTTGCAGCATATCCGCATTTTGGAAAATAGAAGTTGGTAAACTTGTTCCACGGTGCAGTCTTGACATTCTCAACAATGACAATCTTGGGTCTAGCCTTGAGAAGAAAACCAAGTGACCCCATCAAAGTGGACCACGACTCACTCACTGTAGTAGTGTCGTCAGGCATGTGCTCCAAGAGAATTTTGAAAAAGTCTCGATCAACCGAGCCTGGCTGCGAAGCGTGGTCGGGATCTCCATCGACGACTTTCTGGGTGAATTTAGCCACAAAGGCTGCAGTGAGGTCCCCATATTGCTTCTTCTTAGCGTTGTTTAGGTTGGAGAAATCAACGCAAGAGGATCCAAAGACCAGGAGATCAACATTCGTCGGAACTGTTTCCATGCAGCCATCGGCTGTCATACTGTATATCAATTAGCAAACGCTGTTCTTCGCCTGTTTGACGCTGTAAACTTACGCTCTGGTGGATTTGAGGTTTCCAACCTCAACAACGTCCCGGAAGATGAGAAGAGGCGTCTTTGTGTTGCGACGGATATACGCCTGTTTGAATGGTTCGATTTCGCAACTGAATAGCTGATTGAACTCGATAAGATTGCCGAGTTCGAGTACACGGCATGCCTCCTGGAATGCTTCACAGGCCAGGATAGGGGCGTCGGTACCAGAGCAGAGTGTAGCGACATTGAATTTCATCGCACCTAGCTTGTCAGACTTCAACTGTCCAAGTGATGCTGCCTTCTTGACCTGTTCTCGAAAGACTGATGACAAGTCGACACTGACACGGGCCGACTTTTGGGATTGGGCAGCGTCGGTAATGACGTCTGGAGTAGCTGGCATAACTGAATCTGGTGCGATGTCCAGATCCATGGGGGTTTGGTCTTGCTGGGCATGAAGGCTGGGCTCAGACGCGTTGCCAGACTGGCGAGGTGAGATAGATAACTCAGCCAAGTCAGAATCAATGTCGCGAACAGGAGCAGCAACACGCGATGGTTTCTTGCGAGGAGGCTTTTTGGAAGCCATGATTAAGGGTAGCGGCCTCGGAAGACCTGTGCTTGGTGATGGTATGACGGATAGAAGGAATTCTGAGACAGAAGGCTAGCGAAGTGGTAGAGAAGGGTGAAGGCAGGAAGAAGATGTAATTGTACGGCTTTCAATGATTTAATCTCGATACCAGCGATCTCACTCGGCCCACAAGATGGTGATCTCGTGGAGGAGCTTGAAGACGACGAGAGTGGAAGAGATACGCGTGATGCAACCTCTACCACCTCGAGCGTATGCTAGCAAGAAACAATTCGCGAAGGCAGTACAAATAAGAGAGCTGTTTGCAACGCCTGGTAGGAGGAAGTTCGTTCTCCAAGCTTTGCAAGTAGTGTTTGTAGTGAAGGTTGAGGATGAAGGTTGAGGGAAGGGAGTGAGGGTTTGAGGGAAGAAGGTTGAATTTTCCACGCGACTCGAAGTTTTCGATAAACAAGAGGATTGTGCGAGGTGCTCCGCTTTAATGATGGCCTCGCAGCCTGATCAATTGCTTAGTCGTCTTCGCTGAGTCGTCCTGGCGATGGTAGATCGTGGTGGTGTTGTGTGTAAGCCCGGGGTGGACATGTAAGTCGCCCTAAATTCAGGGGCGCTGCCTGAAGCTAGTGGCATGCCATTGAACTGGTACAAACAAGTGTTGCAGTATTCGACAATACAAGCAAGAAAGGGCCCCGAATTTGTTTGTATGCCAATATGAAATGGAATCGGATATAATGGGTAAGGGATCTTAGTTGGTTATCTGGCTAACGTGACTGGATATGAGCCTTCATGCGCACTTGAAAGATAGTAAGGTCTGAGAGCGTCTCAGCCTTGATGTCTCAATGCCCTGCCTCATGATCAATGAAGAGCTAGTAGTTAAACTCTATAAAGACCTTAAGCTTGTCCAAGGTTGGACAGAAACTAGGTGTAATCCCCTTAGGAGACATGAGAGACTCATGCCATACGCCTTTGTTCCTAGTCTCTCAATGCCATGCAAGATGATGAGGCTGCCTGAAACAAGGGCCTTATTAGCAAACCGATCTTACAAAAACGCGATGCCACAACCAGGATAACCTCGCAGTCCTTTTGAAAGAACAAAGTGAATAGAATGTTTCTAAAGCATTAGGTTTGTCGGCAATATGCTTGAGTGTAGTGAGCTTTGGCGAGGTTGAGACTCGAAGACAAATCAACCGGTTCCGAGCATCGGGAGAGTCTGATAGTCTTGGCATTCAAGTCTCAAGGATTTTGCTTCAATCAAAATGAATTGTTTGATTGATTTGATTTCTAAAAGCAAGAGAACTTATTCGATACTTCGGTGTTTCCATTGTTTCGTCAATGTACCTGTTATCTGTAGCCCCTGAATGAGGAATGGAGGTGGCAACATTGAATCGTCTTCAGAGCCATACCCTCGCGCTGTTTATCGATTGATTCGACCAGAAAGAATTTGGTCAATCGCATCGAATTCTTCAAAATCAGTCCAGCTGCGATGCTTATTCGCAAGAAGCCTCTTCATCAATGGCGAATCGTTCAAGGGGTAATGTTGTGGTTTCCTCTTGTGGCTGGGCTTGCCTAGCTGTGGCTGGAGAAGGCGGGTACCGGACTCGGTCCACCGTTGCTAACGGGGTTCCCACTAGTTGAACCGCAGCCGAGATCAGCAGCCGCTTTTGAATACCAGTCCGGCCGCCTCAACATTCGAACCTCGAGAAATATATCTAATCCATATTTCGAGCCTCAATCAGCTGTCGGAGAAACCATGAGTCCGACATTGGAGTCCACCGATGCCAGAAATAAGTTGGAAGATCTTTCCGGTATCAAAATCGCACCAGGCGAGAACCCATACGATGCGTTGATCAAAGCTTGCAATAATGATCCGGTAAGGAAGACTTCATCTCGGCCAGTCGATCAGATAGCTATTGGCATCGTAGACGATCTCCTGAGTCTCCTGTAAGGCATATTCTCTGAAATGGCCGGGGATGCGGAGCTCAGCATCAAACTCTTCATCTCCGCAAGAGGCGAAGTTGCTGATTATGGGGAACTCTTGATAGTCTGGATGTTTGTTGGGAATGACTGACATGGCGTGAAGACAGAAATCCAGACACTTTACTCGACACACAGAGTGACGAGAAATTCTCAGCAAAAGGAAAAGTTCCTCTCGTCTGGTTTCAAAGAAGTCATTATTGACCCGTTTCTCTTACGAATTGAGAGACCAATTTTCGCAGAGCCTGGATTCTCGGACCCAAGATATTGCTTAGTATTCTGGGCGCGGCCGCCTGACCATGTCATTCGGCTTGCTGCTCATTTACAAGCTATGCTTCAGGAAGCTGCCCCCAGTGAGTGGTAATTTCTTCGAACCCCAGTCAGACCAACTTGATTGCGCGGGCGATATGATTGGGTTCCAGCAATTTGGAGACGAGTGCTGCGTATCAGAGCAAACTTTCTAGTCGGGAGTTGACCGTGAACGGACTTTTCCAAGTGTACGACCGCCAACGCGGAGACAATTGACTGAGAGAATGAAAGGATTGTACTTTATCCCCACGCCTTCAGGTCCTCATTGCTTAGTGGCATTAACTCGCAAGCGTATTTCCGCACATTGAATTCGTTTTGGCTGCAAGTTGTAGGTCTAAATTCGTGTTCGCGAGAAGATGGTTGGTTTCAATCCCGCTGCGGCGCAGGAAACCAATCTCCAGCCAGGTCGGTTGGTAAATCTAGCCAGCAGTCAAGATATCTGGGACCACCAAAATGCACCACTGCGAATGCGGAGCTGGACATGCTGATTGCGTCGTCGCTTTCGAGATATGTGAGTCTCGGGAGTCTTTGATCGAGTAGTCAAGCGCTACTCTATGGAGGTCTCGAGGTGCCTCAGCATGCGCCTTACATACCGACTTATTAGTAGGAGAGAAGAAAGACCAAGTCTGTCACCATGTACGAGAGAACCTAATTATTTCTTGACGGAGATTGAATGAAATTGGAATGGGAAGGAGATACAACTCTCCAGATGTTGTCTTTTTCGGCTCATTAAGTGGAGGTGAAGTCTAACGCCTGTGTCTTCTAGACTTATGGCTGATGCCTACGCACCGCATGCATATGACAACCTTGGAGGTCACTCACTCCCGTACGCCGGAGGAAATCGCACCCCTTGTTTCGACAATGCGATCGACGATACCAGATCTCGTGAACTACACCTTTTCGCACCGCTCAAGGCTGGTCAAACCGATGTTGTCGTATGACTTAGCTGCAATTGCGGTGTCCTTTCTCCCTGCGGCTGGTGAGCCTGTTGTCTCGCCGTCACCGGTCCCTCCGGTAGCCCACCCTGAGACTCACAACGGCCACAATATCGACGACTCTTATACCTATCACCATCTTCGACGGGATATCTTTGACCTCGCAAAGTCGAGTGGCGTGGAAATTGGATCGCGGTACGTTGTACCGAGCGCTCATATCACGCTGGGTAGGTATCTCGGCCAGGATGACCACGCTACGCCTGAGTTGCGGAAGCAATGGATCCAGAAAATCGACGAGATTAATGACTGGTTACAAAAAGATATATGGGATAGCCAAGAGGGAGAATTTGTCGGAGAATGGATTGTGGGTCAGGAGAGAGGCCTCGATGCCCGCAATGGAGCACTTTGGTATGGAGGCGGACGGACAATTATGCTCGGCGAGGGCTTCTAAATATCAGTCCTTTTCCTGTGTAGAGTGATAGAACCTGGGCAGACTACAAGCGATATGAATCTCCTGAAAGAAATGGAGCGTGCGATTTTTGGGAACAACTCATTCGGCATGACCGTTCATTGCTGGACAGGTTAAAGTGTCTGGTATGAAAAAGGGACCCGATCATAGGTCACATCAAGACAAATATAATATGCGTTTGCAGCACAATGAGGACGTCAATTCATTCCCTATGTACTGACCCTCAATCGAGGTCTAGCATTCCCATCGCCGTTGTTTACCAGCCAAAAGGCAGCCGTATCGAGAGAAAAGCCGTGGAATCTCGCAGACCATCCAACAATGCATTTAGAACACCAGAGCCGCACCCTTCGTCTTCTTGTCGCCACTGTTTCAAGATTAGTCTCGATTGTCGGCAGCGAAGCTCGAATCTCGTCAAATACGTACCCCAACTCGAAGTGCTTACAGCGCTTCCTGTAGTAGTTGTTAGCCATTGCACTCCGCATGAATCCTCGAACTGCCTGCATCGTTCTCCAGCAGAGCTGGCTGCAATGCCAAAGGAGCGGAAAGGAGCTGGGTTCAACTTACAGAGCCAGTTGAGTCTTGGTCTTGCAGGAGACACATTCTAGACGCAGCACGACCTTCTTGGTAGTCTTGGCTTTCTTGTGGAAGACGGGTTTGGTTTGACCCTATATTGCCAGCCATCAGCATCCGTACACTTCGCCAGGAACCATTCGATGATAAATCTGGGGGTAACATACACCGAAACCAGACTGCTTGCGGTCGTAACGTCTCTTTCCCTGAGCGAATAGGGAAGCCTGAAACAATGTTTAGCAACGAGTATCGATTTAGTGAGACACTGGCAATGTCTGTGTCGAGTCGACGAACCTTTCCGGCCTCTGCGGGAGAATCAATTAGCGCTGCTATAAGTCAAATGATTGGAAGACTACTCACTGTACTGTGTGACCTGTGATTCATGGTCAACAACTGCGCAACATCAATCTTGAAAAAGCAGCCAGCCTGTGATGCTGAACTTAGCGTCGTCAATCATACCTTGTGCCTAAAAACATGGTCAGCACCGTTTCGAAGAATAAATAAATTAGCAGTATGTGAATCAATTCAACAACGCCACGTGGACACGCGCTCATAAGCCAAAGGTACATGGCATCTCGAAAGCTGTAACCATGTGCCCTGGTCTCACTGAAGCGGTTTCGCTGCGGATCTTTGCATGTTCGGGTCGTTGTTGGGAGCTAGTTTCGGGAGAAAACATACTGAGTGTGCTTCTTGCAAGCCTTCACGATTGTCAGCAGCGAACGGCTAGAATGTGACGGGTAGGAGGAAGAAATACCTTGCCCTTGCAGTAGGTCTGCAATTCCTGCTGTTAACACAAGTCCATTTCCTTCGGAACCGTCGATAACTTGCCTTGCGAGTCTTGGGAATGTTGACCTGGGAAAATCGAACGTCAGCATTTCATTTTCAAGCTCGAAAAGCAAAATGCGCAAAAGCCAGTCCTGCAACAAGCCATCTCCGCCAAAGAGCCTGCTCTTTTGCGGTCGTCGCCCCCTCGCGTGGTCCTCGTGCGCAATCCATCTCTTCGAAGTTCTTCAAAATTCCCTTTCGTATTCAAATAAACATTCGTACGTACCATTTTGGCGGTGTTTTCCTCGATGGTCGGTCGTGTGCCTTTGTCTCGATGGGTGGTTCTGCGGTGATGGTGGAAATTTCGAAGCGAATTTGTGTGTCCCAACGTGGGGTCGGCCCTTCCTTGACCCGAAAAATTTCCCAGCCCTCAGCCACAGTAGTCATCAGGACAGTAGGAGCCTCCGAGCCACACTCGAGGGCAGAGCCAGCCACATTCTCCACTCTTAGTCAGCGATCTCATGAGCTCCCCCATTTCACATTACACCGTGGCTTGGGTGGTATCGATAATGAGGTGATCCTTCTTTCCAATTGAATCTTTTTGAAGCCATAAGATTTAGTGTTATCCATAGGTGCAAATTGATACAACGGCATCTGAGAATCATATATCTACTGACGGCATGTTCGGTTGCGATTTGGCCCGTTTTGCAGCGTGTGCTATTTTCATTAAAGTGTCACCAACACATGTTGCATCGCCTTTTGAGGTACGAGTCAGGCAGATCCTTTTTCACTTAGTTTCTTGAAGTTAGGAAATCTACGACTCTGAGGAGCCCGAACCACCATTGTCTATTGTGAAGGCACTTGTTTAGTCATTATTAATGAGCTATGGAGCAAGAGGAATCATGATACTGGTAATAGCAGCGCAGCTATTGTTCTATCATCTCAGCACTGCCAAGTATAGCTTCGGGTGCTCCCTCTATTGTCACTAGTTGCGCCTTAATCTCCGTAATCCTTCCTGTCAGCCAGGGCAGGCTTATGATACGCCCCGTGATGACCAGGACATGCAACTCCCCTTGCTTCGCGTACCTCTCTTGATCTCTACCAATGGCATTAGGCAAGTGGTCAGTAGATCTTTTGGGCGATGTGTCGGCTCTGTTTAGTGAGTCGGCGAATGCAGGTTAAACTTTCATCGACTCAACCGGCTCCAGTGATGCGCGCCACAGCTCCATTCACTATTCCTTTCTAGAACTCGTTGGCATGCATGACGGTAGTGATCCAATGCCGTAGGCGTAGGTAGATAAGGTAAGGTGTTGGAAGCTTGACTGATTGAGGAGTATAGTACTTTTACCATTCACCATGCGCCAGACACAAGACACCAGAGACTGCATCCCCCTGCTTCACCTTCTCCGAAACGACCCACAGGCCATTTCTCTACCCGGGGCTAAAGGCTCGCACTCATTAATATTGCGGCATCATCCCTACCGCAGTAGACTGTTGTTTCGCCGCCACTGCTACTGCTGCTCTGGCCTGGTCCTTGCCGTGCGGTCCCTCCTACTCACATACCTCACTTTAGACAGTACCTAGGTAGTTGCTGCCATCTGGCCATCCCGCACGCGGACGTGATTATTGTGGCTCTTGGCTCTGGGGCTACGTTATTAGCGCAGGCAAGCTTCCCGTCGTCTCACTCCAAGCTGGGTCCAGCTGTGCCTGTAACCGAGAAGCAATATTGTACCTTACTTAAGGTCTCTCTTGCTGCAAATATCCTTTCCATGCCCTAACGTCAACGGCCAACAAGTCGTTCAAAAAGTATCTGCTAGCTTCATTTCTCCTCATACACCCAAATACTCTTGAGCAAAAGGCCTTTATATCGTTTCCAGCGTCCACCGTCGTCGTCTCTGAATCACTGGGGGGCGGTGACCATTCCTCGTGGTGTTGGACCTGAGTGGGACAGACCAAGTACGAGCAACTATTTGCTGCTCCCCGCACGCCAAAAATTCGCCGCCTGCCGATCCCCCGGGGGTCCCTCTCGCACGCTCCCGCAGACAGCTCACACGACGGAGGTAAGGTTAGAATGCCGGCAGGCCAGAAATCAAAGGTTCGACCATTACTACCAAAGAGACGGAATCGGGGGTCACGAAGGGCTTGGGCTTAAGGGAACCCGGCGGAGGACAATTGGGACTTTCCACCGCGCGACAACCTTACCTGCACCCTCTTCCGATACCGTCGCCGTTGTTTCTGTTCACCGTAACAACTGGCCGAGATATGCGCCGAGAGTGAACGTCACCGTCAACAGCATAGCTGCGAAAGCGATCGACTCGCATTGGCGACCGCGGCCCTACCAGCTGAGCCCTCATAGCTCCTGAACATACCTCGCCCATCTATCCTCCTTATAATACTGCGAGAATCCAATGCAAATCAGAGTGGATGTGGCCCGGTCGACAGTTGACGAGCATGCTCCCTCCTGGAATGGAAGGGCTCCAGGAGGAAGAACCTCCTGGATCTCTTGCCCAGAGCCCCGGTGCGCATGCTTCAGTCCCGCCGACATCCAGCGACTCAATCAGCCAGCGCGCCATGGAGCGAAGAGCTTCTGCAGGTAACCTGCGAACAAACACACATCGCTCCGTTGCCAACCCGGCCACGATCCGGACCGTCACACCAGAGCCACGCACCAGCCATGGCTCGCAAGACGACATAAATCTGGGCCTCGAGCACACGGTGGGCGCGACTATGTCCGGCCCTATGCCCGGCCCTTCATCCTACGAGTTTGGGACTATATCGGCGCAGAGCTCACCAAGATCAATACCGGGCGGCGGAGCGTTATCGACAAGCAGCAATGCTAGCGGAAGTCGCAGGCAAGGTATCGTTTTCAACGACGCCTTTGCAAGCTCCCTGGACAGCACATCCTCAAGCCCGCCTCCTCGGCCACCCACTTTCAGGCCGCGAACTCACACAATGGACGGCGCATTCCGTCAACAACTTGCGCCGACTGTAGAAAACAGCCGGCATCGGATGGGATCATTCTCATCGTCTGTATCTATGGGATCAATGCCTGTCCACGAAGACCTGAGGGGGCCTCCTATACCGGCCTTGACATCTTCTGTCACCTCATCAACTGGCTTTCCTTCTGTACAACAGAATCGAGTGGGCGATGCACCGTTCCAGTCAGCTACAATGAAGGAGAGGAAGGCCTCTACAAGGACAAAGTTAATGAAGAGGACTTCTCGTCCTACATCACCACTCATCTCTCCGCCGCCCTCGGTCGATTCCCTGCCGCTCCCAATCCCGACGGACGATGCAAACAAAGTCCTCCTCATGATGAAAACACTATGCGGGCGGATGAAAGGGGAGATAGAATACCAAAGCGACCCTGATGCACCGTGGTACAGAGGCATATGCTATATCGACGAAGAGAAGGGCAGCCTCATGTTTGACCCTGGTGAGAACGGCCCATTTACGGTGCCAATCGTACCCGACCTTCGAGGGTGTCGTGTGTTGCCAATTCACCCTCTTGACGGTGATGGTCAAGTTCTCGAGGTCTCAAACCCTCAACTCGGAGTTGAGCTACTTCTGCGCCCCCTAGCAATGGAAGAGTTTGATCTATGGCTGGCGGCTTTGCTCTGTTGGCAACAGCTCCGGCCGCCAGGCATGAGGCTCCCTAGCGGCAGGGCCACAACACCTACGCAGGGTAGGCCAGAGCTCAAACGAAGAGGTTCCTCAACCGCTTCGAAAGAAGGCAACATTATCAAAGTTGGCAAAGTGATGCTCTGGGACAAGGGTATCGCAACCTCACCACGAGCTATCGTCAAGCGACCATCTACGCGCCATCTGCGGTCCTCTCAGATGTCATGGAGGAAAGTTTCTTGCATTCTCCAGGACAATGGAGAGTTCAAACTCATCACTGAGAATGATGTGACGGTTCTATCTATTATAGATCTTTCGCAACTATCACGGTGCGCAGTTCAGCAACTCGACAAGTCAGTCCTCGATGAGGAGTTCTGTATCGCAATTTTCCCTACTTATGCTTCAACATCTACTCAACTCTCCATCTTCCGACCTGTTTATCTGGCTCTAGACACGAGAGTGCTCTTTGAGGTATGGTTTGTACTTCTTCGAGCCTTTACGGTCCCGGAGATGTACGGCATTAGTGCGGAAGACGGAGACCAAGTTACGGAGGTCACTGACCTTGATTCGGAGTACCATGGTGAGCTCTTCCGGGTGGAGAAGACAATCACCCTCAGGGTTACAGAAGCCAAGATCAGGGCTCGAAACTTGGAGCCGGTTGCTGCTAGTCAGGATCGACATGGCAGGACCGAGCAAGATAGCTCGATCGCAAACTATCTCGCTGAGGTCGTTCTTGACGGCGAAGTTCGAGCACGGACAACCATGAAGACAGACACCAAGAATCCCTTCTGGCGAGATGAGTGCGAGTTTACCGACTTGCCTCCAAGCTTGCCCTTCCTATCTGTCGTCTTAAAGCGCGTCGATGGCATATTAGAGAACCCTACCAGTCTAATCCAAAGCCTTACTTTTTCCAAATCCGGCAGTATCACAGAGGTTCCCTGCGGTTCCGTCGAGATACCACTAGCGCAGCTAGATCGCGGCAAGGACCATGAGCAGTGGCATCAGATATATGACGAAAGGCAGCAATCGATTGGCACAATGCTGGTCAAGGTGCATCACGAGGAGCTGGTGGTCCTGCTTTCCAAGGAGTACCAGTCGGTGTCAGAGCTTCTTCACAAATTCAGTTCAGGACTCACTGGCCAAATCGCAGCGGCTATTCCTGGTAACTTGAGGCGACTTGCCGAGATCTTCCTGAACATTTTTCAGGTTTCAGGCACCGCGAATGAGTGGCTGATGGCTCTCGTTGAGGATGAAATCGATGGCATTGGGAACCAGACTGCAATGAAGAAGACGAGGTTTAGTAGGCGGCTTAAGTCGAATGACTCTCTCGATTCGGCTAGCGACCGGGAGGCACTTGTGCGAGATATGGGCAAGTCTCTGGCTGGAGAAGCCAATCTCTTGTTCAGAGGAAACTCACTGCTCACCCAAGCTCTCGAGTTTCACATGCGTCGGCTTGGGAAAGAGTATCTCGAGGATGTTCTTGCCTTCAAGATATTCGAGATCAATGAGATCAATCCAGATTGCGAAGTCGATCCCGGGAAGCTACAGCGTGGTGAAGATCTCAACCAGCATTGGAGCCAGTTGATGCAGTTCACCACTGAAGTATGGGAATGCATTGCCAATTCTGCTGCGCGGTTCCCACCTGAGCTACGGCATGTTTTGAAATACATTCGTGCGGTAGCCGAAGACAGGTATGGCGACTTTCTCCGGACAGTCACTTATACCAGCGTCTCCGGCTTTCTATTTCTTCGCTTTATTTGCCCAGCGATTCTAAACCCAAAGCTCTTCGGCCTGCTTCCTGATCACCCTCGGCCTCGCGCGCAGCGAACCTTGACTTTGATTGCCAAAGGTCTTCAAGCTCTTGCCAACCTCTCTACTATAGGAAGGAAAGAGATGTGGATGGAGCCCATGAACCGGTTCCTGACCTCCCAGAGGCAATCACTCAAGGATTTTATCGATTCGGTCTGCGCTATTCCCGCAGAGCGAACCTCATACACACTGCCCGCCTCGTACTCCACCCCGATCACGATCCTTGGCCGCCTCTCACCAAGGGCTCGTGAGGGGTTCCCGTCCCTTCCATATCTCGTCGATCATGCGCGAAACTTTGCCGCTCTTGTCAAGCTATGGACCGACATTAACTCGAGCCATGCTGCAGTAGCGCAGGTCTATGAGGGCGACCTCCTCGAATTTAGCAAGCTTTGTACCGATCTTCAGCAGCGGTCCAATACCTGTTTTGCCAAGTTAGAGGCAGTCCGAATATCAGACTCGGCAAGTCAGCCGACTGAGTCTGAATCAGGACTTGCTGAGGCTCTAGAGCATGCCACGCTACTGGACTCTCTCTCCATCTCATATGGGTCGTCTGCGACATGGATGGACCAGGAGAGGCCTCCAGGCTCGTCGGGTAGCGAAATGGAAGGCGGCGATCGGGCGCAAAGAGAACGCTGGGGTCGCGAGGCAAGTTCGTTGAGGCACGTCTCTGGCAGCTCAGAGATGTCAACCCCAGGAGGAACTGTGAGATCACTACGCAATGGAAAGCATGCGCGGAAGTTCCTCAGCGGCTTCATCCGCAAGGGCAGGAACCAGTCGCCAGACGCATCGAGTTCCCCGGCCACCATCAGGGGCCGAGACAATGACAGAGCCCAAGGGCGGCGAGGTTTTGGCTTTCCCGAATGGCACAGCAATGAGTCCATGAGCAAACATCATCAACAACAGTAACGACTAGCAAGACCAGCATTATTATTTCATTACCAGCGCGGTACCGGGTGTACGGTTGTCATACCTTTTCTTTTTATCATCACTATCTTCGAAAGAGATGTTTTCATTCACGGCAAAGGGAGGGAGGGGAGGCGGTTTATAGCATTCTATACCACAACATTCTTAGGCGAAAGTTGAAAAGAAATGGTCGGCGTTTTTTTGGGCGGCTGAAAGCTCCGCAATAGATTGGATGCCATCTGTTGGAATTCATGTATCCCATCTGGTCTAAGCTACCTGGCCTTCTGACGAACTTGGATATGATGCCCCCTTCTAAAACAAATCCAGCAATGTCACTCGTTGGTCGGCATAAATAGACACATGCCAATCTACTCAAGCTATCTCTCTGAACAATTCCGTGCCAATGTGCTCTCTGTGCTATGTTTTAGACTTCCATGCTGATGCTACGCCTCGGCTAATCCGCGAACCATCATCCGAACTCCTTCGTCATCATCATAAGTCCATAGGCTAATTCAGAGACAGACCTGAGTCTTTGAGGAGGGTGCGATGTCATCTACTGGAAGAACTTCTTGTAGGCAGCCTTCTCCTTCGCCGTGCGAGCAGCCTGGGCCTTCTTGACCGTTGCTAGCTCGGTGGAGATAGCCCCGTCGGTGGGCACGAGCTTGTTCGCAGCCGAGAGGTCCTCGAGGGCCTTATCCTCGTCCTTCAAGCGCACGTACGCCAGACCGCGGCGGTAGAGGGCCTTCGCCTTCTCGGCATCCGTGATACCAGCGACCTCGAGGGCACTGCTAGCGGCGCGCGCGGCCTCGTCCCAGGCCTGCAGCTTGATGTTCATCAGGGCACTATTGCTGTTGAGCGTGAAGCGCAGGGCGTTCATCTTGGTCTTGGTGTCCGCAGGCTCCTTCTCCAGGTCCGGGTCCTCATTGAGGTAGCGCAGACCCTTCTGGTACTTGTCCAGCGCGAGCTGGAAGTCGCCGCCCTTGAAGGCCTTGTTGCCAAACTCCTTGCACTCAGTAGCGACCTTGAGCACGCGCTGGGCGGTCAGCTCGCCGTTCGTCGCCTCATCTTCCGGGAAGTCCTCGTACGGGTCGCCGAGCGCGTCGGGCTGCTTGATGGCGTCCTCGGCCGCGAACTGGTCGGGCGACAGCTCGCCGCAGCCGATGATGGTCGCATCCTGAACGGGCTTGTCGCCGGACTGCGTTGTGAGGTTCTCGATCTGGCGGATAATCGACTTGCCGGAGATGACCTCGCCGAAGACAACGTGCTTGCCGTCGAGGTGGGGAGTGGGGACGGTGGTGACGAAGAACTGAGATCCGTTGGTACCTAGGATTGAACGATGTCAGGAAGCTGCCATGGCGAAAACTGTAGGTCCCAAGGCCATTCCAAGTATTGGAAATAGATTAGAATACATACCAGGGCCAGCGTTTGCCATGGAAAGGAGGAAAGGCTTCTCGTGCTTCAGATTGAAGTTCTCGTCTTCGAACTTAGCGCCATAGATGGACTCGCCGCCAGTTCCATTGCCCTCTGTGAAGTCACCACCCTGGATCATGAACTGCTTAATGACTCTGTGGAAGATGGAGCCCTTGTAGTGCAGAGGCTTGCCGGACTTGCCCAAGCCCTTCTCACCAGTGCAGAGAGCTCGGAAGTTCTCAGCAGTCTTGGGAACGACATCGTCGTAGAGCTCGAACACCACACGGCCAGCAGTCTTTGAACCGATCTTGATGTCAAAGTAGACGCGGCTGCGAGCCTTCTTTGTCTCGTCTGTGGTCGCCATTATGAGAGGTCAGGAGTGCGTAAGGGTATCAATGGGAAGGCTGAGTGATGAAGGTCTTGCTTGGTTGGTGGGATGCAAAACGTCGGGGCTGAGGACAGGAAATTGGGGAATAGGGTTGTCGGATTGGGTTGAGAAAGTGCTGCGATTGATTGCTCTGTGCTGAGCTCCGGACTGGCCAATTGCAAAAGCTGAGACAAACCTACAAAGCAGTGGGTTTTATAGAATGCAAAAGCAGAAGTCCAAGAGCCTCAATTCGGGCGGTCCAGCTTTTCGACAGTTTGGAGCTTGACCTTCACGAAGCTTCTATGGCGCGTGGGGCTGGACAGTGAGGGGCAGTCGTGGGAGAAGGAGGGGCTAGGCAGGCAGGTGGGTGGGTTGCGGGACCTGTCGTACTTACAGGGTCTAGCCACTCTCAATCACCCTTCAAGCAACCTGACATGTTTCACCATCAGAGCTTGGCTGTTGCTTCAAATATGAGGCCTGTAATACAATGTACAGAACGTTATCAATCATCAAAATGAGAAACCTCTTTGCTCTTTTTCATGGAGGCAAGCACATGTCAAGTGGTTTTCCAGGTGGAACAAATCAAAGCCTATTCCATTTCTGGTTACTTTGATATCCGCTGTTTTGTCTATATCAATCTGTATAAGAAGACTTGGCCTTTCATAGTCAATTCAGGTGATTCTATGCTCTATCAGCGCTTCATTATGTCTGGAACTCTGCAGACTGAACATCTTTCGCCTTGTGAGCAATGGCTGTCCCTCTTGAACTCGTGGCCAGGCTACAGTGAATAGTTCTGGTTACGAAGCTCATTTCAACTGTCCCCACTGGGCTTATTGCTGTAATTTGACTTTTCAGTCTTTATGATGGGATTTGCACTGAGTTCCAATGTGACCTATTTCTTTTATTAGTATTGGGTTTCTTGCAGGGTATTTCTCCTTAGCAGCTTACTGGACCATCATTGACTAAGGCCACCTCCATCATAGCTTGAAAGACGCCATCTTTTACTCGGTCTGCCGTGTAGCCTTGCTGGACCTTTTCAAAGAAATAATGATACAGCCTCTTGGCTTCGTCTCCTCCTAGGGCGCCATGAAAGTCTGGTTTACTACCCTTTTTCGTAGAAGCTAGTAAGGTAAATTGGGAAACTTGACAATGTTAGACCTTATTGTGAGAAAGGAAGTCTGCAAATGTGGCATACCACAGAGTACCTCTCCATTGATATCTTGGACGCTTTTCTTCCACTAGACCAATGAAAGTCAGAAATCGATGAATAAAACACTAGAAAGTCTATGGAGGTCATACCCTGCCTCCTGACTCATCGTCCCAGAGTCTCATCTTCAGGACCTTGGCTGCCAGGGAGTCGGCCTCCTTTTCCGTATCTCCAGGAGCCACAGCGGCAAAGACCAGAACGCCTTTGCCGATAGATGAAACAAGCTCCTTGTCAACTGAGACGGAGGCAGATAACACTCTTTGAAGTATAGCTGCAAGTGTTGGCAAAGCGTACAGAGACTATTTGAGAAAAAAGAAAACAAATATTGCCAACCTACCTTTCATGTTGACATCTGATCAGCCCAAGGATGCTATCTTCCAATAGTGAAGCCAGTCGTAACCTTGGATCAGCTAGCTTCAAACAACTCAACAAAGCAGTCAGGTGAGAGATGTTTCCGATTGTTCAACCCACCAGGAATAGCACAGTCTCTGGCCGGCCAGAATCCTGCGGCCCTATGCAAGATGTCTGGAGAAGGTTGAGAGATCTCTGATGCCATTGGATCGCACATGGTGGTGTGGATCTTGGGAGACAGGATCAAGGGCTGCGCCAGGGGGAGCCACTAAGGTGCAGCTTTAGCCTCATTTTTTCACTCTACCGCAAGCGGCAGACGGTGTGACGGAGCGCATCAACCACTTAATCCGAGATGCATTTTAATCCCTGTCGTCGCGCCTGAAAGTATCACGACGCCGACCTCAGATAACAGCATGCAAAGACAGAGAGCACACTTCCACCAACACGTTTTCGACTCCAAGTATTCTTTATTTGAGTGTGTAATTGGCTCTTTCCACTATTTTCTGGATCTGAGATCACAATTCTGAGAGGGGTTTTGGGCCAATAACTTCCAAGTCACGTGCGAGTCTATAACAGGCTACACCTTCAAGGTACTTTCTCAGCACGCCGCCAGCCGCGTTCTCTTGTTGGCCGTGACCTTCCAAACGCCTGCCTCATCTCTGGCTGGCTGGTTGGCAGCATCAAAGCAAACAGCCTGATGTTTCAACAGCTGCGCTGCTAACCATCATCCCCTCCGACAAATAGATTCTGTCGGGCGACTCTCAAAGAGCCCAGTGCTATTTCATTGCCCGGACTCCAGGCAGTCCTGCACAGCTGTCCACAACGTCATTCGCCCTCCAATTTTCAGAGTTCCGAACTAAGCTTTCGCAAGCTTGGGACCACACCTGAAATCACTGCGAGCTCACCACCACCACCACCACCACCTCGATCCATCGCAATACCATCCACCCGATCCCCATCCCAAAGCGCCCCACTGGCATTCTCACGGCATCATGGCGGCAAGGAAGCTGGCCCAGGAAGTGGACAAATGCTTCAAGAAGGTCGCCGAAGGCGTCGGCGAATTCGAGGCAATCTACGAGAAGATCGAACAGTCAAATAATCCCGCCCAGAAGGAGAAGCTCGAGGACAACCTCAAGCGCGAAATCAAGAAGCTCCAAAGATTACGAGATCAGATCAAAACATGGGCCGCCAGCAACGACATCAAGGACAAGGCTCCTTTGCTGGAGCACCGGCGGTTGATCGAGACGGTTGGTGCCATAACGAACCATCAGCGATAAGCGTTGAACTGACCATATGCCACAGCAAATGGAGAAATTCAAAGCCGTCGAGAAGGCGATGAAGACCAAGGCGTACTCGAAAGAAGGACTGTCCGCTGCCGCGAAGCTGGATCCCAAAGAGCAAGCGAAGATGGAGGCTAGTGACTTCCTAAGTAGCATGGTCGATGAGCTGGAGCAGCAAATAGAAGCGTTAGAAGCCGAAAGCGAGTCGATACAGGCCACAATGAAGAAAGGCAAGGGCCACAGTGCAAAGGCGGATCGCATGGCCGAAATCGAGCGGTTAATAGAGCGGCATAAGTGGCATCAAGGGAAACTTGAGCTGATACAACGCTCCTTGCAAAACGGCGGCGTGGAGACGGAAGAGGTTACCGACCTCGAGGAGAGCATACGATATTATGTCACCGATGGCATGAACGACGATTTCATGGAGGACGATACCATGTATGATGATCTAGATCTACACGAAGATGAGGATGCGTTTGGCCTGGTAGGTGACAACGACAAGGTTTCATCGCAAGATACCCAGTCGGTTCAAGAAGAGCCAATTGAGGTCGAAAGCCGGTCAGGGAGCATACCAGGCGGGAAGCCGCGGACGGTGGCAGACAATGTTAGTGCGGCCGGTGGACGACGACCATCGACGCAACTCAAGTCGCCCCTTCCAACGCTTGCAACACTGCATACGCCACTTCCGACAATCAGCAACGGTGCTCCTTCGAGTAACGCCTCCATGAAGCCGGCAACCGTCCCGGCGCGGCCAGCTGAAGGTTTGAAGTATGCTTCAGCTGCGGCTGCGGCTGCTGCAAACGACAAGAACAACGTTGGCATCGCACCTCTACCTCCACCGCCTGGTGCAGCACCCCCAGTTCCCGCCATGGGTATCGCCCCCTTACCGCCCGTCCAAACGAAGATAAGCACCAACAACTCGCCAAGCGTCACCTCGGTTCAACCAGCTGCGTCCAGCTCGGCACAAGTGCCGGAGCAAAGACCAACTCCACCCACCCAAACAAGTAGCACAGCGGTTGGCTCTTCATCTTCAACGGCGAAGTCAGAGTCTGCAAAACCGGTGTCCTCACGCGCTGCAGGCAAGGCGCCAGCGGCTCCAGAGCCTGTGGCAGCACCCAAACCTCCCCTGACGAATGGCGTGACAAATGGTGCGAAACCTGTTGCTGAGGAGGAGCAAGAAGAGGAGTCGATATATCACCTCCCAGCATCATTACAAGATCTGGTGGAGGCGTTTGAAACGACGAAGCGGAAGCCCACCTCACCAAACTCTCCATCTACCTTGCGGATGCTTGCAGCCTCACAAGCAAGCGCCCCTGATGCCATGGACTCGGAGGCACCGAGGAATTACCACCCAGACATGTACTACAACTCCCCTGCGGCGTATCCCCGTGAACCCCTCTCCATCTTCGATGATCCACGACTCTACTCTCGAATCGATCCAGACACTTTGTTCTACGTCTTCTACTACAAGCAGGGCACTTACCAACAGTATCTGGCTGCCAAAGCGCTGAAAGATCAGTCATGGAGATTCCACAAGCAATATCAAACCTGGTTCCAGAGACATGAGGAGCCCAAGAGCATTACAGAGGAGTTCGAGCAAGGCACGTATCGCTTCTTCGACTACGAGAGCACATGGTAAGAACCGATCCACATTAACGCTTTACAAACATAATACTCACAATTACCTGCAGGATGAATAGGAGGAAAGCAGACTTCAAGTTTGCCTACAAATTCCTCGAGGACGATGTATGAACAGAGATAACTTTCCCACCAGCTCGAAAAGCTGGTGGACTTGTTAGTGTGCAGTATTAGGTATTAGGTATTGTGTGCCACTGATCTCGATGTAATGGATCAGATCAGTGAGCTCACCGGTGAGGCGTTTGTGCCCTCATAGCTTAGGCAATTGATAATAGCACGCGTTGCCTTGCAGGAATTAGCTTCTGAATCTCTCCGGTCGTCTGTCCCTGAATTTAGTGCTGTACGATTACTGAAAGTTGAGGCGAGCTAGATGTCGTCAAAGCCCATCCAGTGATATAATGTGTGTCTCATGTCACCGGTATGATTGCATATGGCCCAGCCAATCGCGAAGGAGGCAACACTTCCGCAGTCTCGATCATGCACACCCAGGTAGTAAAGTGCAACAAAGGGACACCTAAGAAGGTGAGGCTGGCCGTCTCAAGCTTAGAGCCAGGCGCCGGGAGGCTACCCGTTTCTGATGGCTTGACCACTAAATGCTAATTCATGCTACCTGCTCGTACGTGTCAGTACAGCTGGATATCACGACATGCAGAACACAGTCGATCCAGTGCTTCAAAGCATGTTCACAACGACACGCATTGCTGCCCAACATGTCGAAGCTGAGGGCAGACACCGCCCCCATCAAGCTATATGTAAGTCTGGTTGCCTTCCTGTAGAATCTATCCCTCACCGACTCTTTCGATGACTCGATGCTCTACGACTTGTTTCTTCTGCACGTCGGTCCCTTGTTGAGGAAAAGAGTTCCCCGTTTTTTCTGGTACGAGACTGCTTGTTTGCCTACCGGCCAACCTGACCTGTGTCTGCAGGCAGGCTCAGAAGGCCAAGCATGCGTGGACATGCCCACCTCCTGCACATTGTGCCCTGCCACGCCGTGGATCGACGGACACGGGACGAGCCTTCTTTGTAGGTAGGCGGCGCCGCACCGCGCGCGCGCTGGACCGTGCCTTTTCCATGATGTGCATTTGGCTGGCAACGCTGAGGGGAGAGCAAGGGGGGGACAGTGTGCCGGCGCAGCCCACAGGTTCCGATCCAGCAGCATTTCTTCTGCCCTCACCACTCTGTCTCACCTCCTTTTCCCACACGCAAACGCACGCTCGCACCTGCGCAATTGCACACGGTTGACGTGGCGCCTGTGGACTGAGGTACTGGGCTCTTCTGGCGAGCTGGCAAATGACTCAGAGTCAGGCTTGAGTGACGCCGTAGCCCCAGGGAAATTACACGGACGAGACGAGAGGTCAAGGTCGAGGGCCGGCAGTGAGGATCCGGAGTTCCTAGCGGGATATCTGTGTGTCTGTGTCTATTTACGGACAATACGAGGGCCGGCCAACGAGGAAGGATGGAGACTAGGTATGAGCGGTTTTCCATCTGGGCGTGTTTCCCCGGATTCCAATCTAAGTTGGGAAAAACGGAGAAGCGAGGCATGGAACCGTTTGTGGCATTTGGGGTGCCATCCGAAGCGCGCGATGAGCATCTCGCGCCCCGGGGACGTGAGAAAGAAGACAGATGTAGAGATAGAGGCGTGGGGGTTGCCACGCACGCCTACTTACAGGTGACAGTTACGGGGGCAGACAGAGGTCAGGCACGGGAAACGATGGAAATTGCAACTGGGCACGAGAGATCTCGAACCTGGGGTGAAATCTACAAACACGCAGCAAACAGCAGCTGAAGGATTCCCGTTTGCGCTTCGATGGTGCGAATCACAGAGCGGCTCCCAGCCCGACATTCGCCGCTTACCGTGCTGGCGCAGCCCTGTTTCGTCACGTCCTTGGGTGGTGTTTCCAGCTGCCCCAAACGGCTTGACTTGAGCATTTGGCTAAGTTGGCTCGTCCGAAAGCCCTGGAAATGATGCATTTCGTGGGTCTCTCGACAGTCAAGTGTCCAATGCAGACCAGGCATCACTCAGGCAAACAGATCCGACTGCGTCAGGCGATCGGGCGAACCGCCGGGCGTTCTCGCGATGAGGTAGCTGGCTACCTTGGGTACAGTACGCAACGCAGCCATCCTTAGTTGTAGGGAGCTTGGCTGCTGCTGGCGACCCGCCCGGTTGGAAGGTCGCTAAAATGCCTCGTCTATTGAATAACTGAGGGCCAAGGATTACGAGGTACTGCAGTATCCTACATCTTGTGATGAGATCAGCGCGATCTGCTAGGTAGGTACATGGCGCAATGACATTATCTGGTTGCCGAGCCACACACTCAGCCCCAAGAAGGCAACTGACTACATGTCATGTCTCCTCCATGCTACTCTACCGAGTCTACCTAATCTTTGAGTACTCGATGGCATGGCATGGGATAGGATGGATGAATGGGACCGCCGCAGTAGTACCCTTTTCCTTTCCCTATCTTGGTTACCCTTCTTCTCCTTGAAGTGCACCGGTCATTATGCAGGGTCTACCACGAGAATTCCTCGTCAAACATACCGTTTCTTTCACGTCCCAGGCGGTCACCTGGCCCTTCTCCCAGGGCGCCTAGTTGCCGGATTCCCATAGACAGGTAATGAGCTTCAATCTAAGATGACGAGGCCCGCACAAACGAGCACAAAATGGCGCAGAGACTCCAGCCCGGAAGGGTGCCGGAGCCGATGGAAAGGTGAGAGCCAAGTGGCCGCTTTCTTCGTGCCTGAGTCCGATGTACCTGCTAATATGAGATACGTACTCGGAAAGGCAACCACAGCTACACCCTTCTTGACCTGACCTCATTCACTTACACCGCTGTGGCGGCTCGATCTGGTGTGGGGCCGCGTGCTCCTTTACACCCCATTTGTCCATCGCTCGTCTTTCCCCCAAATCGTTCATACCCGCCATCCATGACCATTTCCCCCCCTGGTTCCTTATTCGACCGCGGAATCTATCTTGTAAGCCCTGCTGGGGCGTCAAGCATCTCGACAGGATGGGAAGTCCCATTCGGGAGGGCAGTGGACACACAGGCTGATTTGCCCTTGTCCATATACATCTGCATTTCGTTCTTTGTGGCGTTCGCCAAAGCCTCACTCCCACGACGTCGTTACTGACTTACACCCCTTCCCACCCTGGTCTGGCTTCCCCGATCCGCAAGTCGACGCCTTCACCGAAACTGATACAACACGGTCTGGAACACCCCGGCCGACCACGTTTGTCTACATTGGACCCACCTGTGCGGCTTTAACTACCCTGCTACAATGTCGCGCAGTTTGGGCCTACAGTCTGGGGACAAGTGGTCCTCGGGGTGGCTGTACCAGCGTATTCCCGTTTTCGAGAAGGTCCTTGTGATTCTACCTGCAGGGTTGAGCCTCTCCCGCGCCTTTCTTTGCGTACCCACAACCCAAGCTGCTTACACCGTCAGATGGAGTCATGGTCTCGGGAGAAGAAGGGGGAAACGGTCATCATGTATATGCCTTGATTCGATAATTCATGCACCCTGTTGGATCGCAGTCGTAACGGGCCGCGGGTTCATAGCTCGTAGCTAAGCTGTCTCTCTTGTCCCTGTCCATCGTGAAACAGAAAGGTCACTTCTTTCTCTCTTCCACCCACCACATGTGAATATTCTATATATCAGTAGCTCACACCCCCAAACTTGAGCACATTGCCGCCTCACTACCCAAAAGTGCAATTGAGCGCCTCGAGTTCACAACTCGGTCCGTGATAGACTTTCTGCATGTGTTACCGCGTTGAGCATTACTTATATCCCCTATTGCTCGGACGCAGATCCTTTCCCCTAGCACTCAAGTCGTCGTCTTCAAATCAAACAACTTCCTCACAAATCGTCTCTTCAATGAAACCCCCGTAGCTTGATGACTGAGCTCAATTAACTTATCCTACGTCTTGTATAACACTTTGTATCCATCGAGCTATCCCTTTCATCCCCTCATAGCCAATCATTCATCCCCGTTTGTAGTGTGAATTGGCACTCAACGCGTCGATATACACCTCAGAATCCAGTACACAGTTTCCGACCCTAGATCATAACAGCTTCGGCTGAGCAGCATGGACCGCAAATACAGCGGCCCTCGGAGTTACGACTGCAACGTTGAGATCAAGCAAGAAGACATAGAGGCCTTGCAGTATATGCGACGCTGCAACTCCAACAACAGCGCTGACAGTGGTATCGTTATTGACACAAACTCGGAGCTGTTTAGCCAGGTAAAATACATTGGCATGGATTATGACAACAATTCTTCCTCTTGGGGAAACGACAGTCAAGATGGCTATCAGATGAAGTACGAGGACATGAGTTACGATGACACCTCATCCATGCGGAACTACGGCAGTCAAGATGGATCCATAACGAGCCCAATCAGCCCTTGGGGAGACTCCATCAACATGACATCCTCATGGATGACGAGCAGTCCGAACATGTCCTTCTCACAACCTCATCATCAGCACTCACATCAACAAGCTTGCTCGCCTACTCAAAATTGGACTGGCTCAGAGTATCACAATTTGGATCTCTCAAACCAGAATGGCCTATCTCCCACTTCAGAGTAAGCCTCCAAACAAGAACACCTACCTTTTTAAAAGCTTCGGAGACCTCGCCTAACATAGGAACTAGCAATAGCCAACCACGGAAGTTTGTGTGCTTCTTCGACGGCTGCACGAAGGGCTTCGGGCGGAGCGCCGACCTGGACCGCCACCAGAAGCAGGTGCACACGCGCGAAGAGGCGCGGGACAAGTTCTACTGCGACTACCAGCGGTGCCAGAGGAAGGACGGCGCGTTCGGCCGCAAGGACCACTTCCGCGACCACTTCCGCGACTACCACAAGGAGGACATACCGCAGCGGGGCCGGAGCGCGTCCAAGAGCTGGGCCGACGAGCGCTACATCAACATCGACTGGTGGCGCTGCAGCAAGTGCCTCCAGAGGATGACCGTCGCAGAGGTCGGCTACGAGTGCCAGGAGTGCCGCTTCCTCTGCGAGCCGGACCGCAAGCGCACGAGGGAGCGGATCAGGGAGGCTCGTGCCAAGGCTGGCCAACGTTGAGTCATCGTCTCGTCGCAACCTGACATGACAAGACAAGACAAGACACGACACGACACAACGACCCATGCACATGTTGGATAGGGCACGGAGAGGCTGTGCCTGAGCGGTTGTGTGCTGGTCGGACTGCATATGCGGCCGAACGCCGCAGCTGGTCGTGCCTGTGTGTGTGAGTGGGAACATCTGGCGTGACCGACGTTGGCGGCGAGGCTACGAGCTTATCGAGTCTCCTCCCCCCTTATTTTTTTTTTTTTCTACATTTGCCGCCGCTACGAATTACACATTCATCGACATCGACAATTACAAAAGAATTCTAGAGGAGTTTTCGACGGGAGGGGGCCAGATGACATCGGAAAGAGAGCAATGCCTTCGTTTCGCACCCTACGATGAGCTCATGTTTCGCCCATCTCAGATGTTGTTTTTTGCTTTCCAGGCGTCCGGCGTCTGGCGTCCGGCGCAGCCCCTCTGCTATCAGACGTGTCGCGAATCTGTTTATCAGCTCTAATTGGCTGGGCTAGGAGTCACGGGGAGTTCGTGGAGTTTTGTCCTGCGGGCTGTGGCTTTTTGGTCTATTCATCTTGCAGAGTACCGCCGAGGTCTATGTCAATTGGGCTGGGCAGGCAGACCATTTGGCATTTTCCTTACTTTCTCTCGGAGCCCGAATTTCCCTTCCCTTCGGTCTGGGTTAGGGGGGGCGAGGCTGTGTTACTTGCTTCTGACGTCCTGCAGCAGACTTTATATGGATGATGTTTTTATTTGCTGCGACTGCTTGTCATTGGGGGCGTAGAAAAAGAAGGAAGGTGTTTCGTTATCCATGATCATGATCATATTGTGTGGCGCAAGGCTAGACTTGGGGCGGATCGGGTTGTTTTTGGGCTCCTCTGGGTCCTTTTCTACGTGTAGTCGTCTTGATTGAACTTCTTGCTGCAGGTGCCTGGGAAGATGCTTGCTTGGTTGCTTGCTTGCTGCTGTTTCGTGCATTCGGGCGATGGTGCGTCGCATCTTGCTATCTTGCTTGGCTGGCTGGCTGCGTTGTTGCTTGTTGCTGCGGGAGGAGTGGAGGTGGGAGAGACGAGGGAGATATACCAATGGGAGGGGCAGAAAGTGGTCATGATGGGTGAAACAGTGAGGCGAAGGCGACTGGCTGCCTGCTCTGGCACACGGGGCTTCCCGCAAGGCCGGTTTTGGTTTGGAGAGCCCTCCAGGGGAGCTCTCGATCTTCTACGGCCTACAAGGCACAGAAATGGAATTTTGCAACAATCGGGTTCTGGGAGCTGTCCCGTTGCTTGCGGGTTCTTCGACTTGACATTGCATGCGACTGCTTCATTCACGCGGCCGTTTGCTTGCTTCTCAATGAGCCTGGCGAATCACGATGATGTCAGTGTTACAAAGTCAGCTCGCAGCCGTTAGATTAGCTCTTGGAAGGGTTCTACTTTACATAATCAACTCTTAACTGTCAATTCTTGCAATATTCGTGCTCCTCCACCAGTGACTTGTCTTGTGGCTGAGAGGCTCGCAACTCTTCAGTCAAAATAGAATGAAGAAGCTGTAGTTAAGTAGAGTAGAGCACAAGAAGCTCTCGCTCGACGGGGACAATTCCATGCCACTCACTCATCATGGCTGTCACCCCTCCCCTCAGCATTTCGCCCTACGCAGTAGATAGGTAACTCCGCTGCTGCAAGCCATGACCATGTCCATGTGCATCTGCAAGCCTCTTCCCCCACCCGCATCGGCGGATTGATGCAGAACACAGAATCGGAGGACCCTGCATGACGTCGAGGCCGTAACGCGAACCCTCGTCACCTCAAGTGTCTGGAGAATCTGAAGGGCCTCGCAACAGATAGGACAGACCTCATGGAGAAAACGGCCCCCAACCTTGATGGCTTCCATCGCGTGGCATCGGTCCCAGGAAGCACCGGGCATCACTGGATCGCAGCCCAGCACGTGCCCAGGTAGGGATCTGGATTCCACCCCGCAAATTAGCGGCAAAATGGATTGACAACGGCAGTACATCAAGGGACCGGGCGTGGAGTGTGGGGGAAGCTTCCGTCTCCCTGCCCCTGATACAGTACAGCGCCGTACAGTACAGTACCTGACATTGATGTCTGTGCGTGCTGCTCTTCGTAACTACGCTCGGTGCCGGGCCCGGGCGACGAGGAGGAGGAGGAGGGGGGGAAAGACTTTTGCCATGCATTCGAGGAGCAATACACACGTTACCTTGCTGTAGGGACAGACTGTAGACACCGAGTCACAACTCGGTAACTTGCTTGTAGTTGATCCTTCTTCACCTTGCACTTCACTCTAGCCATTGGATGAGCCTGCATTATATAACACTTGCTCTGCAAGAAAGCCAATTACAGCTGCTCGCTCGGCTCACTATTTCCCGCGGGATCCCTCTGCATTGTAGCCGCCGCAAAACACCATCGCGTGCCTATTTCCCCTCTCTCTCCTCATCCCCTTTGCGTCAATTCCAAAACACCAACCTCACTTCGTGACAACTGGTCTCACTGTAAGTGTCTCTGGCTTCAAAATTTCTGCGCTGTGAGTCTTAGTTGCGCCCTCCTGTTTCGGAGCCTCCCTGCCCTAGCTATCTAGCTCAGCAGCGCATTTTTTTTTCTGTCTTAGCTCCGATTGACGTGAACCTGCCCTATCTTAGTGTGCTTTTCAGCAACAGCACCACCAAATCCGCTAACCGGAGCTTCCCTCGGTTGCGCATATCCTTCTGCCGGCGAAACGCAGCGGAGAGACTCCTGCTCTTAACCGAGATCTTCCTTTTGTCCAGCCCGCCTTCGACCTCTCAGAGAAGATCTAATTCATCATGACCTCCTCCGTCGTCCTCCCCGCCGCCTTCCGCACCTGCTCGCTCCGCGCCTCGCCCGTGAGCCGTTCCCTCCTCCGTACCTCGCCGACCTTGGCTGCCCGAGCACCGTCCTCTGTACTTCCCGCCTCCGCGATATACCTCAGCCGCCGCACCATGGCCTCCTCCATCCCCAAGATCAAGGTCAAGAACCCGGTGGTGGAGCTGGACGGTGATGAGATGACCCGTGTCATCTGGAAGGACATCAAGGACAAGTTCATCTTCCCGTACCTCGACATCGACCTGAAGTACTACGACCTCGGTCTCGAGTACCGTGATGAGACCAATGACCAGGTCACAATTGACGCCGCCGAGGCGATCAAGAAGTACAGCGTTGGTGTCAAGTGCGCCACCATCACCCCTGACGAGGCTCGTGTCAAGGAGTTCAACTTGAAGCAGAGTGAGCAGCCTCCCTCTTCTAAAGAAGTGCCAATGGCGCCGAGAAAAGACTCAATCCTCCGAAAATGACTAACACCATGTTCCCTAGTGTGGCTGTCCCCCAATGGCACCATCCGTAACGCCCTGGGCGGCACCGTCTTCCGCGAGCCCATTGTGATCCCCCGCATCCCGCGCCTGGTGCCCGGGTGGAAGAAGCCCATCATCATCGGACGTCACGCCTTCGGCGACCAGTACCGCGCCAAGGACAAGGTGATCCCGGGCCCCGGCAAGCTGTCCATGGTGTACACGCCCGCGGACGGCGGCGCGCCCGAGGAGATTGAGGTGTACCAGTTCAAGAACGGTGGCGGCGTCGCCCAGACGCAGTACAACACGGACGAGAGCATCACGGGCTTTGCCCACGCCAGCTTCAAGCTCGCGCTCGACAAGGAGCTGCCGCTGTACATGAGCACTAAGAACACCATCCTCAAGAAGTACGACGGCCGCTTCAAGGACATCTTCCAGGAGCTGTACGACTCCCAGTACAAGAAGGAGTTTGAGGCCAAGGGCATCTGGTACGAGCACCGCCTGATCGACGACATGGTCGCCCAGATGGTCAAGAGCACCGGTGGCTACATCATGGCCCTGAAGAGTGAGTTCCTGCTGTCTAACATGCCCCTTGCCCGAGCCAATTGCTAAACCCCGCGCCTAGACTACGACGGCGACGTCCAGTCCGACATCGTCGCGCAGGGCTTCGGCTCCCTGGGCCTGATGACGTCGGTGCTGATCACGCCGGACGGCAAGACGTTCGAGTCGGAGGCGGCGCACGGCACCGTGACGCGCCACTACCGCGAGCACCAGAAGGGCAAGGAGACGTCGACGAACCCCATCGCCAGCATCTTCGCCTGGACGCGCGGCCTGTCGCAGCGCGGCAAGCTCGACGGCCAGCCCGAGCTCGTCGCCTTCGCCGAGTCGCTCGAGAAGGCCTGCATCGACACCGTCGACGTCGACGGCGTCATGACCAAGGACCTGGCCCTCGCCTGCGGCAAGACCGCCCGCGAGGACTACGTCACCACCACCGAGTACCTCAACGCCGTCGAGAGGCGGATGAAGAAGATCCTCAAGGAGAAGCTGTAAAGCCATGTGCACGCACATGACTCACTGAGTGTCACTTAGTCAGCTGAGAACAGAAGGTGTTGCCGAGAACGTCGCGTTCTGCTCGCGGCGGCAAGGGCAGAGGAGAAAAGAGAAGGCGAGACGAGAATGGCATGCATAGAGCGGAGAGAGGAGGGCCCATCCCTCCGCTGCAGCTGTGTATTCAGAGTCTCGCTGTGGATCAGCCCGTTTCAATTTGCATGGCCTTTCTCTCCTGCCGCATTGCATCGAACTAGACAAGACAGACAAGACAAGACAGCTTAGAAAGACTACTTGTAGATAGAACAGCATCCGTCGTAGATATCAAGCATTTTTGTGTGTTTTGGATCACATCGGGAGGCGGTGGAGGTGGAGATGTATATCTCGTTAGGTGTATTCAAGCAAGCAAGCAGCCAATTACTCCGCGCCTCTGTTGTATTTTTGAATGCCTCAATTGTCCCTTTCCCGTCCCGTGATTCCGAGCAATAACAGTAGCACATCTATTGTACAATGATAGTTCCCGTTGATGACCGTCGAGGTAGTCATCATGATCAGCTCCGTCTATCTCATGACCATCCGCAATGGCTGCCCTCCGACGAATTACCTCAAATAAAGCAATGCGAAACCCATGCGCACTCTCTAACGCTGCCTTGATGGACTCAAAACCAAGATTGCCGTCCATTTGGTGGCCATATGCCTACGAGTGCTCAAGCAAAGCAAATATGAGACTAGCTGCAAGGTCTCGTTGAGGATTTGATGGTGTTGGTATGGCCCTCAGTCCGTGTCACCCTCTCTGAAGACCGGGCATAGCATATATAAGGGTGGTACTTTAATCATCAAGACCACCGGTGTCATCCGCCACAATAGAAGCGTTGCTCTTGCGCGAGCCTCGCTTACCCGTCGAAGGCGTAGGGAAGTCGCCGTCTCCTCCCACGCTCTTGCGCTTCTTCTTGGTAGGCCTGCTCGAACCGCCCTTCGGGCGGTATCCAGGATCGTCATCCACCTGGCGCTTGCGCTTCCCCTTGCCGCCCCCGGTCACCGTCGTCGGGGTGCTCACTTCAAAGCTCATGTCCTCGTCGTAGTCCATCGACTCGTCCATGGAGTGGCGCTTGCCTCTGCCGTGAGCGGCCGATGAGCGCTTGGAGCTGCGTCCGCCGCGCGTGCTGCCGCTGCCGCGGTCCGCGCCCGACTTGCGCCCTGCTCGCGAGGTAGACCGCCCGTGGTCGTCGTCATGGCCGTTCTCCTTGTCGGCTGCCGCATGCTCTCCGTCCTGCAGGAACGTCTTGGGTGCGTTCTTCCGCAGCCAGTTGTACACGCTCGTCGGGTTGCGCAGGACCGCATCGCGGCCGGTGCCTGATGCTCCTGCGTCGAGGGCGGCGCTGGAGCCATTGGCAGCCGCAGCGGTACCGTCACGCGCCAGGGGCGCCAGCGTCGGTAACATGTCAAACTCCTCGCCTCGATCCTTTGCCTTTGCTTCGTTCTGTAGATCCACCAGGTAGATGTAGTTGTCAATGTCATCGCCAGTCAGGAAGGCCGGCGGGTGTTGCTGATGTGCGGCATCGGCGGCAGGAGACTCTGTGCCGACAAGCAGATCCGCGACCTGCTCTGGGAAACGGGCAGATACGGCGTCGAAATCCAAATGCGGTATATCTTGGAGGAGACCCTTGAGCGACTTCTGTGGGTGCGGGCCAGATATGTCTTTCCCATCGATGTCCAGCTTCTCGTCGTCTGAAACGTCGAGCCTCACATCGATGCGCTTGTCTGTCGGCCATTGATGCGAGTTGTTCATGTCGAGCAGCATGTCAAGAAGGCGGCTGTGATGCAATCAGTATCGAGCCGGGGGAGGATGGGCGGCGTTGCACCGCAAACTTACTCGTTCTCTATGGCGAGCTCCTTGGCTCTCTTCAGCCCTCTCTGCTCCTGGAGATATAGATCCTCGCCATCCTGCATGATCTTCTCGAACTTGATGCGCATCTTGCGATACTTCTTCTTCCAGGATTTGTATGTGGGCTTGCTGTCGGTCATCCTGACGTCTCCAGCCTCGTCTTCTCCCTTGACCTCACGGTCAGCTCGCGCAGAGCTGGGCGCATCGTCCTCCATCGTGGACCGTAATTACTATACGGACCGGTGTTCGGAGAAAGAATGAGTGATGCTCTGGTTTATTAGATGCCGGATCCTGATGGTTCACCGGCGTTGTTGGCGATGCATTTGATGGATTGCGGCGACGCAAATTGGGAGATTCGTTGTTGAGATGCTCTGGTCAGGATTTACTTTTGCGTGGCCTGGCGCGATCTGCCACGGAATGATCACGGTTTCCTCACTGCAGGAGCAGTGCTGCGACCCAATTGGTTTAGTGGAGTCCCTGCAGGCTCTCCCGTCGGCTGGTGGTGGTGTTGGCGGCGCGCGCTCTGGTTTTACCTAGCCAAAAAAAAAGAGTGCAATCACCAAAGCAAGGTATAAGAGCTGCTTCTCAGCCCTCATTATGGTATGTCATATCATCAGCTCAGTTATTGTCAACTGCTGTTATGGCTAGCTGACCCTACTAAATAATTTCCAAATAACACTGACCTTGTTGTCGTCAACGATATTCAGCATCATATTCCTCCACCCGGGTGATAAATGTTAGTTGGTCAAGCACAAGCACAAGCACAAATCTGGATAACGAGTATCATAATACGTATTCAAGCAATGCCACGAAAAAAGTCTCTTTATTACTACAACTTCCATGATGCCTATGAGGGTAGTCAATCTCTTGCTGAGAAAATCATGAAATTTTGAAAAAGTCACGTTTACTACCCTGCCGGAGGACTACCTAGGTAGTCATTGTGTTTTCGAGTCACTTAGATGCCGTCCCAAATACACAAGCCCCCTTCCACCCAATGAATCTCAGTGGATTTTGGGTTAGCAAAGCTCAGTTCCCAGCACCCCACACTGCCCGCCGCTAGAAGTCAATTATATCAAAAAGGGACCCTTCACTTTAGAAAGTTGCCTCGATCTACCACAAGTGTGTAGGAGAATAATCAGCAGTCTATAACGCCAGCTTCATCCCGAGTCCCTCACCTCATCCCACCGATATTGAATGCTTCGCCGCCTGCCAAACCTTACCAAAATGGCCGAAAGCGCAGCAAAGCGTCTGAAATCAGACCTCTCCCCCGAGCCCATCACCATCGGCACGCACAATGGCCACTTCCACGCCGACGAGGCCCTGGCCGTCTACATGCTGCGCACGCACATCCCGCGGTACCACGGCGCCAAGCTGGTGCGGACGCGCGACCCGGCCGTGCTGGCGACGTGCGACACCGTCGTCGACGTCGGCGGCGAGTACGACCCCGAGCGCAACCGCTACGACCACCACCAGCGCACCTTCACCACCACCTTCCCCGGCCGCACCGCCACCAAGCTGAGCTCCGCGGGGCTGGTGTACATGCACTTTGGCAAGGAGATCATCGCGGGCCGCCGCGGCGCCGCGGGCGAGGGCTCGTCGAGCGACTTCTCGACGGTGGACCTGCTGTACGGCAAGATCTACGAGAGCTTCGTCGAGGCGCTCGACGCGCACGACAACGGCGTCAGCGCGTACGACCCGGCGGCGCTGGCGGCCGCGGGCGTCGAGAGGCGCTTCTCCGAGGGCGGCTTCTCGCTCGGCGCCATGGTCGGCCGCCTGAACCCGAGCTGGAACGACCCGGCGCCCGCGGACCCGGCCGCCGCGCAGGCCGCCGAGGACGCGCGCTTCGTCGAGGCCAGCGCCCGCATCGGGCAGGAGTTCGACCGCGACCTCGACTACTACATCCGCGCGTGGCTGCCGGCGCGGGACATTGTGGCGCGGGCGTACGGCGAGAAGGCGCGGTACGACCCCCAGGGCCGCATCATGGTGCTCAGCGGCCAGTCGTGCCCGTGGAAGGATCACCTGTACTCGCTGGAGGAGGAGTCGCCCGACAGCGGCAAGGCGCTGTACGTGCTGTACCCGGAGAAGCCCGCGCCGGACGCAAAGTGGAGAGTGCAGGCCGTGCCGGTGAGCAAGGACTCGTTCGAGAGCCGCAAGCCGCTGCCCAAGGAGTGGAGGGGCTTCAGAGATGAGGAGCTTGACAAGGTCTCTGGCGTCCCGGGGTGTGTCTTTGTGCACGCAGCGGGCTTCATCGGCGGTAACAAGACATTTGAGGGTGCGTTGGAGCTGGCGAAGAAGGCTCTGGACTTGTAGACGGTCGTCAAACTTTGGGTTTGGGAAGGGATATCACTGGCATAAATGAATGAATCACTGGCGTTCTGGGACGCTGGTATTGCGTCAACAAAAAAAAAAGGAGACTTTGAGGAACCCTAGAGAAAAGCACTTGTACAATACATGACCGTAATCCCTACGCCAAGTTGTTTGTTTTTTGTGTGTGCAATATCTCAGCCTCCAGCCGTTTGGCTTCCTCAACTAAAAACCCTGCCGCCAGCAGTCTAGTGATCTCAACCTCTGACAAGGGAAATGGACTAAAAGACATGTACTAGAAGGGCAGGAAGTGATGGTAGCGAGTGTGGTGAGAGAAACAACCAGTTCTTCCTAATCAGACAGACACACCTAAATCGACCGTATTCTTCCCCAACTAAGCAGAAAACAGAATAGAACCGACATCAACGCCGTAGATAGGACGCCTCGTGAATTCGTCAAGACCAGCCCCGGTCCGGTGCATACTCATGTGGACACGAGGCACCAAGCGCATAAGGTGAAAAGCAGATAGACAGCGAGAGGGCAAAGCCCCCAGATGCTCGCGGACAGCACAACATCCCGCCTATCTTCGAATAGGGATACCCTCGGCCCCACCCAGCTGCTGCTGCTGCCCATCTGGAACATCCTTCTTCTCGCCCTCGATGTCCTCGGCGCTCGTCTCGCGGTTCAGGAAGCTGCTCTCCTTGACGGGGCTCCCCGCCTGCATGCTGCCGTGGTGGGGAGGGTGCAGGCCGTGGACGCCGGGGTTGTTGCCGCTGCCGTTGTTGACGGGGCTGGACAGGTGGGGGATGTTCTCGGGGACGGGGTGCTGGCTGCCGACGGCGCCCGTGTCGACGCTGTCGCCCTTGCCGGCCTTGGACATGGCGTAGTCGCCGCTGTCAAAGTACTTGCGCTCCTTCAGGTGCTTGGCGAAGTGGTCGGATCGCGAGGGCAGCTTGCCGTAGAGGCGGAAGAGACGCTGCTCCTCTGGGGAGAGGGTCTGTTTGCAAAGGCAGGTTAGCGGGGTCGGCGAGAGGTCTAAGGGGACGGAAATTGAAGTTGAGAAGGGGCGAGAGGCTTGTTCGAGGGCTGACACGATCTCTTGTTCCTAGATAATCACGTCTCGCCGTGCTGGTGCCAGAGGACTCGCGCCTGACGTAGGTCGACGACAGTAGAAGGGGGACTGGGCACTCACGCTAACGTCAATCTTGTTCTTCTGGTGGGGGTTCATCTTGAGTGAATTGTTGGCTGACGATGTCGCAGAGTCTCTTTTCGAATGCTCTGGATGATTTCGGTGATTGTCGAGTAGTCGGCTTCAATAAAGAAACTGTCAATGATGTTTGGAGAGGGCAAGAGTGAGGTTGTGGAGAGATGTCGTCCTTTTCCTAGTGCGGCGGCTGGAAGTGAAGTGGGATGGTTTTGGAGGTGAAGGGCGCCTCGTGCCGATACGTAGGGTGGTGGTGGTGGTGGTGCGGGGCCGAAGTACTGCTAGAGGTACTGTGCTGTACTGCTGTAGCTTAGAAGCTTGCAGCACCTCACCTAGAGCCTAAGTGCTTCCTTATCCCTTGTTGACAATTGATTGGGCGCTGCTCAATCTCTACGCAAGCGAGAACGGCAGGCAGATGGTGCGATTCCTGTGCGAGTCTGATGATTTCCCGATGATTCTCGATATGCGCTTGTGCTTGCGTATATTATCTTCACACAGGAGTAGAAGGGAAATGTGTTTTTGATAGTAGGTGTTTGTTCTTATTGGATTGCAACGATCTAAGTGTTTATTTGGCGTTTCATGCGGTTGTCAGGTGAAGACCTCGATGCTGGGCTCCGTCACTGGGCACAAGCTCCCTGCGTTGCCCTGTAGGGACGGACGTCTTATCAGCCTGTATTAAGGTGCGGCCTACTGGGAGCTCTGTCCATTCAGAGGACCTCTCCAGCAGTCTCACCCCACACAGCCAACATCTCGACCCAATCGGCAGGGTCACCCACGGAAACCAAGATGGAGCCTTTGTCCGTCGCCATGCTTTGCTAACCATGAACCGTAGTACTCTACATACAGCTCCATCATGAACAAAAACATGGACGCAATACGCAAGCTTCTGAGTCATGGCCAAGGATCTGTAGCTCTCAGGAAACTTGCTACACACCACAATTCCTCCTGTATCAGGGTCCTGGAGCTGCGAGAATTGTATTGGCCAGGGGAAACTGTAGGACAGAGCAGCAGCACCAAAGCCTGCCAGGGACCAGGGCATCCATCGAATCGGAAGGTCAACCTAACGAGATCGGCATCGAAGACTCATGCCATCACTGATTCCAATGGGCAGTCAGCAGACTGACGAAGCAATGCGTCCTATCTCATCGTGAGGGGGTTGATTGTCGTTTTCGGGACGATCATTCGGCTAGCTTGCTACGACGCCAATTGTGAGCCTCGAGGGCATGAAACCATCTAGCCGTACATCTATCTACTCGTCCAGTCACCTTCTGCGAGCCTCCGTTCCGTTCTAGAAGATGCAAAGAGCCCTCCTGTCGTGCGCATCACCCATCATGAGAGCATGCTAGGGAGGAGGCAAAGGCGTGTATTGTACCACACGGATATGCAGGGACGGCTACCAGCTGCTGGGATGAGCCGACATGCAGTCCTCCATCGTCATCATCCTAGGAGGCGATTTTGGGTGTGTGACAATCCTCGAACCGTCCGACACGCCTTCAGTGTGACAAACTCATAAATTGCCTTGTTTTAAGCACGACACGTAATCCATATGAGTTGATAGATTGTGTTCATGTACAAGTTCGTGAGGTTTCTCAATAACGACATACAACTATTTATATCCAAGGCGACCAGGGTGTAAGTATCGACCAGTGAGCATGGGAATGCCGCAGACCGCATGTACAGAGCTGCTCATTCCGTCTTGCCTGGCCATTTTTCTTTGCAAACCAATACTCAAACCAATACTCCATATCAATGCAAGGAAGTTATATCCACAAGAAGCGACCGATCCAAATGCTTGAGCCCAAACCCTTTTCTAAATGGTATCATACAAGCGAGAGCAGAATGAAGAAGGAAAAAGCATGTCTCACGACAGAAGCGTCGGAGACGGAGGCGTCACGAGCGTAAATGGGTATTTCGACCTTGGCTGCTGCTGCGTGTCGCAGAGCTTCTAGCTGGGGAGGGCTAGCAGCGCAAAGGCACCGCCCATGACCGGCCGGGCAACGAAAGTCGGGCCGCCGTCCGGGTAGCCACCGGTGCCGGCGTCGAACAGGTCGGTCATCGCGCGGTCGGTGGTCGTCTCGCCGATCCACTTGACCGTCTTCTGGATGAACATGTCGCGCGTGTCGTCGCTCGCGATGGCCGCCACAAACATCTCCCAATCGGACTTGGTCCAGGTGTGGCGCGTGTCGAGCGCCACGCCGTACTCGAGCGCCACCGTCGGGTAGAAGGCGCTCTGCATGTCGTAGATGTCCGAGTCGACAAAGTCGAGCCCGAGCAGCTTGTCCGCGTACAGGTTGTACAGCAGGCCGTGCGAGGCATCGTCGCCGTAGGACAGCGTCGTGTGCGGCGGGTCCGCGGCCGTGTTGATGCCGTATCCCTTCCACTTGGTCAGGTAGTCGTCGGCGGTAGACCCAAACGTGTCCTCGTTGCCTGTCAGTTCCGCGATCTTTGACATAGCTTTCAGGCCAATAATGCCCTTTAGTGCCAGGTTGGTCTGGTTGGCAAGAGTGCCGGCGAAGTCATCGGTAGATAGCTGGTTTGCCGGAATCAAGCTCTCATCTACCAGAAATCCAGCCCACTGCTGGAGTTTATCCCAGTGCTGAGTGAGGTAAGCCTTGTCACCGGACTTCTGAGCATAAGCCAGTGCCATGATGATCATGTTTCCACACTCCTCTAGCGGCATTGGCTCGTCGTTGCCATCGGGATAGCCAAGGGCATTCGGGAATGTGCCCAAGTCATGAATGGCATAGTCATTGGGATAATGTCCACTTTCCTGGTTTTCATACAAGGGATCCAGCAAGAGCTTGCCCAAAGTCGCGTTGAGGTAGTGCAGGATGGGATATGCAGGGAAAATGACGTCTACTGTCTGGATATCGCTGTTCGAGCTGATCTCCTTGAGGAAGACGTATGGTTGGCTTGTGCCTTGAGCAACGGCAAGACCACCAAAAGCTTGACGGACTGTTAGAGTAGTAATGGTGGCATAATCCTCGCCAGCTGCAGCAACGGAATCATCGTGAATCTGGGTATCAAGCGTATCCGAATAAGACTTCGCATCATCCCAGTCCTTGTAGAAAGCTACCATGGAGTCGACTGCGCTGTCGTAGACACTCTTCCAGATTCCAGTCGTTGCAGTCGGGCCGTCTCCTGCACCTTGGAAGTTCACAATTACATCTTGCGCCAGACCAATGGTGAAGAGAACATCCTTCTCATCACTAGAAACGTCGCTGAAGTCTTTTGCAAAAGCGAAGACCGGCCTGCTAGAGTCAGTTTTAAGCGCATCTTAACAAAGCCTCCAACAACGTACCAGTCATCGTTTACAGCTCTGAAGTTGGTATCTGCCGTGCTGTCCAGTTTCTGGGTGTCCACGAACTGGCCGCGAACAATAGTGTCTGCACCGCTCTTCCATGTTACCTATTCAAAGTTTAGCTCACGGTAAACAAGCTGTCATGCTGAATGTGATCAACGGAGTGCCACCGGCTAGAACTTACGGTGTCATCTGAAGCAGTCGAAAGAAACCAGTCGCCCCAAAGAGCTTGCTCAGAAGCCTCTTTGAACTGAGTCTCAGTCGCAAGATTGATCTGATGATACGAGACACCATTCGAAGTGTCGAAATCCCAGTTGATGACTTGAGTAGCGTCACCACTTGTGAACTCTGTCTTACTGTTAGCAGGTAACTCAACAGAAGGTGTTGTCGAGAAGGCAACCCACCTCCAGAAATGTCCATATAGACCTGCACGCTATGTGAACTTCCATCCGAAGACTTGACCTTGACATCTACATAGGAGAACTGCAGTGATTGTCTGACAAGATCGTCCGGGTACACAGGAGACAAGAATGTCACCGTCATCTCGACCTTCCCGTCCACATCGAACGTGAAGATGCTCTTTGTGGAAGTGTACGAGAAGGCCGTCTGTGTGACGGGCTCTGGGCCTGCTGCTCCACCCATCCAGTTGAACACAGTGCCATCGACTGACACAAAGCCTTGCCACCCATTTATCTGGCCCCTGTGGTCCGTATAAGTTTATGGGCGGAGGTTCTCCTGGATGGCAACTTACGTCCAGAAATGGGGGAATGTTCCGGGCAGAGAACCACCTCCATCTAGCCAAGTATTGAGATACGGTGACTTTACAGCCAAGGGTAACGATGGTGGTCTCGCGGGAGTGTATTGTGCCTGAGCCACGCTGCCTGCAAAGGCAGCTGTAGCGGCTATTAGACAACCGAGACGCATGGCGTGTATAGTAAATTGCTGTAGGTTAGTAAGGCCCTTGCAAGTAGGATATATGGTTCTTATATGACACCCTATGTGCAGACCCTGAAGCAATGCAATAGAGCAGGGAGGGTGTGCCGATGGGTAAGGGCCCGGCCTTATAAGAACAGAGGAAGGAGCATTAAAGTACTACGCCGTAGGGAGGCTTTCCTCGGATCACAAGCCAGCGAGGAGGAATGCTTGGCTTGATTGGCCCCGTACTCAGATTAAGAAGGAGCAGGCGGTGGTGGTGGCAGACAAGTAGATCCAGTGTGGCCGCAGTGGTTGAGACCCGAGGATGGAACATGTCTTCCAATATAAGGTACCATAACGTAGACTAGTATGGGGACGGTCTTGTGAACTACGAGGAGTGTGCGTGCCGGGGCCGGGGTGCATATTCCACAAGACAATGGGACGATCGGCTATGAGTGTAGGGATCCGAGTGGCAGTAGGTTCATGACCTGGACGGTTGGGAAGCAATAGGAGAGCCAAGAGAGTGCAGCCTTGCTGCGGTAAGACAACTGGAGTCAAGACAGAGGAAACAGAGAGCCATGGTGTCCGCACGGGTTTCCCGGTGTGGAGACTGAACCAAAATAAGATACAAGCTTCCAAATCCATCTGTTCTACTCTGAGAGTGTGTAAAGGGGAAGAAGGTGAGATGATCTCATGCCCCCAGTGCGGCGGTGTTGGCCAAAATCTGACTGCGGAGCATCTCCTTGGTGGCATTTTCCTCGCGAACCAGTGCCGGAAGAGCAGTGCTCCCTAGGCACCATGAAAAAGAAGAGCAGAGATCTAACTAACCTAACGGGCAGGAGAGGAGAGAAGTCATTATGCAGCAGGGATCTCAAAGATGGCTACATACTGCGTAGTCAGGTATAATGTGCAGCTGTGTGATGCACGATGAGCGAGCGTGACTTGACCAGAGAAAAAGCAGGGTAACAGGGCATGACTTGTTTGAAGTGCCATCTAAGCCTCCCATCGAGGTCGGGCCGAGACAAACTGCACATAATCAAGTATCTATGAACGCACACCAGCTATAATGCTCTTGTATTAAGGCCATTGTAATTCTGTGGACGATTCGAGGACGTTGACTGGAAACTTGGTCACGTAAAGGCCGGAGGCACCTGAAAGGCAGGGCGATGGAACAGAAGCAGGGGCAAGCCAGCTGGCATACACAATACCCCAGGGAGGATGGTCGGAAACAAATCCTTCACGGCGCAGCTACAACTTAATGTTACCGACATGACCTCCTCCAGTACTTCGGAGTCGACGACTCTGCCAACAGAAATCAATGTCAACAAATGCCTTATTTCATGCCATCATCGGAAAGTGAAGGGATTCCCTAGGTAGTCGTAACTGCAACGATAATCCCATCTTTCTGTTTAGCCAGGAACTCTGAGTACATGGCGGGGGCAGCGCTCAGCGGCAACGGATCAGAAGCCGCTACCAAGCCACCAAGCCACTTGCTGCAGGGCCCATCTGGCGGCTCTTCAGTGGCAGTTGCCGGGGGCGGGGATACCTAGCCTAGCCCAAGGTCCACCACCACTAACGTTGGCGTTAGTGCATCCCAGGCGCCGCCTTATGCGCTCCGCCTTCATCTATTTCCCCGAATAGCTTCCTTGTGGGGTCTGTTTGGTCCTTTTACCATGGAAATCATGATGCCTGGAGTCCAGAGCCAATAACGCGCCTTGTGTTACAGCAGGATCGACACTTGACAAAGCACGCACCGACAGCACACCAGGGCGCTGGTGGGCTCACCTCCAATCAGCCCCCCAAAATGTCTGTGGGCAACTCACTGTTGCGAGAGTGAGAGTTGCCATTCCCAATGACGATCATCCCAAGACAGAGGAAGCAAGTGACGCCATCTCACGGACTACATCAGCATGTCATCTGAGATTCCTGACTCCAATAACTGAACAATGGCTGCTCGTATAGAGCACTGACAACTTGCGATTGGCTTTGCGAGGTTGCTTTAAACGAGGCCATAGGGCCAAACAGGCATGCCAAGCAGTTGAAACAAAACCGAAACGACATCATCTTCCTTCTGGGGAAGCTGGCGACGCAGCTTGGCTTTCTACACAGCACGTGAATGACGTTCATCTGGGAGTTGGATATGCCTGACATCGCCATTAGACTGTCGTGTCACCCGACAGCTGAAGAAATGCTCGACCAGACGAAAGCTTCAAATGCCGCGATGCGTAGAGAAAATACCACATGCCTGTTGCGGAGACGATCAGCAGCAGGTTCCGCAAGGCCCGGGCACCTGAAGCCTTGGGGTCGTGAACTGTGATGGCTTCCACCCTTTCAAGAGTAGGAGCATGAGCCGGAGTCGTCATCCAGCGTTATACCTAACAATGCCCTGAACTATTGCTTTATGGTACTATGCCACTCATAAAGCATTTAGATCTTCTAATATTCCCAATACCAGCTGCTTGGAATTATTGATGTTCATAGATTCGGTAGATTAGGCAAAAGTGAACAGACGAACTGCCGGTCCAGGCGTAGAAGCCACCACGGCAGCCCAAGAGTCAAAAGAAGCAGCTCCGAGTAAAACTGTCTGCTGCCTTTCGCGGTAGGGCTAGGCGTTGAATGAATACGGGCGTCAGGTACTATCTTCACTCGTCACTCTTTCTTTTTGAGAACGATCATGAGGTCAGCTTACCGCACGTAATACGATCGGCCATGTCTAAGATCTGGATGATATGCTGTCTTGTTTGGTGATCAGAATATTGAAGCCCAAGATGCAAACCCAGCTCAAGTGACCCTTTGCGCAGCAGGTACAGTCCGGACACGATTTCGAGGTGGCGGCAGGACCGTTGCGCTCCCGCGGAGTACCTGCTGCGGCGTCATGCACAAGAACGTCAAAGGCGCCAAACGGGCAGCCACACCCGTGCTGCTGGCTCGTCGGCAGCGCTGTCAATGCCGTATGACAGTGTCTGATCTCGACACAATTGTGTGTGTTGTTACGCCGCCTCCGAGGCCACCACGTGTCTCTCAGCTGGTGTCCCCCAGGCCGCAAGCGTGGATCGGCAGAGTCTCAGGCTCCATTATTTGGTTCTGGGCGTCTTCCCCGCGATCCCGCGACTCCAACTCCGGTCGGGTGATCGAATATGGCCCTATGGGATGTCTTGACGATCACGATGCTGCTTTGGCTTCTGAGAATGCGGGGTTGTAACTCCACCTGGGGCACGCAGCCCGCCTGACCGCCTGAAAATTTAGGGGTCCTCTCGTGGACCGAGGTCTCAGAGGTTGGATGGAGAGCAAGAGGAGGTGTGACGTTGCGGTCGAAGTTCCTGATCGTTCCATGACACCAAGCCTGATGAAGAACCGACTGACCGCATCTTTCCGTCTCTCGTGACATGCGACAGCTGCATCTGCACGACACTCTTGCCATATTGCAGCATACCTAGGTATCTGGCTCGACAATTGCACCTTCCTTATTCAATTTATTCAAGACCTACTTGTATGTGTGTCAAGCACCGGGGCAGACAGATTACACCCTCTCTGATTTTTGGGGAAAGGGCAATTCGCATTCCACGGTCCGGACCTTCCTTTACGAGCAGGACCGACTACCGGCCCATTGAGAAGGTCAGCTGGCTACAAGCTAATTACACCTGTTTCCTGAAGCACACACATCGTGTCTTGCTAGTATTCACATGGTTATTATGGTAAAGTTAGGGTGCTTCTGACCCTTTTATTTTGTTCATCATAAGTCTGTTCTTCAATGTACTGGCCTCGCAATCGAAGGATGCTAGGGAAGGTGAATCATAGCGCACACCGGACTGAATTTGAAAGATTTGTTCTCGGTGCTCCTTAAGTCGACTATGTTGTGAATGGATTGATAATCAGCAAGGCATCTAGTCCTTTTCCAGGATAATAGACGGTAAGGTTGTTCGTCAAGGATTCATAAACTCCCCAACTGGGAATTATCGCTGCTGCCTTTTCTGAGGTTGGTCGAGTGGTAGTCAGCCCGACTTGCCTCTAGATATTCTTCAGAAGAAGGCTGGCATCTGAGAATTTTCCACAAAACACAACGCCAAACTCCACGGTCTTGGCGTTTGGTTGTTTATATACACTGGGAAAGGTATGAAACGGCTGCCGTCGAGAACATGCCTTTTGTGAGTTTGCTTGCGAGAAAGAGGCGTTTTATGGCGTTTTGTTTAGTCTCCAGCTAGCGAGTAAGATCGCTGAGAAGTGCCAAGCCATTTCCAAACACGGCAGTCGTTGAGATCCGCTCCCCGAGCATCCCTGCGGCAATCCGAGTGGTCTCAGTCCTAGGCCCCTGTCTCGCCTCCGTTCCGAACAGATCTTATGTCAATCCTTAAGGTGCGATTCTCGATGTTTAAGCTCAGATCATTTACCAGTGCCCAGCATACTACAACTCAAAGACAATGTTATTTCGGTCCGAAGTTGCGATTGGATCGAACGCCGCCTTGTAATTGAGCACGGCCGCACCCTGGATTGATACAGGTGGTTTGAGGACAGGAGTTCCTCTCCAATGTGCTCGTTTTAGTCAGGAACCTTCGGCATCGTCTAGACCGGCCCCTAATCTGGGCGTGATAGATAAGACCCTGAGGCAGTTGAGAGGTTCCGGTCTTCGATCGTGTGGTCGGGGGACGAGGTGAAGGACCACACAGACCTCCGGGGGCCCTTGGGACCAGTGACAGACGTCGTGAAACTAAGTTGAAGTTCCGGACTCAGGCCATCATCGGAGGAAGACATGATCTTGCCCATGATTAGCGTACTCATACTAGGAGCATGAAGAAATCCCAAACGCAGGCTGAAGGGAAACGACCTACCTACAATCCCGATGGATAGTCTGCTCCGAACTTGATGTCCGTCTTGGTCTGATGGTTGATAAAAGTATGGGCTGCACCCGCCATCTTGAGAGCTTACTCTCATCCCATCGCGACTGTCATTCTCTTGGTTAATATCTGTTAGTACTTGCGTCTTGAGTTGGTGCTTGGTCACCCTCAAGTTGTCATTCTCAAGTCATTCCTTTAAGTCATTTATTTAGGCCTTATCTAAGTAAAGATGTTCCTGTTTCGCAGGAGTATATTTTGCATCGGCTTCTTCTTCCTAGTTCACAAGGGACATGCCACTGCTTTGGGCGCATTAGAAGGCACGGGTGTGGACGTCTCAAACGTCAACAGCACACAGGCTGGCGTCTTCGTTAACAGTACCGAGACCCTCCTCGCACTAGAGGCGTCAACTAGGACCCAGATCGAAGTATCAGTCGTCACTCAGATTCAGGGGGGCGCGACAATTACGGCCGCCATCACCAATAACATCGTCCAAGTCTTTCCCGTAACGACCCAGACCGTCATCCTGCAAGCACCCCCCGCCCAGACACAGGTTGGAGGCCAAGCCCAAGCGCCAGGAGTTGCGTCTACCGTGACGCTCGTCACCGTCGTCACGGCTGCGGCGGGCGTCCCGTGTCAACAGCAAATCGTCACGCAGACTGTCACTGAGCTTCTCACCCTGACCGTGACCGCGTCTGCGGAACAAAGCGTGGTCCTTAACCCAGGGGTTGCCTCCCCGTTGCAGGCAAATGGGTCCGACATCGCACTAGTAAATGGTACGGCACCACTCGCGCTAGGGACCGGGACGGGAGCTTCATCTCAGCCGGCGACAACGGTGATCATAGTAGAGCAAGAGGCGGAAGCACAAGTTTTCAATGGCAAAAGAGCAGAGAGGTTACGAGAGAGGAGAGTACGGAGGGGACCAAGGGGCTGGTGATGTGTCGTTTATAGGTTTAGCTTAGGATTTGTCACCATCTGAATTATTATCAGTCTTTACTGTCCGATATTGGATTTTGAACATTTTGAAATCTTCTAAGTCTTAGCCTCGAAAGTTTTAGGAAGAGTAAATGTCTTTTGAGGCTTCAAGCCTACATAGTCAATGTAGTAGATTCATAAACGCAAACCCTAAAGCAAGACCTCAAGGCGACAAACTGTAGTGATATGACCGGGGTATCCCATCGTGGTGAAGTGACAAAAATAGACAACGCTGACCCAACCCGACTTAAACCCTCCCCGAGCGTAAAACAAACTGATATAGCCGCCCATATGTCCCGGTGTAGAAACAAAGAAATCACTGATGCCTCCTCCTCGACACTATATAAACGACTGATATTATTTCACCAAATAGTATCATGCTCCACAAGCGGATCTGCTGCAGCCCTACTGGCCCGCCGCGCACGTCTCGGGCTCTCGATGGGGCTGCTTGCCACGCTGTCGCTCTCCACGCCGGGCGTGTACCGTCCCGGTGACGGCTGGTACGGCACGCGCTGGAAGGTGATCGGGCGCTCGTACGGCGGCGGCGGCTGACCCTCGATACGCGGGGCCGAGGGCTGCCGGCGATGCGACGACCACCGCGGGCTGGGCTTCCTGCTGCTGTGCATCGACTGCGTCGACGAGCGCTGCGTCGTCTTGCCCGGCGGGGGAGACATGATGAGCACCGGGCTGCGCTGCGGCTGGAGTGAGTAGCCGGAATGCGGGCGTGGCTTGCGGTGGTTCGGCGAAGTTGGCGCCCAGGCGGAGCGAAACGCTGCCCCAGGAGGGAGGACTGTCAGGAGGATGCAGGCGAGGAGGATTTCTGCCCCGTCGAGGACGAGGATGTAGACTTGTGACTGTGAGATGGCGCTGTCGAAGCCTGTCCCGACTTGGACAAGACGTGTGATGGTTCGGATGAGAATAAGAATCGTGGCGATTTGTATGCCTAAGAGTAAGCTATCAGCACATCGATCGACTTGTTTGACAATCGGGATTACCCACATAGGAGAGAAGTCTTGAAGCGCGCGGAGAGGTAGATATCGGAGTGCTCCCGATCCAGAAGGTCGCGGCTATGCACCAGCTTGATAAGAAACCAGTAGTAGAGACCAAGAAAGACGAAGATGCTCAAAGCTTGAAGAGCAAGGCCGACGAGCAGAATGTTGACACCCTGATTTACCTATTGAGAAAGTCAGCCTACCTATATCTATTTATTCAATGACCAACAACGAACCTCAACATCGCTGGTGCCCTGGACAGCGAATGCGCTGCCAACGCCTTGAAAAGCAAGAGTAAAGACATCAAATGCGAGGAAGAAATATGCCAGGTAAATAGGCTGTGATATGCCGCTGATGTCGGTTCCATATATCGTGAGGACGTGTGGTAGAACAAGATATATCGCTGCTGTGATGAACGTGGGACCCATCACCGTCCCAAGCAAGAATAGCACAAAGTACTTCCTGCTGGCAAGATTCGTCCGCAGCATGAACCGCCCTACGTATCCCATGACCTCAAATAGCAGGCCCATAACGAACGCCACAGTGTAAAGGGGTGTCTTCCATCTTAGACCGGTCAACACATTGACAGGGACCAGAAACGCGAAGGCAGCTAGTAGGAAGAGGCTACCTCCCATCGATGGGCTGTCCAGAAAGAAGCCGCGGGTTACCGGGCAAAGGTCCGGAGAGCAATCACCCGAGCTGATGACCGCCATGGTGGAGTGTCGACGATGTCATTGAAAGTTGGGAACAACAACGACGATGACAACTGTAGTGCTCCAACTTTGAAAGGGTAGGAAGGAGTGAGGGGAGGAGAAGCAGTAAGAAGAGGCAAGGCTGCCTCGGTAAGGTGTGGAAAGACTGGCATACTTATGTTCGGCCCGGAGAGCAAAAGGGTGTGGAGCGTTCACCCGTGGAGGCTCCCGAGGCTTTAGATCATTGTCCCTACGGCGCTTATACGCAATTTACAAAACTCACAAGCAACTAGTCTGCAGCGTGGACCGAGACTGCCTTTGTATCGATGGTGCCTTGTCAACTGTACCATCGCATGTAACCCTGACCTCGAGTCCAAGTTGTCAACGGCCCAGAACCGAGGCGTTGTCACCCCTGGCATTATATTAGATCAAAAGTTATGCCCAACATATACATCACTCGTGACAAAAAGGTGTAGCCAAAGTAAATGCAGGACCAGGATGCGCACTCGTGCATCTCAAAAACAAAAGCAACATACTGACAGAGAGGGGAGTGATACGGGTTGGTCGAGCAAACAAGTTTGCGCCATCCCACCATAACACGGCTTGAGGAGCCTGTAAGGGTTGGGTGGCTGGGCCCTGGCTGCATGAAGCAGAGCTATGAGAAGGGGGTCCTCGCCTGGACGGACAGAACCAACATGTTCGAGATAGAGCGAGAGGGGTGGTATCGAAAGATAGGAGCGTCGTAGACCGGTTACCGACCGTATGGTACAGCCGTTTGTGTTAAACGCTGAGGATAGTCGAGCCAATGAGCTTGGAGGGAGGTGGATTGTCCGACTTTAGCCGGGGGCTTTGCGCTGCCCTTCACACATCTTTTTGCAAGCGTGGGTGCATGGCGACTTGGCTGTTGGTTCAATAGAGAGATGTTGTCACCCAATGGGTCAAGTGCCGTTTCTGGACAGTGAGTAGATCATCAACCAACTTGTCTGCACAGCAGATTGGTTTGCGGGACTTTCCTGCAGGAGTGTCCTGCACGAAGGTAGCGGGAGCGCTTATCGAGGGCGAGAGATTCGCGCTGGCTGGAGACGATGATACTCTGCCCCTCCCGGATGCTGTTCCGCACCACCTTTTGCTCGACAAAGAAAATGACAAGTCTCTTGGACGGAGCAGTCTTCCTAATCCCGTTCATCAATCGCGCGGCTAGACTGGAAGATCATGGACAGAGTCCCATTTCTGGCAGCTCAGGACGATGATAGACGCTGCCGTGAGTCCGTGATTGCATCGACGCTGCACTGGTGCATCGCCATAAACGCGTGTACATGCGAACACGGACTGATCTCTGTTCTCCTCGTCAAGTGATGTTTTGCCAAGGGAGAATGGCAGCGCTCACACCAACATCCTGGATGCTTGTCCAAGGGGCGATTAATTCGTTGACGCGTTGCCAACTGGCAATCCTTCGACTTCGTAGGATCAAGCGCTGACAGCCTCCGGCGTCCTCGCCGACACCTTACAGACGAAGGCGCGCCTATCGTGGCCAGTCGACAGTTTGTGAATGCCTATACCCTCCTAAAGGGCATGAAGCCACCTTCTTGCGGGCTAGTGCATTCACATGTTAGGACGAGAACGACGGACCAGGTCGTGGATGTTTGCACAAGATGGCTGCGCATAGTCGGCGACCTGCCCCATCAGGAGGAGGATAAACGCCTGAGATGCTCGCTAGGCCTCTGATCCCTACAGTGGCTGTTCCTTCCCGCTGTGGGTCATTTCCGTAGTGGTGTGGAGGCCCACGCTAGCACCCGTTTTGCTAAAAGACACCTAACGAGGCCCGGTGTTTGGGGGCCGTTTTCCCTCGTGTCTGGGAAGCCTTCTGCCAACAGAGACGAGCAACAAGCATTGATTCGTGCAGTTGGCTTTACCTCGAGTGTCCAATAGAAGCAGGAACATGGACTCGAGAAGAAGCTGAAATTTCCTGCCAGCCATCGCAATGTGCTTGGGCTGAGTTCTCGTTGATTGTAATCCGTACAGAACGTGCCTGTAAGGTAAGTGTAGCTCGATCAGGTAAGTGTTGCCAGGCAGTCAGGAACTCAACCCAAGAGTTGCATGAGAAATTCCGGATCTACTCGAGTTGTAGTAGTGGCTAAGCAATACTTAGGCCAGGTAGGTATCCAGGTAGGTATCCAGGTAGGTATCCAGGTAGGTATGTAGATCCATGTACAGTAGGTATGTACTGCACTCACTTCTACATAACATAAATAAGCCTCCGCGGGTGCTGGATATGTGAGTCGTGAAGTGCGAACGCCAACTAAGCATGTCAAAACATTTCACAGCACGCCTCACATCATACAAGAAGCATGTTCTAAATGAGAAGTAAAGCTGATATTGTTTCAGTGAAATCTCGCTGACAATTTCGGTTGCTCGCTGTCTTTCTGTTGTCTTTTAGAGGAAGATATGTAGAATTATAGTGACGTCACGCACGGCGAGTCTTAGCTTGTATGCCATCATGGCTAAGCCCAACACGCATCTTTCATTGCGAACAACACGCGCAAATGTCAAGTCGCATGCCCTATATATCGAAACAATGCGCGGCAGGTGACCAGTTCGAATTGAGATGCGAGAAATGAGGATATTGAGCGCTTCCGCTGCGCGCCGCCAGATCCAATCGCGCTATTTATTGCCACGGCAATCGACGTGTCTCGTGCCCTGTCGGTCGTGGTTAAAGAGACCTGGTGCGAGGTCGTGTAAAAGACCCTTCAGTCAATCATCACAGTACACGCGAGACGATGGCAAGGATCCTCGAAGCCAGGAGCTGACGGGACTTATCACCGATGAGTTTGCCCATGTTCGGGAGAGTTATGGTAGGGCGACAAGGACCCGAGTGATCCGGCGACTAGAATCACCGATCAACTCAACAAAGCCAGCTAACCCTGCAAATAGAAGCACCAAAACATCCAATTGTGCTGGCTCATGGATTATTGGGGTTTGCCGAGCTCAAATTGGCTGGCTCGTACCTGCCACCCATCCATTACTGGCATGGCATCAAAGAAGCCTTGAGGGACAAAGGCGCGGAGGTCATAACCGCCACCGTCCCGCCTTCGGGAAGCATCGAGCAAAGAGCGGCTCGCCTTGGCGAAGAGATCTCTCGACACGCTAATGGAAAGTCCGTCAACATTATTGCTCACTCTATGGGCGGACTCGACGCCAGATATATGGTTTCTAGGCTGCAGCCGTCGAATGTTGATGTGAAGAGTCTAGTAACGGTAGCGACGCCGCACTCGGTGAGTATTCTTCTGCTATCGGTACGGGATGATGCTAATCATACAAGGGGAGCGCCTATGCCGACTACTTGATTGATGAGATCGGCCCTCATTATCTCCCTAAGCTCTATGAACTATGGGAGCGGACCACTGGTTGGGACACAGGTGCCTTCGGGCAGCTCACACGGCGATATATGACCGAGGAGTTCAACCCGAAAACTCCAGACGATCCCAATGTCCGGTATTTCTCGTATGGCGCAATGTTGGACAAGAAGCCACCATTGCTCAGTCCCTTTCGACAATCCTTCAACATACTATCTCAGCTTGAAGGTCCGAACGACGGGCTTGTCAGTGTTGAAAGCGCACGCTGGGGCAAATATCAGGGCACACTCTCCGGAGTTAGCCACCTTGACTTGATCAACTGGACCAATAGATTACGGTGGACGGTGAGGAAGTGGTTGGGCGAGGAGAATCCGTGAGTGCCTTTGTTGCTCATTGAACTCCATGCTCCTGCTAACTAGCTATCAGGTTTAATGCGATTGCCTTCTACCTGGCTATTGCGGACATGCTGTCCAAGGAGGGCCTATGAAAACTGGGGCTCTGTGATCCTCATCATGAGGTTGGTTGTTCATGAAGTCTCCAGCTGGTCGAATAGGGACATGATCTATATATATAATACCCATGGTAAATAGCCGGTGGAAGGAAATGAAATGTGGAAATGTATGTACATGCAGCTTTTCTTCTAAAATCAACGCCGCATCTTGAGCATCGCTCATGATGCCACGCGTATATGAACACATTAGGATGCAACCGAAATCCAACTATGGAATTGGTTGCGTGCATCCTTCTATTGTTTCAGATTCCTTTGCCTATGGCAAGGCTTTCGATGTCTTAGTCGCCGGCATTGCTTGTTTAAGCATCCTCGGGTGTCATTGTCTTCAACAAGCCGTTAGACTGTCTTTGTTTGCCGGTCCGGGCCTTTGTAGCTCTTTGTCATCCCGAAACACTGCTGTGGAAATGACGTTCATAGGCAAACAAAGCCTTACGGCGACCAAACTGACAGCAACTGCTGTTCATATATAACGAATGCATGAGCCTTGGATTCCTATATCCTCCTTTACCTCTCAATAACAACTCATTCCATACGAAATCCGCGTAATTCCCACCCAGTCATCAATGATGTCTCGCCTCAGCAGCAGTTCAAGTGTCGTGATACCTATCGACCCTGCGTCCATCGCCGCCATTGAGTCCTGTATCAACAGAGAGCTTTTGCGTTGCGAGACGCTCCTCCAAGCTGCAACCGCGGAGCGTCGGTATGAAGTTGCATTGATACACGCCGAAAACGCTTATACAGTCGCCACCGAGTGTCATCTGCCGGCTATGCAGGCAAAGGCAAACTTCTACAAGGCACAGTGCTTCAAAAAGTTGGGTCTACGATACCTGGCTCACGACTGCAGGAACAAAGCCGCGGAAGAGCTGCAGCGTAACACGGACAGCTTAAGTCGCGAGTGCATTGCGGAGATGGAGGCTTTTCAGAAGGTCGACGTTGGGGACAGGGGAAATGCAGGCGATGATCGTGCTGCTGATGAGGACATTGATTGGATTGCGGCTGGTGAGGCTAACGGAAGCTCTCAAGAGAAGCACCTCGTCCGTGACGAAAAGGGGAGAATTATCGAAATCCTCAGTGAAAAGCCCTCATTGCGAAGCATGAAGGGCAGAGACTTTGTGATTCCCAACTCTATGGTATGATGCTCCCCTTTTGTAAAATTCTAGATGAAGTTGCTAACCCACAACAGCCGATGTGGGCGAGACAACACTGGCGCCTGAGAAGATCAAGCAAGGGCTGCAGTCGGAGGCCGTCACCACTTAGGTAAGTCATCTCATATGTCATAATGCATTGAATAGAACATTATGCTCAAGTATATATATATCACTTTCTGTTCTTGCTGGGTTAAGTCCATATTGTGTCATGTTTTCATTGGGAGAAAGGTTCGTCAAGTGACCGATATACAATCGGCACTAGCTAATGGAGAGGACCGAGGCAAACAACGATTTTCGGTAAGGAGACTACTCGGTTAGCCTCTACGCCTATCTACTCAGTGTTTTGTCGTCAATAGCCTTACCATATAACTCTGTATTCATAAGCATGAAGATAAAGGCACAGATTACTGAAAATGTAGTGTGGCTGACTTGAATATACTACGGCCAAAGCTCCCCTTTCATCCAAGACCAGGCGCCTCTTCTCACATCAGTTACTTTCAACTCCACTTGCCATAATCGTGTTCGATGGTCCATAATCAGCATGTACAGCGTCTTGGACCTCGAGGGACTGGCGCTCATCCCCTGGAGGGGGAAGAATGACCATGTCTGGAAAGGCGCAAAGAAATGCCCATCAAAGTTGTTCGCTATGGCTTTCGGAACTTCATAACTCGCAGTGGTGGCAGCACCTCATTCTTTACATGCTTCTTCCCGGGTGGCAACTCACCGATCACCTTGTGTTCGTGCTCCCCTTACTGGATGTGTCTCCCTTGATGGCCGCCTCTCCACAAATGGCCGAGATATTGTCTCAGAGAGCTCGGGCTCCAGGAAATGTTGTTGGCTACGTATGGTTCCAATCTTGAGTACCTGATTCTGTTAGCAGAGAATGCCAGGTTGCAGAAGGCACATATCGTGAACTTGAAGGGCCATAGTCGGCTTCTTCGCCAAGTTAGCTGGGAGAAGTCATGGCTAATGTTTCCAGAAAGATGGGTTGTTCTTTCGCAACCTTCGAAGTTGCCCCCTTTCAAGACCACGAGCCTAGAAATTAATTGAATGGGACAGTTGATGACCCGTGGATCGTGGAACAGCCTTGCTCAGGGACTAGATACTTTCACGTGGTGCTCGAACTGCAAAAGACGCCACAGGGTGATCAACAATTGTAATGAATTGAGCATGTTATGCTAATTAGTTGTGCTCATAGAAAGGATCTCGTTATACGTGACTGAGCACATGAAAAAGTTGGGTTTGTCATATATGGGACAAGTAGCTGTTCATGCTACCTTTCTGAACATCTCCCTGATCCAGTATCATAACGGGAGGAATGGTTCGATAGAAATTGAAGCCCACAACTTGATTTGGCAGTCAAAGAGCCTTGCGTCATATTGGTACATGGTACATGTGTTCTTTGATTTTGCTCATTTAGTCATACAGGTCTGGAATTGCTTCATATCCTCAAGATGTGACCAAACGCTGCGTGAAGTCAGTGGCATTGATGCTCCATCAGCTAAATGAGCATGCTACGTGACTGCAGGCTATGAACTTTGATAGTTCCCTCGTCTGGTCTCTAGACTCTTTGTAATATCTCACAGATTACTGTTAACTGTGATCACATGCACCATGCCCCGTCTTTGATAAAGCGAGGTTGCATCGATCGTCACTTGCCGTTTTTGTGTTTGGCGGCGCCGATTCTACAGGCATGCAACAGGATCGGATCCTGGGTCGTAATCAGATCGAAGGCTAGTTAAGGCCGCATACAGTATGCGACCGGTCGAGAGTTCAGGTTCCTCCATGGTGCGACCTGGAACCTGGTGAGTTGATATCCCTTGGCCGGTGGGGTTCTCCTAAGCGACCTGCACGACACCACGAATGGTGGATATCTAGTAAGATATCCCGTCCCGTGATGGAGCCTCGACACTCTAGATTGATTCCGTCATGCTGAGTCAAATTGCAAAATTGGGGCAAGTCCGATATCTGGCCGGAAGCATCCTCATCCAGGTGACCGCGCGCGCGAGAGAAGTCAGCGAGATTGGGGTTAGACACCATGCACCTGAGTCATTGATACTTTTTTATTAGAGCGGGATCAAAATAAGCTTAACCAGAATGTTGCACGACATTTGCAGGTTTTGAGTCGCCTTGGATGCTGCGTGGTCGATCGTTTCTCGATTGCGGAGGTGTTTTAGATGGAATAGCACGAATTGCGTGTAAGTCTATAGGTTGATGGGACGTTCGATTAAGCATCGTAATCGCTGAAGCACTAAAGATGCCCTAACAGCACTTAACCGAGATAGTAAACTGCGCAGCGCGCTGTTTCTCTCCAAAGGGTTCAAATCGTATCCGTTATCTTCAGGGCTTCCAAAAACCTCCTGCCACATTCACAAACTTCATCTTCAGATGTCCCTATCGAATTCGCACTGAAAGAGGTACTGACTTGTTGATCTGGTTCACTATTATCAAGGTGCTGCATCTACGAGCAGGTATCATGGCCCTTCTTTGGCATGCATCGGCAGAGGAGTTGAGAGCGGTTTCCGAACTTGGCTTTCTGAATCGCATCAAAGTTGGGGAAGCAGCCAATGACGGATGCAGCTTCCTTGGGGTTTCGGGATTGAGTCCTGCGTGATTTCCTGTTTGAGACAAACGGCTATGATCGGTACCTTCCAATGCGTTCAATGACGGGCTTTTCTTCTTTTACACGTCGATGCTCACTCCACTCGTACCGTGCGTCGTTGACTGAATTACATTCTCGTAATCACCTTCTACCTCTCGCCTAGACCAAGGACAGAACTGCAACGGGACACTTCGACTTGCGCTTGACGATATCAGGTCGTAGTACGACGGGGTAGCCTTGGGCAAGAAGCTAATGCCACTGTGGTCCTATCGCCTTGGCTGCAACCTCAGGTTCTTCACCATCCCACGTCGCAGGTTGCCTCCAGAGGCCCTGTCAAGTGCCTCGGGAGGCGGGACATGAGTTAAGCCGCCTGTGCTGTGTGTTATCTCGATAATGTCCCCCACGCTTTGTCCCGACACTGCAACCCCAACACACAGTCTCGCGATGTCTGTGCCTGGGTGGCCTAGAAGTGCCACGATGGCGGAATTGGTCGCGTTGCTCGACTAGCATCACCATGGTAGATGACGATAAGCCAAACCAGAACCACCTACCCTTTCTCGATCGAGTTGACCGTCGATTCGCCCCTGTCCTGCATGTAGACCTTCCCACAATTGGTTTGGTCGTAGCATCGATGGCCAACGGGCATCACAGCCGAGAAGGAAAATCTCCTTCGATCGACTGCCGCCCCTCCCATTCGACGATCAACGACTTCCATCTTTCCGCATTGTTTTGGCTTTAACCGCCCGCATGAGATACGAAGATCGCCACCAAGGCTTTCCAATGGTGTTGTTTGACTGCATACGTTTGGATGGTTCCTTACAGTCAGGGCGGATTCCAGAAGTCTTCGCCGCCATCTGTTCAGGGTTGTCAAGGCTTGCCAATGATTGTCAGCCTCTGTATAGCTCCAATATGCCGCCTTTTGCTATGGTCTTTCCGTGGTGTCGCAGACAAAGTCCCATCGCACAGATTCTAATATTTCCCCTCTTGTCTATATTGCCGCTCAATGAACCGGTTTGGGAGCAGTTGCCCTTGAGCAGTATCCTTGAGGCATGACGGCAGCACGACATCAGCACGGTAATCTTATGCACGCTTGCTCTGCACCTCACATGTACAATTCTAAGAATCGCTTGTTCCCTTCCTTCTTCCGTGCAGCGTGGATCACGAGCCTGTGACGCGTCTGAATTGGGGCTGCAACTTGCAGCTTTCCTCATGTCAGCACTCCGCAAACGTGACCATCAGCTCTGCCGTCTCCCCACAACATAGAGTATAATGATTCAAGGCTGCTAGCTGTCAAAGCATTTTGACAGTCGATATAATGATATTACTTGCGTTTGTGGGGAAGAACCCAGCATAGCATGAGTGGTCATCCACGGTTCTCAGCCTGTTGTCTAATTTATACGCTTTATCCATATTGACACTACCCCGAATTCGACCAATTAGGGTGCGGGCTGTCTAGTCTTGTGGTTGATTCCGGATGGCCACCTCCCATACTTTCCCAGTGTCTTTGACTGCCTTATTGCACCCTGCTTTGTCAAGATTACAATATCTAAGTCTCCAGATTGACCCTATCGGTGACCACCGAGGAGGTTGTCGAAACAAGCCTGTCCCCCGGGGCAGAAAGCCCAGGACCGAAGGTCACATCGCCTGGATGCAAGGCCTTACCTTGGCAGCTCCGAGGTTTCATCACTGTCAACTGTAGAGCCTTCCTCGTTCGTGTCTCAAAGGCCGGCATCTTCCATGAACGGAGACAGGGATGTCCCTCTCCTAGGGGGGAAGGGGCGTTGCCCTTCTGGACCTGCCGAATGTTGGAATCATGGGATGGCAAGTGCAATCAACCTGATTCCTTGCAGACAAATCGATGATGTTGCAGTCCTTCATCTATTCCGTGGCTTTTTCCAATGCTCCCTCCAGCGAGTCAGAGTGGCATAAATCGCCGCCATTTCCTGATAACTTCTGATGTACGGTATATGGCATGGTAGTCTATCTCGATGCCATCTCCTTGCAAGCTCGTTTGCGCCTCTAGACCAGTCTATATTGTATTTCAGCGCCTTTCTAGCAGAAACTTGTGGTCACTGTGAAACGTTGGAAGTGGGCTGAGCCGAGTTCATCCTATATTCGACCCTGAGCAAAGATACACTGGTCTGTTATAAGATCGACCTCACCATACCTCGGCAGTTGTCGGTCACTGGTGAATGCCCGAAGTAGATATCAGGCGTTCATCCGGTCTCGACTCTTCTTCAGTACCTCTTACTTTCACCGTCTGCTCAAATTCACCTCACAATGTCTGTATCTCCACCATCCAACTTAACTCACGGCCCTCCTGGTGGGCAAGGAGCCCAGGGGGAACATGGAGGAGGAGGAGGAGCAGCGGGCGGGCATGGCGGTGGAAACGCTGCCATGTATGCCAGATTCGCAAAGAGACTGGCCCTCAATAAGCGATACATGAGGATTTACGCAGCTTCTCTATGTGCACTCATTGCTATTTTTATCATCACTCATTGGGTTCGGCTTGTGATCAACAGAGCAAGACGCTCATCCAAATCACAAAAGCCACCCAAGCTAACTGCCCCTTTTGCTTACGTCTCAAGGTTTGTACATATCATTATCTCAATTCCATTTTGATTAAACAAAGCTTATTGAAGTATAGAGCTGCGAGAAGTGTTCTCATTCGCAAATTCCCGGGCTTTAGTTCAAATGGTCACGTCTTGTTGGTCACGGCTTATGTTGGCATCAATGCTGCGCTCACCTTTACCGGTGTTGATTTGACCAGTGGTGGCTCCCTTGGCAACAGATTTGGCTGGTAAGCTTTCTTCACCTCATTTCATGAAGATTGTGATGTTGACGAGCACTGTATAGGATGCTATCAGCAAACTTCGTGGTGGTAGTCTTCTTGGCTTTGAAGAATACACCGCTGGCTGTCCTAACTGCTTACTCGTACGAGCGGCTCAATGTTCTTCACCAAGTGGCTGGTTATGCTACAATCCTGTATCTGGTGCTCCATGCCTGTGTCTACTCTGGATTCTTTGGCGAGGCACACAAACTGTATATTCTCCGAGAAGAGGAACAGATTTGCGGCATCATTGCCGGGTTCGGCTTCTTGGGTGTCTTTATCTCAGCTGCTTTCATTCGACGTTATTGGTACGAGGCCTTCTACATCACCCACATCATCTCGTTCCTTGTCGCCCTAATTTGCGGAGCTTTTCACCAGCCGGACCTGGGCAAGGGTATCTTGGTGATGTTGCTGATCATCGCATGCATCTGGGTCTCAGATCGTTTGATCCGTGCCCTGAGAGTCTTCTACTACTCCACGAACAACCATGCCACTGTTCACCCGTTGCCTAATGGTGGAACCAAGATTGTTATGGCAAAGAAGCCCTGGAATGCAGTCCCTGGAAAACACTGCTTCGTCTGGATTCCGAAGATTCGCCTCTTGGAGATGCATCCATTCACAGTTGTGGCGACCGAGCCGATGGAATTTATCATCAACTCATACGACGGCTTCACTGGTGACCTCCACAAGTATGCCTTAGACCATCCGGGCGCCAGCCTCAAGGCCTCTGTCGACGGCCCTTACGGAACGTTTCCAGATCCCATGGAGTATGACAAGATCATTCTAATCGCGGGTGGAAGCGGTGCTAGCTTTACCTTCGGTCTCGCAGTCAACCTGCTCGAACGCATGGGACCAGAATCGACAAAGAATATCGTATTTATCTGGGCAGTTAAGAAACATGGTAAGTCGATTGTTTCTCGAAAATGTGTTTGCGGCATGATTATCTGCCTGCATATTGATGCACTACCCACCCCTTTTCAAGTAATAATAAGAAAACACACACACCCGACCGCTAACTCTGTGACTGCTAGACAACTTGACTTGGTTTACTGATCACCTTACCACACTTCGGACACATAATCACTCACCGAAGGTGACAGTTTCGCTCTTCGTGACTCGCGCTCCAGCATCCCCAATGTCAGACGAGCAGCGCCGAGGAAGCGTCCTAGTCCGCGGCGCGATTCACCGCACTGACGAAGAGTCCCTATCCTCAGAGCACCAAGTGAGCCCAATCTCGCCGATCAGAGATCTAGAGAAAGCTCTGATGGAACTACCACCTCGCGCACATGTTCGTGATGACGACAAGCAGCACATAGAAGAGACCGAGGAGAAGCGAAATATCCAAGAGACTCACGCAGATCACGATGGCAGCCACGAGCGTGATCACGACCACACCAATCAACGACGTGATCATTTCCGGTCCGCAAATGCGGCTATCTCCACGGCGACCAGCAACGATAGCCTGGCGCTGGCACATAGAGTGACTCCTGGCAGGCCAGACACGGCCATGCTGATCCGCGAGGAGGTCTCCCGGACGCCGGGCCACCACCGCGTACTGATATCGGCATGCGGACCCAATGGTCTCATGCGCGTAGTGCGCAAGACGGCAGCAGGCTGCATCCGGGGCGACGGGCCGGAAGTCGAGTTGCACTGCGAGCAGTTTGGTTGGTAAAAGGGGAAGATGCGCTCGAGCCCACCTGCTCCTCCGCATATCGGGCGAATGCGGTTGTTGCTGCTCCGAGCCAAGAAAGAAGGAGAAAAGAGACAAAAATCCACGTCACGCCTCAGGTAGTCGGATACTGCGCCTGCAAGGGCCGAGGTATATTGCATATGGGATGGAGTTCTAATCAGGAAATCTATGGAAACCCTTGGTTCGAGGCATCTTGTTTGGACATACGGGCTTGGGACTTATTTTCTTCTTCCTCCCCTTTGTCGAGACAGTCTGCAATCTCTCTGTCAGCGCTGTCGTGAAATGGAATATCAAGGTGCTCCTCTACAAGAAGTTATAAGTTATCAGCAACTACCTACTACTTACTACTACCACAACTTTGAACAATACTTGGAGCGCTCGCTCGAGACGGGACGCTGCTACGAACAGATGAATACGATGGCAGCAGCCATTCTCTCTATAATGAACAAAAGATATCAAAAAACTTTCTTTTCATTTTTTAAAAAAAAGTCTCTTTAACATGGGTTTATCGTTGAGTATGGTATCCGAAAAGTCTGCTGTCGATGATGCAACAACTATGAAAGGTATAATGGGTTTCTTTGGCTCCCCACTATCATAAAACCGGACACCACCTATGAAAAGTCCCTTTCCCACCCTTTCCTTTGCGCGCCGTATGTTGAAGATGCGATCCGCTGAACACAAAACGGGGCCCCGGGAAATACGTTGAGTGTATAGTATATATCTAGAGAGTTCAAAGCAGGATCATGCTTTGGTGCATTCCATCTGTAGTAAATAGATGCGTCGTGTTGAAATTTTTTTTGATGTAGTGCGTTAGTTGGTCGGGCCTAGAACAGGCCGTCGATCTCGCCAGTCTCGGTGTCGACGTCGACGTTGAGATAGCCCGGGGCAGTGGGCAGACCGGGGATGGTCTGGATGTCAGCAGCGAGGGCATAACTGAATAAAGTTAGTCATTAAGATCCAGAGGATGCGCATATGCTCTGGGCAGAACTTACAGATAGCCAGCACCAGCCGCCATCCTCACGTCCCTGATCGGGACGGTGAACCCGCTGGGCGCCCCCTTCAAGTCAGGATCGTGCGACAGCGAGTACTGGGTCTTTGCCACGCAGATGGGGAGGTTGCCGAAGCCCTGGCGGGTGTACGTGTCGACCTTCTTCTGCGCGAGCTCGCTGAACTCGACGTTGGCGGCGCCGTACATCTTTTGGGCGATGGCCTCGATGCGCGCCTGCACGGAGCCCTCGAGGTCGTAGAGCAGCTTGAAGTCCTTGGGCTTCTGTGACGCGGCGATGACGCCCTTGGCCAGGTCCACGGCACCCTTGCCGCCCTCGGCCCAGTGGTTGGACAGGATGGCGTCCTCGGCACCAGCGGCAATGGCCTCCTCGCGGATGACGGCTATCTCGGCATCCGTATCCGTGATGAACTTGTTGATTGCCACCACGACGGGCACGCCGTAGGTGCGCGCGTTCTCAATGTGCTTGCGCAGATTGACGCAGCCCTTGCGTAGGATGTCGACGTTCTCTTGCTTGTAGACAGCGTTGAGGGGTGCGCCGGGAGCGATTGGTGGGCCGCCGCCGTGGACCTTGAGAGCTCTCACGGTCGCGACAACGACCACAACGTCAGGCACAAGACCGGACGTGCGGCACTTGATGTTGAAGAATCGCTCACCACCCATGGTGAAGTCGAAACCGGCCTCCGTCACGACGAAGCCAGCCTTGTCATTGTAATCCTCGTCGGGCTCTGTGCCTGTCAACTTCAGTGCCATCTTGTCAGCAAGAATGGAGCTGTTGCCGATGCTGATATTGGCGAAAGGTCCAGCGTGGACGAAGACTGGAGTACCCTCGAGAGACTGCATCAAGTTTGGCTTGATAGCATCCTTCATCAGAGCAGTCAGGGCGCCTCCTGCACCGAGATCATCACAGGTGACCGGATCACCGCTTCTCGATGTTCCGATGACCATACGGCCAAGTCGCTCCCGCATGTCTGCTAGATCGGTGCTAAGGGCCAGAATAGCCATACACTCACTGGCGACTGAGATATCGAATCCTGTCTCACGGGTGTGGCCCTTCTCTGTCGGTGCGGTTCCGACTGTGATACCTCGCAAATGACGATCGTTGACATCCAAAACTCGTCTCCATGTAATGCTGTCCGGGTCTATATCCAAGCGAGCGAATCGGTGAACCTCGTCCTCGGTCAGCTCGTCCGGGTTCGTCTTCTCAATTCCTAGCTTCTTCAAACGACGGAACATAACCGGCGCAAATTGTCTCTTGCCATTCTTAGCAGGCACCAATCGCCTGTAGAGAGGGCCGTCCTTCTGTGTGTTCTCGTGAAACATGCGGGTCTCGATAGCGGCAGCCAGGAGGTTGTTTGCCGCAGTGATAGCGTGGATGTCACCAGTCAAGTGCATGTTGAACTCGTCCATGGGAATGACCTGGCTGTAGCCACCACCTGCTGCACCACCCTTGATACCGAAAGTAGGTCCCTGGCTGGGCTGGCGGACATTGGCAAAGGTGAGACGTCCAACGTGAGCTCCAAGAGCCTGTGCAAGTCCCATAGTAGTGGTAGATTTTCCCTCTCCAAGAGGAGTAGGGGTGATTCCGGTGACCACTACGTATCGGCCGTTTCGCCTGTGCTCCAGACGCTTGAGCAGAGTTAGGTCAACCTTGGCCTTGAATGCACCGTATGGCTCCAGCTCATTGGGAGCAATGCCGACCTCGGAGGCAACTCTTGTGATGTTCTTCGGTGTCTGCGCTCGGGACACAGCGATGTCTGAAGGTACCGGGTCCTGCAACTTGAGGGGCAGGGCAATGATGCGTCGGTTCTTCTGCTGCTCGAAGTAATTGGTGGTCGAGTCCACAACGTTCTGGAGAAGCATGGCAACAGTCATGGGTCCTACACCACCAGGCACAGGGGTGATTTGTGATGCGACTTGTGAGGCTGACTCGAATTCAACGTCTCCGACCAGGCGGGTTCCTGACTTCTTGGTGGCATCAGGAATGAAGTTGGTTCCAACGTCAATGACAACAGCACCGGGCTTTAGCCAGTCGCCCTTGATGAAGCCGGGCTGGCCAATAGCTGCCACAACGACATCAGCCTCCTTGAGGTGAGCCTCAAGGTCGGTCGTCTTGGAGTGGCAGACGGTGACAGAGGCGTCCGCATGCCTGAGCAAGTAGCTGACAGGAGCACCAACAATGTCACTTCGTCCTACGACAACAGCATTCTTGCCCTTGAGCTCAACGCCAGCCTCTTGCAGCAGAACCATGACACCCTTGGGCGTGCAGGGGATGAAGAGAGGGTGTCCATCACGCTTGGCCAGCTCGCCAATGTTGGTGGTACCGAAGCCATCGACGTCCTTCTCGTATGCGACAGCTGAGGTAACAGCATACTCGGAGATGTTTGCGGGCAAAGGGAGCTGCACGAGGATGCCGTGCACGGTGGAGTCGTGGTTGAGGCGGAAAATTTCATCCAGCAGCTCAGACTCGGTGATGGATTCCGGGAAATGGAGAAGCTCGCATTGGATTCCTGCCTACACGCAAATACACGTTAATCACCAGTCTTGAGAGCTATTATGAGAATCAGGAGGGGTTTACTTCTTCGGCAGCCTTCAACTTCATGCGAACATAGGTAGCTGCGGGGGGTCAGTATTGAAGATGCACGGCCCGGGACCTTTTGCTATGGTGGGGTAGCATGCATGACTTACAAGAGTCAGTGCGATCACCAACTTTAAAAAAACGCATTGCCGTTAGTTTAGAGTGCTTCAAAAACAAACGGAGGCCATAGGATGGTGCTGCATACCTTGGATGATCTTCAGAGACGGCTGGTACCTGGGATTGGTCTTCCGCTTGTCGTCAATCTCGGTTCGCAGACCGTCCCGGATCTTTTTGGCGATGGCCGTGCCATCGATCTTGGTGGCGACCATGTTGCGGCTCGACGACGAGAAGGAGGCACAAGATCCGTTCCTCTGACGCAGACCCTGAGAATCTGCAGAGAGAGACGGGGAGGAAGAGCGGGAGAAGAGTGATCGTGATCTGGCGTGCAGAACAGGGCTGGAGAGAAGAAGAAGAAGAGAAGAGGTTGCGGTCAGGGTCCGGCGGCGCCCGAGGACAGAAGATCGCAGGCCCAATCGCGGGGTGTTGTGGGAGCTGCCGATCTCAGGGCCGATCGCAGTATTAGGAAGCTGATAGCGCTTGTGGCTCGTGCTGTAAAAATAATTTGCAGCTGTAGCAGTGGTGGTTGTAGTAGCACCGCCGGCGTAGTTGCCCGGCGCCGGGCGTGTAGAACCCTGAAGGATTGGCGCGAAACGCCCGACGGGCACCGCACCGCTAGCGGCCGATGGGAAATTCAATCCTGCATAAGAAGAGGACAGCAGGCGCTGCCTATTGGGAGAAGAGGCGCCAGAAAGGCCAGTCCTCAAGACCATGTCTCTTCTTCACCACGATCAAGCAGCAAGCAAGCAAGCAAGCAAGCAAGTGCTGTGCGACTGAGAGGCCAAGGTGACTCGACCAATCCCACTGACACGACGCTCTTGGCTGACTGTCTTTCTCCCTCTGCAAGAAAGGATCGATCCTCCAGTGACTCAGGTCTGATCCTCTGTGAGTGAGTGACTGTAGCTATGACTCGATGACCGGGGCGTCTAAGATGGATGACAAGACAAAGATGTCTTTCCGAGATGGACGTTCCAGTGCGGTGAAAGCCAGTATGAAAATCCAATTGGCCTGAAAACGGAAAATGCTGGTCTATAGGTCTAGAGTACAGATAATAGAGTAAAGACGGGAGAGGAAAGCGAAGGGCAAAGTCCTAACGCGGTAACGGAGGCTCCATGTCGAGACAAAGATCGCGTGAAAATATTCGACGACAGGTACCAATGCGATGGAAGCAACTAATGGTAATCCGCTCCCACAAGGCAAAGGCGCCTTCTTGCTTGGTGGATATCCCAGTGGAGAAAATTCTGCCGTCCAAAGGAGGCTCCGTGAGATGCGATGAGTCAAGAGTCAAGACTCAAGACCAAGACCAAGACTCAATCAAGACACACACGCGGGTGAAATGGCCTGGCCTTTCGCGCCGGTCGTCGAAATCGTCACTTAATTGACTAATTAGTGGATGCGTTACAAGGTAGCTGTGACTGAAGTGCCACTGTAATGAATGACTGCTGTAAATGACTTTCAGGGGTTGCTAACGGCTGTCCTTCGATAAGCAGCCACAGCCGTCTTATCGCCTCGCCACGTGACCTGGGAAATTCTGCCGGGCGGGAGAGTAGGTACCCCTCAGGTCTGTGTCTGTCTGCCGCCCCGCCTTGACGGATGGGCTCCAGTCCCACACAAAAAGAATTCGAGACTTGTATCCCAGTCCAGCGTCCCTCTCCTTTAGAGAAGACTTATAAGACGACCTGCCGCCACCCCTTCCCTCCTTTGAACGACCCCCCAGGACTTCGACTGTAGACTGTGGTTTCTTCTTTGATTTTTCAAGATGAGACCCGTTCTACTTGCGGGCCACGAGAGAGCCCTCACCCAAATCAAGTATGCATGCACAATATACCTGCGCAAGACCGAGGGCTACGAGGACGAAAGACTGACAACAGATGCCAACATCTAGATATAACCCCGATGGCGATCTAATCTTCTCCACGGCCAAGGACCAGCACATCTGCGCGTGGTTCTCACACAATGGCGAGCGCCTAGGCACTTACCACGGCCACCAGGGCGCCATCTGGACCGTCGACGTCGACCCGACCAGCACCATCATCGCCTCCGGCTCCGCCGACAACACCATCCGCCTGTGGGACATCAAGAGCGGCAAGTGCCTCAAGGCCTGGGACTTCCCCACGGCGGTCAAGCGCGTCGAGTTCAACGAGGACGGCACCAAGCTGCTGGGCGTGACGGAGAAGCGCATGGGCCACCTGGGCACCATCGTCGTGCTGGACGTCAAGATCGACGTCGACGCCGAGCAGTCCGACGAGAAGGCGCTGACCATCGTCTGCGACGAGAGCAAGGCCACCGTCGCCGGCTGGAGCTACCTGTCCAAGTACATCATTGCCGGCCACGAGGACGGCTCCGTCTCGCAGTACGACGGCAAGACCGGCGAGCAGATCTACAACGTCCCCGTCCACGAGCTCGGCATGCAGGTCACCGACCTGCAGTGGTCCACCGACCGCACCTACTTCATCACCGCCAGCAAGGACAAGACCGCCAAGCTCATCTCCGCCCGCGACCTCGAGGTCCTCAAGACCTACGTCTCCGACACGCCCCTCAACAGCGCCACCATCACCCCCAAGAAGGACTTTGTCATCCTCGGCGGTGGCCAGGCCGCCATGGACGTCACCACGACCGCAGCAAGGCAGGGTAAATTCGAGGCCAGGTTCTACCACAAGATCTTCGAGGAGGAGGTCGGTCGTGTCAGAGGCCATTTCGGTCCCCTGGTAAGATATATATATTTTTGACAACACCTGCATCTCTTTCTTTGGCCGATCTTTCTAACAACACCTAGAACACCGTTGCCGCCGATCCGACAGGAAAGGGCTACGCGAGCGGCGGAGAGGACGGCTATGTCCGAGTACATCAATTTGACAAGGGCTACTTCGACTTCATGTACGAGGTCGAGAGGGAGCATGCCAATCGGCAATCATAGATAGGCATGATAGTTAGAGGGTCTTTGTCAAATTCTTGGGGCATAAGCAGGCGTTCTGGCACTCGTGTGGGTTCAAAAAAAGGCTAGAGAAGGGCATGTATAATGATTTGATATCCAGTCGAGAGATACAATAGGAGTTTCTCGGGATCACGATCATACCCCCGAATCCCAAAGATGCACGCACGTACATATAATTCCTGGTGATTGATTTTACTTGTTTTCATTCGTGTTCATCACCAATCTCTACCAGAGTCTATGCCATTACCAGCCGGAAAACAATCAAGAGCTAAGCAAGTAAGAAGCTAGCCAGCCGCAGCATCTCATGGCATTGGCCGTAGATTCTAGCAAGTCCCCTGTTCCCACCAAGAAAACAACCAATCCGTACCACACAGATCTCAACATAACGCCTTTTCCACCCAAAGGAGCAGAACCTCTCAACGCCAGGTCTTGTTTGGACCTTTCCATACCGGGCTGCCAAGGCTTTCACAGTGCAAGGCTTTATTTCTTCTTGCCCTTGCCCTTGGCCTTGGCATGGTTGGAGGCGGTTGATGCAACGCTAGAAGCGCGCGAGGGTGAAGTGGACTTACTACCAGCTGCAGACTTGACGTTGTCGAGAGCTTTGTTCTAGAAAGAGAATTAGACAAGTTTTGTAGATGAATCTCGAGTATTATGACATACCTTGACACCGTTGGTCTTTGCCTTCTTCTTCGCTGGTGCCATGCCGAGGACACTGTCTTCATCGTTCTCGTCATCATCGGCCTCTCTCTTAGTCCTACCATTGGATGTGCCATTCGGGCCCTTGTGCACGTCTTCGAACTCCTTCACAATGGTAGTGAGAAGGGTATTGCATCGACGGCCAAGCTCCTGAGGCGTACGACTGAGGAAGAACCAGTCAAAGCGGAACAGGTCACTGTCGCGGATTTCATCGCGGATCGTATCGTAGATGTTCTCCACATCCAGTCCATGCTTGTCGAGAAGAACCAGTAGGAAGCGGTCCTCTTCCTCGGTGTACACCTTCTTGTTGGTGGTCGATACTGAGTAGTTAATCTTGAGCTGTTGAAGCGGAACGCGGTATTGTGACATCTTCTTGCGCAGCATCTTTCGCTGATGCTCGACTTTGCGAAGTTTATCCTCGCCCTCTTCAATATGGTTAATGTGCTTGTCCCAGTGCTCGACCTCACGGTAGCGCTTCCAGAAGACTTTGGCATATTCCTTAATTTCTGCCTCGGTCTTGCCTTGCACCTCCGTAGCAATGCCGGCATAATTCTGTCGCCCGAACTTGTGTGACCCGTTGATGAACTGCTGGAAATGACGCTTGTTCCAAGTATCAAAGCCTTGAGAGGAAAGCTTCTCTTTCTCCTGCTCTTCTTCCTCGTTCAACGGGGTCGCCTCATCGATCTCTGCCTGTTCACGAGCACGCTCAGCTTCGCGCTCCTCGACATCCTTCTCCTCGTCTTCAGCGAGCGGAATCTTGTAGCCGATCTGCTTGCGATAGTAGGCGGTCTCACGGTCGTAGAGCTCACGAAGCTTCGGGGGGAAGAATTGGTAGTCATTGATGTTCATCTGCTTGGGAGGACGAGGAGCCTTGGGCTTCGTATCCGCAGTGCGACCGCCAGTATGCATGGCTTGTCTGTAGTACTTATCAATCGAGTACGTCTGCTCCTTGCGTTCACGCTTGGCAGGGTTGATCCAGTTGATGCCAATGTCTTTCTTCTGGTTCGTGAAGTCTTTGCCGTTCCATTCGTACGCGGACTCGGATGTGAACTTTTGGAGGTCATCAATGCCTAGTTTTTCGTACTTCGCATTCAACTCCTTGGTACGGTTCTCGCCATTCGCCAAGAGGGCGTCGATGTCGTCGTCGGTCATACCAGCCCCTTTATCAGCAAGAGGTCCAGTCGCGCCCTTGGTTTGGAAAACTTTCTCGGCTCCGTGTTGGATCATAGAGAGCAGCTCGTCCTTGTTGGCTGCAGCTTTAGCCGCAATCTGAGCACGACCTTGCTGGATAACAAGCTGATCAAGCCGTAGTTTCTGGGCTGCACGTTCCAGCACCTTCTCCTCGATAGCATTGTCCGTCACAAATCTGTATACAACCACTTGCTTGGTCTGGCCGATACGATGAGCACGGTCCATGGCCTGCAGATCGGCCTGAGGATTCCAGTCGCTGTCATAGAGAATGACAATATCCGCACTTGTCAGATTGATGCCGAGACCGCCAGCTCGAGTGGTGAGAAGAAAGACAAACTTCTCGGAGCCCGGCTTGTTGTACTCGTCGATGGCCGCAATGCGGTCCTCGTGGGCTGTGCTACCGTCGATACGGCAGTATTTGTACTGGCGGAAAACACAGTAATCCTCCAAGATATCTAGGAGACGACTCATTTGAGAGAAAATAAGAACTCTGCTTCCTTGGGCTTGGAGTCGCTTGAGTAGCTTGTCCAAGACTACCATCTTGCCAGCATTGTCAACGAGATGCTCATCCGTTGTGTATGGTGGACCGGGCTCGGCGCCTTCGAAAAGGTAAGGATGGTTACAGCATTTTCGCAGTTGCATGACGATGTTGAGGAGACGTGTCTTTGACTCTCGCTTGCCACCAGCCCCATTGACAGCATCGATATCCTTCTCAAGAATCTTCTGGTACCACTTGACCTGCATCTCTGACATGCCAGTATAAACATTGACTTCCTTCTTCGGCAACAGACTCTTTTCTACGTCAGCCTTCACTCTTCGGAGCAAGAAAGGTCGAAGGACACGGTGCAGCTGCTGGACCACCGTATCTTGATCGCGGTCTTGACCTGAAAACCATTGGTCAAATGCTTCAGAGTCACCGAAGACATCGGGCAGTAGAAAGTTGAGAAGTGCCCACAACTCGTGAAGGTTGTTTTGCAGCGGGGTACCAGTGATCAATAGGCGGTTTCGCGAGTTGAAGAGGCGGATGACTTGTGCGAGTGACGACTCTTCGTTCTTGATGCGGTGAGCTTCATCAATGATGATATACTCCCAAGCAAACTTGCGCAGGTGTGCCTTCTCGCGGAGAATCATTTCGTAACTGGTGATGCAAACGTCGAAGTTCTCGTCGACCAAACGGTCATTGATAAGAGCCGCCCGCTCTTCCTTAGCTCCCTGGAGAACGAGAACATTGACCTCTGGTGTCCACTTGGCAAACTCCCTCTTCCAGTTGTCCAAGGTAGATTTGGGGACTGTGATCAGATGGGGTCCAGTGATGCCCATGATGTGTCGAAGATAGCCAAGGAAGGAAATGGTTTGCAGAGTCTTTCCAAGACCCATCTCGTCTGCCAGGATACCGGAGATACCATTCTCGTGCAGGGAGATCAGCCAGTTGAGACCGGCGACCTGGTAATCTCGCATTTCTCCCTGAATGAAAGCGGGGGACTCCCGGAAGACAGTCTCGGCGGAACCACCGTGTTTCTCGTCCTTGAGCAGTTCTGCATCTTCCTCGGCCTCAGTCCGTCGGCGTCTATCAGTAGTAGCGCCGCCTTGACGACTTCCGGCCTTTTTCGATCTAGCTGCCTCCGCGTTCTGACGGTCAATCTCGGCCATGATTTCGCGGATTTTGGGGTTTGGGTTGGTCTCAATGAAGTGGCGAAACAAATCGGTCAGACCAAGGAGATAACGGAATCGACGGATCGAGTCATCCTCCTTTAGATTAAATATTGTCAGCGACCATGTTGCGCGCAATGTAGATTGGCGCAAGGAGTGTTGCAGGGCTGAACTCATACCTTTGACTCTCCTAAGCGATCATGCTTCTTTCCGAAGATACTTCGCCTCAGCTGGTTGGCCTCGGTTCTTCGCTTCCTGCCATCGGAAATGGGCTCCCCAACAACGCTGCTAGCAGTGGTATCGGGGTTCTCTGAGTCGGTGTAATCGGGGGTCTCATCCACTTCCTGTGTTTGTGTAAGTGACGCGACATTTGGATGGTAGAACAATGTCGAAAGTGCACTGTTCTACATTGCCAAGGTAAACTCACCATAGCCTCGCCTAGATGATGGCCAACATCTGAGGCATCATGCATTGACGCGTCTGTGTCATTGCCGCTGGCCCTAGATCGAGAGGGCGCCATCTTGGATGCTATTCTTGTAGCACTTAGACGCGCCTGCGACGCGCCAAAAGTCCCTAGAGCAAGAGTAGATGTAATTCTTGATGAATCCAGACAATCTGAAGATGAATGGCGATCAGTTTGTGCTGGTAACCGACAAAAGTGAGTGGGACATAAAGAGGCTGTATTGAGAAGGGAAAAAGGTGAGTGTTGTAAGGGTGGATTTTCTGTAGAGACGCTCCAAATTGTTCACGAATCGCGTCCAGTTCTGGCTAAGGTGGTACGCTAAAATTATAGGTAAGTACCTAGGTAGTGTAGAGTGCGGCAGCACCAGGCTGGTCCAGGTACCAATCAAAAGAGCAAGCCCCCCACTTGCCTGACCCTGGAAGGGAGCGGAAAATCCCACCGCCGACCAGGACAATATGGACCTAGGCACTCGAGGCACTGTAGCCCAGGGCCGGGTAGCGCTTGGCCCAACAGCTTCCAGGCTGGTTATGTCACTTGCCGCCTCAACCCAGCAAGCCACGGCCTGAGACCCCCCCACAGTCATGTGGCACTCTGATGATGCCCTGCTCGGACCAACAATCAAACTACAATGCCAGTGAGCCTGACAAAGTAACTCCCCCCCAATCTGACGTGTTCACACATTCCTCAAGGGTTCCATATCTGTAAAGCACAGCGACTCGACCGATCTCTTCTTCCCTCGAATCTCTCGCGACCACAAGCAGGAAGGGCCTTGATAGCCCAAAACCATCACTAAACACATCGAGGGCAGCCAGCGGAAACTAGTGCTCAGCAGGCTCCATCCACAGCGCTCCAACGTTGCTGTGTTGACCCACTTTCTGTTTGGATCTTTCGGCCAAAAACCCCTCCTTCAGCATCAAAACTCGACAACAGAGAATCGCTCCTCGAAGCATTCCGCCACTCCCACCGACGATCGAGCCATAGATACACACTCTCTTCACATTTGGCATCCCCGACCACCACCACAGCCATGGCGACAGATGCACCAGAGCAGCTGCTCGATGTGTTCCGGGCCGCCGCTCTATCTGTGACTAAGCTCTACAAGACTTCTGCCTCCGCTCAGGCTAAGGCACGATCAGACGGATATCAAGATTGCCTAGACGATTTGCTAGCATATCTCGACAAGGAGAACCTAGGTGTGGGCGATGGTGAGGGCTGGAAGATAAGGAGATGGGCGACCGAGCGCTTAGAAGGACGAGATGCAACCATGCAGACCACCGAGAGCGAGGACGAGGCAGAGAAGGCCGAAACAGCATCATCTCCAGAAGTCCACCGATCAAGCAGCATACCACCTACGTCGACGCTGCGAGCTGAGACACAAACGCGGACGGACTCCGCGCCTCCCCCGACGATACAGCCTGTTATCATCGAGGAGCCCGAGATCATTGTTCCCACACAAGACACATTTGACTTCCGGTCACAACACCCGTACCCTAATATCGCCAACCTAGATCTCTCTGACTCTCGCTCCCACGATACTTCATCTTCAAACACTTCCGGATCAGCAACCTCTATATCGATAACACGACCATCAAAATCACGGCATTCTGGCAGCGGCGTGCGGGCAGGATCGCGGTCGTCCAACAATCATCTAGGACGTGGAGCAGGCCAGAAGCGGAAAGTCAATTTTGGCGAATTCTTCGACCTTGGAAACCTGGGTTATGGGAAAGACATGTTTGGCGGTCCCGGGAGCAAACGAAATCGGCACATATGATCACAGATGCTCTTCGATAAGCTCTTGGACAACCTGGGCTTTGGCGAATATGCGCCGACGGCTTCATGAGAGCCTGGTCTGAGTCCCCTACCATACGGCGTGGGATAGACTATTAATTCTGGTTCTCGGGAGGCCTTCCGAGGTCTAAGCACTGAACATATTTTAGGCAACCTGGGTCCGATCCGCTCCGGGTGAGACGGCATTTGCATGGCATGGTATGGAGGCTTAGGTGGCATATTACGGAAGAGCATCGCGGCGTCTGGCCCTAATTTAAGCATCATTGCGGTGTTTTGGACGAAGGTTCTTGCATCATGACGGATCATTGATACCGATTTGGCGGCCCGTCCACGAGGACGTTTGGCCTTATCTGCGGACTCGTTTACTATATAGTCTAATGACAATGAAGTCGAACCAAGCAAACCCTTTCTTTACTTTTAGACTAGCTCATTATAAATCAAAGAGAATGTGATCGACCCATGCGTCTCCGCTCCATTTTGTCCTGATATTCGTAAACAGGCTTGCACGCTCTATTTGCTGTTGAGATGAACTCGGGGTTCAACAAGTCCAAATTGCTGAAAAATACAGAGTCCCATTTCTAAAGAGAATCAACAACCCCCACGTTGTGCTTCTGAACAATGTGTTGTTCTTGAAGTACGATCATCACGTGCATGAGATAAGAGAGACCGGAAGACAACTCCACTACCACCGTAGTCCGTAGTTGAGCTCAGCAACCTCTGTTTGCTAACATTGCGAATCACGAAGTCTTGGCAAATGCCAAAACTAACACTTCACTTGTAGTAGCCACAATTTACGGTTGCCAACCACCTTGCCAAATACACTTCTGTATCGCGAGTTGCGGAACATTTCTATCCATGGCTGACGGCGGTGATGACGACAACCCCTCCAGACCACTCCTGCGCGGCTTTCTGGGACGCCATATGCCCAGCGCACCAACATATGGCAGCGGCACCTATCACCGGCGCAACGAGCAGATGCGCCGCTTCCTGGTCTCCAAGAAGAAGCATTACCTTGTCATGACGCTCGTCGCGCTGGACGTGATAGGCTTGCTAGCGGACATCTTGATCGCTCTGATCGCCTGCGACATAGGCAAGAAGGACGAGCCATGGGTAGGAGAGACGCGCGACGGCATTCAGCACGCTGGTCTTGCGTTTAGTTGCTTGTTTCTGTTGGAGTTGATTCTCTGCGTGTGGGCGTTTGGCTTTGGGTGAGCTTTTGAATTGCACTTTGAGTTGCCATCATCCGCGATGATTGAACGCTGACCACACCTGAAAGGTATTTCTCTGACTGGTTTCATATAATGGACGGACTCGTGATCTTGGCCAGCTTCATCATTGACCTGTTGACGCACGGCATCCTGGAAGAGATCGCATCTCTGGTGATTGTGCTGCGTCTCTGGCGGTTTGTCAAGATCGTGGAGGAGCTCAGCGTCGGGGCATCCGAGCGCATGGAGGAGATCGAGCAGCAGGTTGAGCTGCTCGAGAAGGAAAACGCCGAGCTTAAGAGTGAGATTAGGAAGTTCCGGTCAAGTGACGATCTTGAAGGAACCAATGCGTTTCTACAAGATACCACCCGAAGTATTCAATGAGAAGTGACTTTTCACTTTCAGATAGCAAGCTATCGTTGCAATTCAGCATAGTTTTCGGCCTCCTGTCCAAAGGACAAGACTCGAGCCATATCACACCCCTCTTTCGACAAAGGCAAACACAAATGCGAGGAGTAAAATGCTGCATCTCGTATTCAACGGTGTCACAGCTTGCATTGGAGCTATTTCGAGGCAACTGGCTTACACCCACGTTTGAGCAACACGTTTGAAACAACAACTGACATAGCAACGAACAGCACAATCAGAGAGGCAGACAAATACCTGACATGACCGGAATTTCAGTGATAGCTTCAAGCCGTATACCGCTATGTTACAACAATAAGACACGCATAAAACCTGAATTTGAGGGTTCTCTTCCCAGCGGGGCGCCAACAATCTCGCCACGGCCTATTGGCCCATTATGGAGCTCATCCCCCTAGCGAAGCGACCCGGGCCACAGCATCTGTGCTCGCCCCAGCATAGTCAAATTACCACACACGACCCTGGACAAGCTCTCCAAAGCTCTGTGCTTGTCTTTCCTCAGGTGCATTCATCGAGCGCCGGTCTCACCCCGGCGGGCGGTCAATTTAAACATGGCAAGCCCTGCGGCGACACTAACCATGAACAGGCCTAGCCGTGCTCCCCTATCTGACTTAATGAGCGGTTGATGGCTCGCGAACCCCTGGCACGAAGCTACCCCGGACCTCGCCAGATGCTCCGATGCTCCATTTTCATTATATGAAGTTTGGGTGAATATTCCAAGGGTAGCTATTGCTTCTTTCACAATGTACTACTATGCAGTATTTCTCCTGATCTGTTGTACTCAGTGCGCGTTTTGATTCTCTGTCGTTACACCTCTTTACATATATCATTCTTTACTTCTCTCATCCAACAATCCTCCGGTCGTTGGATTCACGTCACTCGTTGCAGACTATTTGGAAGTGCTATTTCCCGTCATTCGCTCACTGTACCTACAATCTCAAGCACCCTCTGCAAACATGAAGGCCGCCATCTTCTCCATCGCCGCAGCCATGCTAGCCTCCGCCGCCACGGCGACGCCCACTGCCGCCGCGGCCGCCGCGACATCTACCTGCTTGGCCGACTACATCGTCCAGACCTGCCTGGGCACTGAGAATGGGAAACTGGCCATGTGCTCAACCACAGATTATGCGTGTCAGTGTGCCGCGTATCAAGCCATCGTGACGTGAGTATCCAGCCCTCCCATCCTCCCGCCAAGGCTCAAAGCTGATACTGACATTCCCTCCAGCTGCTACAACAACTGCCCCGACGACCCAGCCAAAGCAACGATGGAGGGCCAGGTGACCGTCTTCTGCGGCCTCGCCACGCAGTACGCCTCGTCGACGACCTCCGCCGCCGCCAAGACGGGCGGCAGCAGCTCCGCATCCGGTGCCCTACAGACCGCGTCGGCCACCACCTCGCCCACGGGCGCAGCGACCGGCACCTCGGCCTCTGCGACCGCCACGCAGACGACCAACGCGAACAGCGGCGCCGAGCTCGCCCTCAACGCGGGCGGCCTGCTGGCTGCGGTGGCGGGTGTGGTTGCTGCTGTGCTGTAAGAGAAAAAAAAAAAGGGGGCGGGGCTTGTGAAGACCTGCCAGAAAAGAGGAAAATACAGATGGTGGAGGTCTTGGGGGGGCTCGCTCGTCTTGGGAAAGGAGGAGATATAACACCTGAGTTAGATATCAATTATAATTATTAATCAATAGTGTCCGCCTACAACACAAACAAACAAGTCTCCCTAGCATGTTCATAGGCAAGCAGTGAACCGGAGGCCACAAACAAGAACGGTTCTGGATCGAGTATTCACTCGACGAAATCGCACTGTCACATCAAACTCGGAACAAGAAATAATTGAGCAGCAAGTAGCCGCGGTATCACGTTTCATTCAGTCATGTGTATGTAATTACATGTTTCCACAAGTATGATACAGCAGCAAGCTCCCAGTCTTTCGAAACCCCGTCCACAGAAGTACCGCAGCCTCTCAAAAAATAACGGCTCGGACTCCTAACAGGGCGCATGTTGAATCTCTATACCAAAACCAATCGATTCTTCCAACAGTGTATCAAGTCAGCACATTTCGCCATGTGCCACACACCAGAACTCTACATGCTCTGATACAGGTGTAATGGCCTTCTCGAGGCCCCGCGCAGTCTTCTCTCGGATCGAATAGTAAGAAGACAAGTGTAGAAGAACATGACTAAAATATTGTATGTGCGGGGAAGGCCGTCATCCATAGCAACTGCTTCTGAAAACAGGTGCGTTCATCATAACTGACTGGAGGACCGGCGCCAGTGTGTAGTGTGAAAATTCGTAAAGGCGTATTAAAGATATAAGGCGAACAAGTGTGTGGCTAGACCAAGGAAGAGGTCACAAATCCCGAATCCAAACATGAACGTTCAAGCTTTTTGTTTTCGCGGTCGTCCCTTCGGGTTACCCCTGACAGGGCTGACAAATGTGACGTGCTTGCTTTCCTCCTTCTTCAGCTTCACCGCAGTGCTGGTGCTTCCACGATGGTGCCGAGCTGTCTCGTGTGCTTCTGGGTCCTCATCGAGAGTGATCTCAGCGACGTCCGACACAGACTCGGTCTCCATGTTTTCGCTCGTCTCAGAGGATGTACCATCGTCAGAATCGTCGTACTCGCCATCGTCACTAACAAGAGATGGCGCATTGTTGCTAGCCATAGTATTGGGGCTGAGATCTACGTCCATCTCGTCGTATCTTGGAGACTCGTCGCCTCTGTCCACAGGAGTCGTGGCAGAATCAGGGGAAGACTTGGTGGCAAATGCAAGATGGGGAGAACGGCCCTTGCTACTGGACGGCCGGGCCGTTGCTGCAGGTGGCGGCGAGCTCATACGAGCGGGGATACGCATAACAGCTGGTGTGCGGGCTGCAGGTATCGCAGATGGGCTGCGAGTGACATCTGCACTGCTGGGCAACTCGCTGTCCGAGTCTTCGCCTGGGGAAAACAAGTCGTCCAAGTCCATCTTTGTCTTTGCATCTTCCACATGTTCACTCAAGTTGCCATTGAAGCTCCGCTTCTGCATCAGCTTGGAGAGATAAGGAGTATCAGAGGCGCCCACGAAGCTCTTGGGAAGCTTCTTGTCCACTTTGGCCTTGGGCGAAGATGAGGGCACGCCGGGGATTTGAGTAACGCCTGGTAGCTTGCCCTGTTCATACAACTTGAGAGACGCGGCAATACGTGACCGGAGGGTGGCATACACCTCCTTCTCGTCAGCCGCATTATTGCGCGCGAGGGGATGCACAAGCCCAGAAGCAGGACTAGCAGTGGGCTTCTCTTCGCCAACGACACCACCGATTTCATCGACTTCGATGGGATGACCACAATGAACAGCAGCCTCTTCATGGCTCTTGAAATCACGTCTATGCGCGATACGACAGTGATTGATGAAACCTTGCGTACTCGAGAAATTCTCTCGCTGACAGTCGATGCAGACCAGCTTGACGGTCTGGCCATCGGAACGTTTGAGGACACATGGGCCAGCTTTCTCTTTCGGCTGTGGATAGCCGTTGGACAAGGCCTGAAGCTTCTGGCCAGAGAGGCCACGACCCGCTCGCTTCCCAACCACTACCGGATCCGATAGACTGTTTCGCGTAGTCCTACCTTCCATCGCGTTCCTCTTGCCCATGTCTGGCATGGCTTGCCAGTCCGCTTGAACGCCATCGAAAACGGGATCGGGAATCAGCCACTTAGCATAGTGGCGCGCATACGGGCCCTCTACCACTCCGAAGGGGGCCGCCCATTTCGGAACCGCCTCTCCAGGGTTCGCCTGCACAGCAGGTCCCTTTCCACTACTAATATCTAACATCTGTTGCGGTGTCGGACAGCTCACAGGGTAAGGGATGAGATGGCATCGTCGCAGCTGTTCGAGTGCGACTTGGCATTTCGCAAGCTCCTGGTTGATGAGGCGGAGCTCATCGTGTTTCAGCAAGATCTCCAAGCCAAACTGATACTGGATCGCCTCCTTCGCTCGTTCGACGTCAGTAGTCACCTGGGGGACACGAGGCGAGAAGTAATCCTTGTGCACGGCAGCAGGAGTCTCTGGCGGCGTCGCGACAGTATGCTCTATCCTCGCCCGCTTGACATGGGGCCGGATTTGCGTCGTGTCTGGCGCTGTGTCCTCGAGACTCTGCGCCTTTCTCTTCAGAGTATGCACAGAAGTGGATACCGACGACGTCACAGGTACGTCTGTATCAAGCAGATCTTTGGCGAATATGTGAGGCATAGGCTGCTGGACTGCGGCGGCAAGTTGTTCGCTTCCCCTTGATTCTGAACTCCAGAAACGGAACATCACTCCTCCTTTGAGAAAAGGTGGAAGTGAAGAGAGGATCTGGGGTTGAGGGGAGAGAAAGGCTGAAGTTTGTTTTTACTTGGGCAAACGGGAGCCTAAGTCAGGAAGCGGAATGCGGATTAGGAAGGGGGGATGGTGGTGTGGAGACGAGGTGCGCAGGCAAGGCTGACGTAACCAGGGAGGCTTGCTGCAGGTGGATTCGGTTGGTCGGAGTTTGGGTTTGGGGGTGACAAAGGCGACGGCAGGAACGATGATGTGGCCTGCGCGCGACCCAACCAAAAGCGTCAGACTCAGCCGGGGGAGAAAGAGAAAGTGGCAGAGCGCAGCGAAGCGCAGTGCGATGCGACGATCAAAGGGGGCCCCAGCAGACAGTCCAGACAAGTTCCCTCGACCAGAAAGATGAAAAGGGCGCGCACGAGAGCTAATGAAAGCCTCGAGGGTAACAGTAAGGAGCGAGGAGAATAAATGGCAGGTCAAGATGCCAGCTCAAAGGAGGGCGCGAAGAGAAATGAGCAGAGAAACGGCGATCAGAAGCGTCGCTCTTGTGCTTGTGATTCTGCTGCGCTCGTCGTCAGTTTTGAGGGTGGTTTGAGGATGTTGGGTTGATGGAAATGCGCGAGTTTGGGGGAAGTGAGCGAGAAGCTTTAGGCTGGGCGGGCTGGATGGCGGCGACGGAGGGAGTAGGGAGTAGGGGGGCCGTGCTGGTGTGGGAAACGGATCGGGGGGGTGGGTGTTGGTGGTGAATGAGTGAGTGAATGAATGAGTGACTGGCGAAAAGGGGGGTGCGGATGGAAATTGGCACAGCGAATCAAAGCAAAAAGGCGAAAATGGAAATGGGAAAATGCAAGGGGACGGGGGAGCGCGCTGGTGAAGGAGGCGCTGGCTGGCGGCGTGGTTGCCCAGCATAGAAGACGGGCAAAGAAAGCATGTACAGTCGGCATGTGCTCTATGCAGAGTACCTAGGTACCACTTGTGTGGCTAAGAGGTACCTACGTCTGGTACGGTACTCTGCTCGTCGCACTGCGATGCTTCTTCCGTGCAGGTGCTGTGCGGTAAAGGGGGTGGTGAATATGGTGCAGGTAGGTGGTGGTGTGTGGGAAAGAAGGCTGCTGATTGTCTTGCCTGTTGGTGGCAGGCGACAGACAGACGGCGTGGGAGGGAGGCGGAAGGTGACTGTTTGATTTGATGTGTTTTGACCCTTTGTCTTACCTCTTTGGCCGCCGCCAGTAAGCAACTTCAGCCGGGGAAGTCATACTATGCAGTAAGGGAGGGAGATGACAGAGAGTGCGGGATGGAGTCTCCAGTGCCAGTGTGAGTGTAATGGAGCGCAGGGCAGAGCAGGGCAGAGCAGTGCGGCCGCCAGGCCTGTGGGAGCCTGGGAGGGAGTGTGTCTCGTGTGTGGGTGGCAGTGAGTGATGGGGAATGCATACCGTCAGCGTCCTTTGTTTACCGTCTCGGCGGGTGTCTCAGGCTAAGCAGGCTGGCTAGTCGGTCGATCGCGCAGCTTCAAACAGTACCGGTATTGTGATTCAGTCAGGTCGACGAGGAGAGCCACGGTGACGATGACGATGACAACGAAGAGCTGCGGCAAGGAAGGAAGGAATTAAAAACGAGTTTACCTCTCAGTACAGCTTTCTGGCGGGAAAGACAAGAAATGGCTGAGGAAGAGGGAGCAGAGCAGGGAAAGGATAGGCAATGTTGGATGTGTAGGTAGGTGAGCGAGTGAGGGTCAATCAATCAGTCAATGAATGAATGGATGGATGGGAGATGGAGCTGGGGCAGGGTGCAATGCTGCGGCGTGCATCAAGTCCCAGCGGCGCCAGTCCCAGCCAGCCCCGGAGTCCAGTGAGAGAGTTTAGAGTGGATGCGTCGTGAGGACTAAGGCATGGACCAAGGGACTAAGCAGGCAGGGGGTCGCTATGCCATGCGTAGGACGGGTGTGTAAGACCTGCGCTCGCTGGCTGGGCCAAGAGGGTGCCATACTCTACCTAGATTCTTAGTGTAGGCTCACCAACATAAAGGTAAGGAGTGTCCTTATCATTCATGTGGCCACTCGGAAACAGGCACGAGTGCCACTACTGCTATCAGGCGCTGACTGAGGGTGAGCCAGACGGACCGGATCGAAAGTATGTTTCCAAGGTCGTCTAGTCTATTATCTATCTATCTACTTACATGTACCTAGGCATTACTATCCATGGTCACTGATACTGTATGATGCCGATGGGCTACGATGTCGTGGATCGAGCTCTCGGTTGCGACAGAATGCCTACCAGCTCCGTCTTGAATTACAGCACTAGGTACTCAGGTATACCACTACTGCTGGGTTGTGTTTGCGCGTCGCCACTGGGCATTCAACCTAGAATCCAATAGTCGTGGTGATGGGGATCGTGAGGGACAGTGGAGGCGGCGTGGAACCTCGTCTGTCTCGGGATCGATGGGATGTTTTTCAACAGGCGATTCTGTATCTACGTACTTCGCGCTACCTACCTTAGCTATCATTCATGGCTCACATGTGCCGAGTTAACAAGGCTTCGTCCGTATCAGTAACTCTGTCGAGCCTGTCTTCTCTTCGTTGGTGAAGCCATCCCTCCCCCAGTACACAGTACACAGTAGTTGCCGGCCTCGTTTCTTGCTCTTCACTCCTTCCATGTGCTTCTTCACTGATCCGGGTCTGGGTCTGGGTTTGATGATACTTGGAGGTGGGTGTGTGGGTAGCATCGACACCGGGTGATACGCCGAGAGCAGGGCAGCTCGACTCTTAGCTCAGGAATGGTTTCAGGCATTTGCCATGCTATTTGGCGCTACGGCAGTACCGCGATACGAAGAGCTAATTTGCATGCAAGATGACACATTTGCTGTCTTCTCCACACGATTCCCACAATGGAATTACTGGCGCTAGGTATCTCGCTAACAATTAAACACGTCCCCACCCCCCTGTCCTTAGCTCGCTCCAGCTTGCAAGTTGCAAAAGGTTGCAGGTCGCGACATGCAGCCCGCCCCGGGATCCTTGACCATCTGGTTTGAGGAAACAGATCGGGTCCGTGCATCAGAACACTGTGGTGTACTTCACTGCCAGTCGTCTGGTCACTTTCAGGCAAACCTGCACAAACTTCTCCTCAGCACGTCCAGTTCCAGCGCCCCGTGTCCAGGAAGGTTAGACGGCTTGCTTGAGAGTTTGAAACGCACGGTTCTGACCCGCTTGCCTCGCAGAGCGGTCCCTCAATCAGCAAGTGGGAAGGTTGCCAGATGGGGTATGAGGAGCATCTCTCCGGCCGATCGCTTGCAATTCTGACCCGACATGCTCGCCCGCGGGCATCTTACGCTGCACGCGCCCATCATGCACTGCGTATGTGTCTTGTTAATATGCGTTTCTTTCTTATCTTAGCTAGCTGTCCGTATGGTGAATACGCAGTGCCTGCCTACCCATAAGCCGTGATGCGGCAGATTCTATTCCAGGCTGAGGATGTGGCTTGCAGCTCGGTTGGCGAATCACAGTGGAGGCCCACCAGGAACCAGGAGTGCACGGGCCATCAATCTATTCTAGAACTAACGAATTATAGGGTGGAACAATGTATATCGAATGCCTCAACTTGCAACTGCTCCTTAGGTCTGTGGCTTGTAAAGTTTACTTCTTCGTCTGGGTAGATGGTGGTCCCACACAGGTGAGAGTCCTGAATGGTACAAATCGAAAGACTCACTTGCAGCCTTGAAGATTTCGTCTATTTTTTTAACTTACCGATTTGAATAAAAGTAGTAACCAGCTGCCTTGTCAGGGAGATTGTAATAGCCCGGGCGAGCTAACATGTATTACCCTAGAGGAGGCGTAGTGGTCAAGCTCAGGCGAATTAGATACGTTGCCTCAAGATGGACCTGCTGTACCTAGGTAGCTATCCAAGTGTTAATTCGCAGCCTCGTCGGTTGCTTAGATTTGGAGCTTCTGCGCTATGAGGTTCCAACTTCTCATGATCGTACCTCCCGCAGGTGACTAAGGAAAACACGGAAAGACACACAACCCGTTCGAATGCAAATGTGTTATACCCCCCAAATATTGAAAGACATGTAGATAGTATTATCTGCTATTTTTGAGACATCTTTTCAAAGCGATGTAGGCAAAGAGATGGCATTCATCGAAGTGTCTTCCAAGGTTTTCAAGTCGAAGCAGGCTTATCGATAACAACGCGGCCCCACACTAAGCATCAAAGCTTCTTACAATGGAAAGGATCTCGACGTACCTGCCGTGAACTACACCAACAAAGAATCTACCCTCTTCCTAAACTACAAATTACCACATCGGTTCAACTCATCTTCCCTATTGCCCAGATAAGTTATGGCTCAGGTGGACAACCGAGCCGTGAATTTGCTCAAAATGAAGAGAAAACACTCTACCACTGGCGACGCAGTCATCCCCGCGTCTGGGACACCAGGAGCAACAGTACAGCCGAAGCGAGTACGCACCGGGCCAGCTCCGCCTCACGTACCGAACACTCTCCCCATGCAGCCGCACGAGGACGTCCTCGCCGAGCTCAAGCCCAAGTACGACGTCAAGACCTTGTCGGTCATCTCCTCGACTCCGATTGCGAAGCGCGTCGAGCAGGTACTCGCACACCTCGGACGCTTCCACCCTTCCGACATGAGTGTGCTGCCCGGCGTTGTCCTGGTACACGCACGGGCAGACCAGGCCGGCAAGATGACCAGCGTGGTGGAGCTAGTCAAGAGGCGGGTGCATGAGGCAGAACAGAAGTGGTTTCAGTACAACCGACTATATGAAGTGTCCGTAGAGCCGCGGCGGGCGGCTGAGCGATCGATCATCGAAGACACGGTGCTGGGCGACCATGGCGGTGGATCCGAGGAAGAGGACGATTTTGAGGTCATGCAGACGCCGTTTGAGAGAGCCGTGCACAAAGAGCCCGAGGTTACGATGAAGCCGTACATGAGCATCATGCTGTCGAGGGTTCCGATATTAGAACTACAAGCGAAGGACTACATAACAAGACAGTCCAATTCAGATCAGATCGAGTATCTACGAAAGAAACGTCTCGGAATAATCTAATTTGGTGAAGAATCAGGCACGGCGTTAGAGAGAACTTGTCTTTCGGACGGGATGTTCACCGTTCATCCGGATAAAATTTCAGCGAAGGATCGTACGGATATGGCAGGACATTGATCGTTGAGGGACATCTCCGAAAATGCGGAGGCAATGGTTTCGACATTTGCAAATTTCATGATACCCTCATAGCATTTTTATACAGCATTTACACACAGAAGTCTATGTCTATTCATATTGATTCAAGATACACTACAAACACTCAACAAGCTTTGTAATTCCAAATGCTCCAGTGATGCCCTGTTATTCCATACAAGCGTCCCCGTTGCAAATATATGACCAGACTATATGCAATGCCCCAGATTGAACCCCTTCCCAACTTGAAGATGCCATTACTGCTAATCCCTAAAAGCTTCTCCGATCTAATGTGTGCCATTGTACAGTTTGTAAGTCATTGACTGCAGGGAATTGGCAACCGTGAGTATTTGTACGGTTTGCTATGCGTTGGTGCAGCTGTTGCCCAAGTCCAACTTGAAACCCCATGTCTAAGGATTCGACTTCCTTGAAGAGTCCACGATGCGTAGCACAAAGTTGACCACCACGGCGCACAGCAGGGCCAGGGCCAGGAATGTGGGACCGAAACGGTCATCGAAGCCAGACTGGCCCCTTATCCGTATCGACTTCGCACGCCAGTGATACGTTATTAGGGCGTACATCATGGTCGCCATTGCCACACCGGTGAAGAGGAACGAGGAGATGAAGGCTGGCCGGTCGCCAAAGTTGAGCATGCCAATGGCGAGGGCACCGAGGATGACGGTGAAGTTGAGCCATGACAGGAATGTGCGCTCGTTGGCGAAGAAGACCTTGGGCTCGACTCGGGTCGGCAGAGCAATTCGCTTGCCTGGAATCAATGTGTTAGCAGCACTCGAGGTCTCCCAATAAGCAGTCCTCACCTGGCGCTGTCTGGAGCAACGGTTGGCTAGACATGGTGATGGCGATTCTCTTTGATCTCGCGGATGCGGGGTAAGAATTTGCAAGGCCTAGGTCCGCCACAAACGCTGCACTATCGTATCGAGCGTGATGCTGTTTTGGTGGTGTTGTTCTTTGTCGAGAGGTCGAAAAGGGCACAGGCGAGCTCGATGACGTTTAAGCTTTGAGATCGAGAACCATGGATAAGGTCAAGACCTGATCCAACAGCCTGGTAAGTGCGGGATGCTGCGATTATATTTCCATCATACCTTTCGCCTAAGGGACCATGGGATGCGATGGGTTTTAAAGCTTCGAGGTTGAATTGATCAATCACAGCAGGCTTTGCTTCACCATGCAGCTTGGATGTCGCCTGTACATCTCGGTGACGCCCCACGTGTCTGGGACTAAGCTCATCATTGGCGGAGGAGGCCGCCGACCAACGCAGCCCAAACCTGGTAGCTGCGTACTCAGGTACATGCAGATGCGTCCGCACGTGATCTGCAGCATCCTGGACCCCGCCAAGGGCCTGGCCTGGGTCACTCGGGCAGCGGAGCAGGCCTAAACAGCAACCGAGGCGGCTTTCCAAACAAAACACCACCACAAAGACATCACCATAAGATCGCAACTAATATTGCAGCACCGTGCCGTCTCAGCCTCATTGCATATCCACACCGCATCTTACGCCTCAAGCTTCAGGCTCGTCACTTTGGATTGTGAATTGCTCCTGTTCAGAGATTCCAGTCTCGCAACCAGGTCAACCCAGATCTCCCTAACCACTTACGAAAGCGCCCAAAATGGCCTCCCCAGTCACTCCTGTATGTTTCTTCCCAGATCCGACAGCTTCCACACTAGCTAAAACAACCGCAGCCCGTTCCCTTCAACCGCTTGAAGCAGATCGCCAACGATGTACGTATGCGGACAAACAAATTCCTTGTTGTTACCGAAGTGGCGATATTTCCTATAGCCATCTTTCTTTCTTGAGCTTCGAATCCACAAATACTAACCAGTCCCGAGTAGGCGTGTGCAAGCGCTATTGGCAGTGCTGAATTCTACGACCATGGGAAGACTGAGCAATGGAACCAAAGCATCATTGTATGCGACACCTATATTAATCTCTTGCTGGAACCTCTATACTGACCATGCCATTTTTAGAACTCGATGCTTAAAGCTGTGATCTCCGAGTCTACCCCCTCCGGCGCATCTGCCCCCTCCTTCAAGTTCGCCATCAACAGCACGATCGTTCAGCATCTTGTCCCCACATCACAGCTGAACAAGAGCAAGGGTACCAGCACATCCGAGGAGCCGAGCGTGACCGCCAGCTCAGACGCGACAGCGACAGACGGCAAGCCGCACGTCGGCCGACGGGGCATGCACAGCGCAACCGGCGCGTACTGGAATGAGAAGACCGACGGCATGTGGAGCTACAAGTACGACGGGGGAGAGAGCAAGGGCATGGACGTTGTCATCATGCTCATCTGGATCTCCTTGTAGATATGTACTGATTCGGGGAGTTTGCACGCTGGTCTAGCATTGCAGGATGCCGTTGAAAATTTTCGTGTAGGCTATCATTGTAGGATTCGGCATACATCTGGTTAAAATTGGCGTTTAATGACGAATGCAATTTACATGTACGTTGGGTCAATCAATGAAATTGTAATGCCTATGCTGTGACTGGACTCACGAAGCTCGTCAAGTCTTTTCTGGAGCAATATGTGCCTTTGTGTGTCATGTCAGAGCTGTTAAGAAAATGTCTTCTACCAGTCTCACAATTTGAAGCTCTGTTTAGCTTCGCAAGCAATTCAAATACTGCTTTGTCACGAGTCACTTGGAAATTCCGCCATGATAACCTTACACCAATTTCGCCCGCCCACCGTGGTCATCTCAACCTATGGCAGGACATTATCGCTGAAGCGTACTGAAAATTTTGGCAATCATTTGCTACTATAGAATTGGACAGAGCGCGATGTCGTTCATAAATGAGGGAACTCAACTATGATGAGACATTGCGCGCCCGCTTCAGCCTCTCGACGCCAATTATGGAGCCGATTATCCTGTGGCTGAAGCTGGGCATAGCAGCACTTCAGCTTTCAAGAAGACCACATAATCCAGCCTTGTGCCAACAAAGCTTTCCAAAGTTTCTATGCTTATTCCAAGTTTACCAGAGAGTTGTATGGTAGATACTGGTCGTGTGATAGGTATGACCGTGGGACTGTGACGTATCGATGACAAGTATGAAAGCGATTAGCAAATGGGGAAGGTGTCCCTCAACCACCTCTACCACTGCCTTCCTTATAGTTAGGTACGCAAGCCTTATGAGAATTCTTGTTTTGGAAATAGGTTGTAGCACCGTTAGCTTTTGCGCTTTCTGTATCTATTATTGCTATGTAATTCGGAGTTTGTTCAATTCTGCTTTTTTATGGCTACTACTGCTAGAGCTTGCTAGCAACACCTGGTGAATGTATCACTGAAATGGACCAGAACAATATGGTTCCTACGGAGGCGCATACACTTGACTGGAATTCAGACGAGGGCTCAGGGTTCGTGTCCATCCACGGCCGGGACATCTTTGTCAGCGTCCGAGGTCCGCCGCGCCGTCCTGGTCAACCCGTAGTCATCTGCGAGGCAGGCCGCGGGTGCACGAGCTACATCTGGTCGGCCGTGCAGTTACAAGCGGGCAAGTTTGTACGCATCTTCGCATACGACCGTGCTGGGATGGGTCGGAGCCAGCCCGGACCAAGTCCACGAAAGGCCGCAGTCGCTGCGCAAGATCTGTCGGATTTGCTCGATTCTGCAAACATCTCGGGGCCGTACGTGTTGGTTTGTCACTCGTATGGCGGTATCCTAGCCCGCGAATTCCTCCATATCCGGAACGATGATGTTGCTGGCATCATCTTTGTCGACACCATCACTGAACGTTATTCGTCTGATGAACCTCTACCCATGGCTGAGTTTGGTGCTGTCCTGGGCAATCTTGACTTTTGGGAAATATCTGGCCTTGCCAAGCGACAATCGCTGAGTCCGGTTGACTGGGAACTGAGTTTGAAGATGTGGCCGCGCGACAGGGAAACCTTCGCGGCGGAAGCAGGTGCAGTTACAATAAGTGAGCAGGAGCTCGCGGGAAAGAATCAGTTCGACGGACAAGTTATGGGTAACCGGCCATTGGTCGTCATCAAGGGGAATGCTACACAGGAATTTTTGGCCGTGCTTAATGCAGGAGAAGCTGCTGGCAATGGCACCGCGAGCCAGAGAGCGATTCTTCGCGAATACACCAAGACAAGCGAGGCAACAAGAGAAAGGCACCAGAGGGAACAGCTAAAGCTCTCTACTAACAGCCGTTATGTTGTTGCCCAACACGGGTACCACTCGGTACAAGTGTCTGAGCCAGAGTTGGTTGTTGCAGAGATAGAGACTATGCTGAGACGTCTTGAGTCTATCGGCACAGCTTGACTGGGAAAGCCGTTCCTGAAGCAAGTATCTCAATGTCTTCACAGGACCCTGATTTACCTGATCTCCGAGCGCAGACCGACTTGTCTCCGCTATGAAGACGGGCCAGAGAGTCGGACGGCGGCTCCCGGCGAGGAGCATGCTCTGGGCTATGACGGAAGATCTCATGGTAGTGGATCTCTTATGTGGGGATGCACCCCTGTCCTGTGCGCCTGGTCGAAAGACTCGCCTAGGCCGAGAGGTAGACAAAGGTCAAGCGCCCACTAGATCTTGCCACCACCTGCGTAACTGTTACAAGGGTCGCGTGCTATCGTTGTCAGGAACAGAAAGTACTTGGACTGGCCTGTTGATGTCACATACAGTCGGACTTGAAGTTTCACTCCTCCAGGCAGGTGCTTTAATGGTTGCATTCCGATTGTTACCGCTGCTCGAAGGCATTGAGAACCAGTACATCATGCAATGTTATCAGTTATCGACTTCATCATATCAGGTCCCAAGCAACGGGAATGTGCGGATCCCCCTGCTCTCATGCAGCCTTCCCGCCTACTGGCTACATCACCGTTATGACGACAGTCCAGAGGCAGGCAGTGACGAGATGACCAATAGCCGCACATGGCCAGTACATACATCGCACATTGATGACACAAATACAACCGCCCTGACCGAGATGTCGTGCTACCGTTCGAGGACTCAATAGCCATTCACGTAGTGCCTTGATGGATTGCCTTGCCGGTTGAGACCGCCTGCAGGCCCGACTTACAAGATGCCAGGGCCGTATATGGTCTGCGGCTATCTCGCGAGCAAAGAAAGCCGACAGGCCGTCCTCTACTCTCTATGTTCTAATTTGAAAATCTTAATTCCTTGACAAACTCGGCCCAAATAGCGAAGGTTTTTACAGGTGTACCGTCTCCAGCTATTGTGCCCATATTGTAGATCTGTCGTTGATGTCTATTCGAGATATCAAATCAGACGAGGCGGACAGAAGAAAACCGGAGCAGCTGTGGGAAGAGATCAGCAAGTTGGCAGCGTAGTGGGTGATCGGGCTCCGCCCAGTTGGCATTTTCGCGGCTATCGGGTACAGTGGTAGTGCTGATTCAGGCGTGGTCCGGGTGGCCGGAAGGCCCTGAAGCCATCAAAAGACAGCACTGCATTGGCTTGGCCCTGACGCAACGGCAGCAGCACGCAAACCGTCGGCTTGTCCAGGGACTGAGAGGTGCTGAGGTGGACTGGGGCTGGGGGTTGACTCGCGTGCAACGCCAAGTCTCCTCTGGCAAGCGCACGATGCGCCAATCGAGTTTTTAGGGTGTCTCTTCATTCTCTTGCTTTCTCTCCCCTCCTCTCTTTCTTGTCTCAGCGATCGGATTCGTTCCTCCATAGAGCAACGAGCCCAAGCCTGCCCAGCCGTCCTGCACGTAGCCAGCCAAACGAGTGCCTTTGCAGAGACCGGTCCAGTCCAGTCCAGTCCAGATATTGTCGATCGCTGCCTTACCCGGCTCTACCCCTTCCCATCCCGTCTTATCATCCTGCAGCGATTTCTGCCCACGGGGATCATACCACTGACACCACCAAGCCGGCCCATCGCTCTGTTGTCGTCACAGCCTCTGGCATCTCGTGTCGTTTCACACACTGCCAGCCCCGGCCGCCACCCTCCACCATTACATACCACTTGACTCTCGTCTGCCTCTAGCCCACTACCTATACATACTAGTCCATCCAGATCCCATCCTATTTAGCCATTCCATCCATTCTCAGACCTCGACCCCGCCAATCTTGTCCGTCTGTTATATACGGCCCTTCCTCCTTCTCATGAGCTTGCTAGTGAGGAGACTAAAGACATCTTCGACATATCAACCCGATCTCGGTACCTGAATAATCTACTAGACAGAATCAGCTTCGTAACAACTACCTCCTCAACCGTCGTAACCCCTGCTCAGCTCAAGATCATATATCCTATAACAGCCCAGCGTCAGCTCCATACTAGACCGTGGCCATCCAGAGACAACACATAAGACCAATTTCGAGTATCTTTGGACGAGCTAGTAACGATCATAGGTCACGACGTGAATATGATCGAGGCCTTGTCCATCTCACAAGGCCCTGCGCCAACTGATGTCGGCCTGACGAAGACGTTTACTCCATCATCGAGACAGGATGGGCCCTTCAGCCGTGAGGAACACATGCGAATGGTCGCCGAACTTAGCATGAGGAGAGCCAAGACTCCTCGACGAGCCCAGTCCACCCATGAACACATCTCATCAGGACCTCAGCCGATGTCAGTGTATCAGTCGAGGTCTCAGTTTCAAGGCTCTCCCTTGCCAACCATCAACTCCCCCACGCTTGAGAAAGAGCAATTTGACTTTGCCGCCGCTCCACCTGAGGTCGAGGCTCCGGCTCCAGAGCAAAAGCAGTCGGCCGTTCGTCGACCCAAGCTGCCACCGCCGCGTCGATCCTACTCAGTGATGGAGTATGAGCCAGTGCCTCCTGAGCAAAGACCAGGCAATCTCACGCTTCGGGAGCTTCCCGGCGAGATTCACTATGCCATCTTCGATTGGCTAGACCCTATCGATTCCACCTGCCTTGGCCTGACGAATAAGCACTTCTATGACATCCACCGCCGCATGCATGGGTCTGTACCGCTTTCCGTGCGACGTAATGGTCCGAACGAGCTGGAATGGGCTTGGCACTTGGCTGGCACCATGCTCAGTCCCCCTGCGACACCTGTTGCACCAACACCGAATCCCAACGACAAGCAAGCGCTGGCTGCCCTTCGTGTTCGTGGAAAGGGGCTTTGCAGGAAGTGCGGCATCTCTCGGTGCGAGCTGCAGAAGCATCTTAGGGACTGGGTACCCGAGGACTACGAATATTGCTCAGTTAGAGACAAATTCGTGCCCTGCCCGTCCCAGGAGGCCAAGCCGTATTGCTACATGAGCAACCCGAATAACTCGCATCGGTGCGGCCGGCACCGAGTCAAGAAAGCAAAGGAGGTTGCTCAGTGAGCCATGGATTAAGGAAACGTCGGTTGAACGCCATGACTCGACCGAAACCGAAAGCCTCTCATGGCTGCTTTTCGCAAGCAGCCATGAGCCAGGGCAGTAATGCCATGATTATGATCATGCCTCTTGGAATTGAAACAGCACTTATGATATCCGTGGGATCTAGAAAATGACCACGACCTTGACATTTCGGCGCTAATGATGGGAAAAGGGAGAACTCTCAATTGACTACAGGCCCATCATACTAGCTATATAACATAGACGATATGCGAGTCTGAATTGAAACCTGGTTACTATTAAAGCTTGATATGGCTGGCTTGGACCATTTCTATGCCCTCCCAGTGCTAGAATTATACTGTCATTGTTCTCAACCGTGTTTCTGGATAATGAGGGGGTTCAGTGATAGTCAGACAGTTTTGTACTTGTCTAGTCTCGCTATGAACGAAAATCGTGGTACAGCCTTGGGGATTAGATTTCATCTTGCAGCAGTCGCAGCACGCAGCGAACTCGCTCGATCCATGATGACGACTTTGAAGTGCGGAGAGGACGATGCCGCCACACTTCATATGTGGGGCGAGTGACAAGCCACACTCGGCGTGCTGAGCTTTCTGGGAAATGACGCCAACACCTAAGCTTACCTACCTTAAGTCACTTCCATGGTTTCATTACAGTGTGTGACAGGAGCACCATCTCCCTCGCTTGCCTCCCTACGAGTAGCAAGGATTAGAAAAAAAGTTGCCCAGCAAAGCAACCCCAAACCTGTCAAATTGTGCAATGATCTGGCCCATTGTTTAATATTATCGATCGCGAGAATGTGAGCCGAGAGACCCCTTTCTTTCCAATTGTTAGGCCGGCTGACTATCAATTACTGACTGAGTGAATGTAAGAATCGTCGCTTTCTTGACGCGCATTATTATTCCCGTGTCTTCGCTCTCCATTATTCGCGAAGCACCATCCATCCTTCCATCCATATCAAGGAGTTGTTGTTCTTAGCTGCGCTCGTCTAACTCGACGCTGCAACCACCACGTTTCGTGACGTCTTTTGCCGGTAGCCGCATGTGAGAAAACGACGACCTCTTACTTGCTTGGAGACTTGACACACATTCTCTCAACGGATTACACGCGTTACGGTCACCATCCCACGCCCCCAGCGAACCACAAGCCCAGCTGCGCAGAGAGGCATTTCTGTGAAATCAAGGCAGGCCTCCCACGACGAAACACTCCGTCACCTACCGTCCATCAGCTAGAGGCCCTGTTCCCTACCTAGCTATTACCTCTTCTACCTGCAGAACTACGTGTGTGCGATCGCAGACAACCACCCCCCTCCTCCCACAAGCAAGCTGTCCACCTCACCACTTGCAGGGCTCGACCCACATATAGATCCAGACAGCAGTTGACCCTCCACCACCTCTCTCGGAATCCCTACTTGTCTGTTACCATGTCCTCGCCGACTACCAGCTCGTCTCACGCGGGCAAGCGCAAGCGCAACAACACGGCCACCTCGGCCTCTGTCCCGGACTCTGACATGATGAACGCCGACGCCCAGCTGCAGGCCGAGTCCCGCGATGCCTCCGGCGAGGAGGGCGACACCACTGCTCCGGAGTCGGTTGGCGGGCCCGTCCACCGCAAGACCGACAGTGCCGGCACCTCGTCCTCACACCCCCCGACAAAGCGCCAGCGCGCCAACTCGGAACGCACCCTGAACAACGGTAACAACGAGGCCAGTCACGGTGTCGCAGATCCCGGCGAGCCCAGCGACACCACCGAGGCGAGCATCGACATCGCCGACCGTGTCGCACGGAAGAGCCGCAGGACCAAGGATGGCTCCGTGGCAGTCCCGGAAGAGACTGAGCAGACTGAGCAGAAGAGTATGGCGCCGCCGCCCATCGGCAAGCTCACACAACCGGTCGGCTACACGACGAACCCGCCCCCTACCGGACGGGCTATAAGAGTTTATGCCGACGGTGTCTTTGATCTGTTCCATCTTGGGTATGTTCTGCCCCAATCCAGAGCTAGGAGCGCAACCATTGGCGGCTCTGTGTATACATGCGCTGACACTCTTGCAGACACATGCGGCAACTCGAGCAAGCAAAGAAGGCATTCCCCGATGTATACCTCATTGTGGGAGTAACTGGCGACGAGGAGACACACAAGCGAAAGGGATTGACCGTGCTGTCTGGGGCAGAGCGTGCCGAGACCGTGAGGCATTGCAAATGGGTGGATGAGGTCATCGAGAACTGCCCTTGGATCGTAACCCCCGAATTTCTCGAGGAGCACAAGATTGACTACGTCGCCCACGACGATATTCCTTACGGCGCAGACGAAGGCGACGACATCTACCGGCCGATCAAGGAAGAAGGCAAATTTCTGGTCACACAGAGGACAGAAGGCGTGAGCACCACCGGTATCATCACGAAGTAAGTCAACTGTCGCCATGCTCACAATATAGACATGCGCTCACACGCAACAGGATCGTCCGTGACTACGAGAAATACATTGCCCGGCAGTTCAAGCGCGGCACATCCCGCCAAGAGCTAAACGTCAGCTGGCTCAAGAAGAACGAGCTCGACCTGAAGCGCCACGTCCAGGACCTTCGCGATAACATCCGCTCGAACTGGAGCACGACCGGCCAGGAGCTCGGCAAGGAGCTGCGCCAGTTCTGGCCCGCCAGCAGGCCGCAGAGCCCGGCGCGGTCGATGCTCCAGATCCCTAACGGCGAGATGCCGTCCAGCCCCATCACCGCTGCCATGGCCGGGCCTCGGTCGCCTGGCGGCGGCAACCTCAATGACTTCATCACGGGGTACTCCATTGGTCTTATTGGTGGTGTCAGGGGATGGGTGCGTATATTCTTTATTTACTGTCTGGTGATTGCGCATCTCATGCTAACGATATCCAGATGACCAAGAGCCGAAGATCAGTCCGTGACAGCCGCCCACCCAGCGACGATGAGTCTGAGAGCGAGGAGCGTGGTCGGACATCTGTTCAGGCCCCTTCTTCATGAGCCCACTCGCACGCAGTCGGCTTTCAAAGTAAACCAGGTTGGGTCTCTTTTCTGAGTCTCCTTTCTGGCTCTCTACGGAGGTTGTGCATGTATACCTAATGGCATTCATTTGAACATCGTAAAAAAAACAGCTGCTAGAATATTGGGCCTCAGGTTGACGGCATGATTCAAAGGAATGGAAGGTGGTTATGAAAATGGGACGAGGGTGGAAAAAGGGCAAACGGATTCCCGTCACATAATACCTTCGTGATAGTGAGCCGTGGCAGTTGAAGAAGGCTGTGTTATACATGACCTCAAGTACAAAAGCGAGAAGAGGATCATAAAAAAAACCCTCCATATAATAAGCGTTTGCCAACAGAGGGCTCGTGAACCTGGCTTGTTTGTGGTTTAGGCTCCTAATTTTTAGAGTCCCTTTGTACTCGAGCTGGACAGACCGCAACTCCCTCGTAAGGGGGTGGACCGTCGGGTAAGACGTCACCTCCACATATGGATCTGCAATCCTTCTGCAACACCACGCGCGAAGTTGCCGAAAGGCTGTTTGGGATGATGACAGGATGCGCCAAGAACAATTGATTGCCTCTTTGGGCATAGGGATGCTAATAAGATTTGCGTACACGCTTTGAAGCGTATAGCTTAAGTAACCAGCCATATGATCAATTACTTTGTCTTGAGGTGCTGTTTCGCGTCTCTACAGTTGTAGTTTGTTTTATGCCTCAAGATTTCCCTATATTCCAGGGAGTGCTGAACAATTAGTAGACCATTGTGTTTTGTGAATATCCTGCCTAACCATGCCTACGCTATTCAGAGAGTTGCTGAGCGTGGTAGAAGAATTGCCCGGATCTATTGAAGACGCCGTCCGATCAAAATATCAGGAGATTGTCCTGGCCAGCGCCAACAAGTTAGACGATGTGAAAAGCCTAGCTGGAGATCAGTCTCATCCTCTCCAAGTGGTCCAGGCAACTGCGGCACTGAAGGCACTGTTTCGGGAGAATGCGGTGATCCCTGAGAGCCCGACATATAATGATGTTAAACAAGAGAATTGGTGAGTCTGTCCCTTAAGGAGAATCACAAAAAGGAACTTTTCTCACGATGTTAGGGCAACAACTTGCTGGCTGCCCGCGGCCTGTATCGTTAAGGTTGATAATGCCGTTGAAGTGGCCCTCGCTTTGAAGATCATCACGTTCACTCAGTCGAGGTTTGCAGTCAGGGGCCGCGGCCACAATGCAAACCCGGGATTCGCAAGTGTCGGGCAATCTGGAGTCCTGATTGATGTCACGGGGCTGAATGAGATCAGCTTATCTCCAACGAAGGACACTGTCTCGGTCGGCGCAGGGGCGATGTGGGGTGCCGTTTACGAGAAACTAGAAGAGCACAGTCTTACAACTGTAGGGGGCCGAGTGAACGAGGTGGGAGTTGGTGGGCTCATCCTTCTGGGAGGCATGTCCCATTTCTCCAATCACTGGGGTCTGGCATGCGACAATGTCAAGAATTTTGAGGTGAATGGTAGAAATCCTTTATTGGTAAAGGATACTCACTCTTTTTAAAGATAGTTCTCGCCAACTCCAAGATCGTGCAGGCGAATGCGGCGGAGTCTCCGGATCTCTTCCGCGCTCTGAAAGGGGGCGGCACGAACTTGGGCATCGCAACCCGATTCGATCTCTATACCCACCCGGAGCACCGCGTTTGGTGCTCACTCAAAGTGTATAACGCTGCTGACTCGGAGCGGGTCATGGCAGCCGGGGTTGAGATCCAGAAGCGAATGGAAGAGGACGATCGAATGGGATTCTTTCTCACTGTCCAGCCTAACATGCTCATAGCAGGCATGCTATACAGAGGCAAAGCACCATCGCCGTCTGCCTTCGACGCATTTGATAGTATCGAGCCGATGGCAATTGCTATGCCCGATACAATGGGAACTCAGCACTCATTGGCTCAGGTACTAGGCACGGGTCTGGGTGGCCAGTTGAAGTTTGTTCCAATCCATTTGAGATATGATACTGCTGCTAAAAAAATTTCAGGAGGGAAATCGGGACTTCGACTGTGCGCCCTGATGCCAGTCTGTATGTTGAGCTGCATCGCATCCTCCAAGCAATCCAAGTGCCGGATTCTGTGACTATGAATTTTACATATCAACCCCTCGGAAAGGCAGCAGCTCAAGTTGCCGAGAAAAGAGGAGGAAATATGTTGGGAATGCAGCCCGAGAGCCAAGCATGTAAGTAAGCCGACTATTAATGAACGATAGCGTCGATGCTAATAGTAATGTTGAAGTCCTCGGGATAATCGGACAGTGGTCAGACGACAAAGACGACGAGGTCGCCGTGTCAGCAGTTCGGAGACTGGTCTCTGAGATCGAGTTTGCTGCCAAATCTCGAGGGTTGCTTCTGGACCTTCACTTCCTGAACGACGCAGGAAAGTCACAATCGCCCCTGTGTGGATATACTTCGGATAATATGGCTCACCTCCGGGCGGCTAGCCAGAAGTGGGATCCGGATGCTGTCTTTCAAAACCTACAGAACTCGGGCTTCCTTTTGCGTGAAGCGAAGTAAGTAAAGGTTTCAGCTTGAAATTCTAGGATAGTCCAACAGTCAACATATGCTATTTCATGGTATAATGGTAATAACGCTGGCAAGTCACGTACCTCAGGCAAATGCTGGAGTCAAAGCGAGAGAGGAAGATTAGAATGGCCGAATTTCACCTTCGTATGACCGTAATGAAGCAAACTCCCAGACACTCTTGACGTAGAAGGTGAATCAATAGCATCAGGTATAATCTATGAGTCGTGATTGAAGTTCCATGCATCAGTTAGGAAGCCATTGTTATCCACGAAGCCATCAAAGCTGTTGAAAGAGTCATTGAAGGCCAACCCTAGATACCCAGCCAAAGCGTCTTGCAGCATGGCTGATGGCTCTTCATCAGAGGAAGAAATGGGATAAGAGCCGTCAATGCTTTCCCCTGAGCTTGCACCTCCGATACCTGACATATCACCAACGGCACCGCAGAACGGTACCAGGGCATGTATTCCGGGTTGGCTCTGTCTAAACCGCTCGCAGAGAAGGTCGGCTTTAGCAGTCAGATCGCGTGTGACTTTTGCTGCACTGGCGGCGATGGCATAATTATTGCCTAGTATCTCAAAATTCCTCACGGCGACATCGATGTTTTTTCGTACCGTAGGAGTCAAGTCACTCCGAGGCGTATGCGGGTAAGCCAATGTAAACCCTATCATGGTCAATGCAGCGTTCCATTGCCATTGGAAAGCTTCGTGCCAGCCGGTAAGAATATCCGTTTCGGTGAGAACTTGGTGCATGATGTTGGTTATTGTCATTGCATGAGCCACGCAGTCCTGGGCGACCTTGTCGGTTGTTGGCGCACAGTAGTTTTCCGGAAAAAAGCAAATGAAGGGTCGGCGGAGATTCATCGAAAGATTGTGGTACAGCAACTCCAGCAACAACCTCTGTCTTTGAAGCCATAAAGGAGCAAAGATCTCGACATCCACAGGAGCTTTACTCGTAGAGTAGGGTTCCACATCACCCTTTCTTTTCGTCTTCAGTGCATCGGGCAAGTCCTGTAACCATACATCTATTCCCTTCAATTTTGAAAGCAGAAACTCGGCAGTTTCTTCCATAAGTTCTGGTCTTTCGCAATAAATGCTTTGAACAGCATGTTTAAGAACTCTTTCGCTCTCTATGCAGAAAGCTAGATAGCATGATCTTGCCTCCAAGATAAGCTTCACCATTTGCACACAATATGTTAGCCATGTGACATTTCCTCCAATATGTGCGAAGTTGGAGCTTGACTCCATAGCGAGTTCCGGATCATCAGATGGGAAACGCGTTGTCATCTGGGCTAGATTGGCTGACCAAGGACGACCCAGCTTCATGCACGTTTTGACTTCGACAGCGTACAATGTCCACCAGATTCTCTTGCGTAATTCTCTCTGAACCAAGGGCATGTCCTCAGGTGGTTCCAAGTGAAGGCCTAATATTTGGCCCGTCCGTATTGCCAGCGCAAGAGTTGTATGCGCCATGTTCTGAAACGAGGCGTTGCAGAGATAGACGACCGAAAATATGTGGCATTGTAGGGTAGAGATTGTAGGACTTTCAAGTTCGCTTGACAACAGCATTTGAGACCTGCGATACAGCCAACGACCAGCAATCGAGCCATCGTTACTGTCAACGTCTGTTTTGAATCTCAGACTCGCCTCACTGCGAGTCCTATTAGATACTCCAAGTTGCACTGTGAGTATAAGGATTAGTTCTCTGTTAATTCAACCTCTAGCTTACATGGTTTACTTACTACACAGTGCAAGAATGATGTCAACCAATGCAGAAGGCTTCCGCGTCGCTCTAGAAGGGGTCCAAAGCGATCTATAGTGCGTTCTGAAATCGGCTTCATCGATGATCTGGTAAGTGCAATGGTATGACTGCCAGAACAAGCCAAGGAAGTAATCTTCCTGTAGACCAGTCAGGTCGCTATAACATCGCGGATCACTCGCCCCAGATTCTCCTGAGCCTTCCTTGACGTCACTTGTAGGGCTCGCAAAAGATCTGCTGGCGGAATTTGGGATTATCTGGCGATCGGCAAGAGGCTGTTGAAAACAACTTTGCAGATGTGCAGTCAATCTGCCAATGAAAAATAGGGCTGATGCTGGACCGTACCACTGTGTCTGCGATGACTTGGCTGTGCTGGTGTGAATGCCTCCCCAGAGAACCCGATGTCCATGATCCTTTAATGAGTCCCATTCAAAGTCTGGTGAGGCAACTGGAGATACACGGGACGGACTATGCACTTCTGTTCTTGTTGACAGTAGGGTAGTAGAACCGTCCTGATTTTCAACCAATCTCTCGAGTTCTTTGACCCTATTTCTCAATCTTTCTATTTCCCTAGACGAGTATGGTTGGATCAGCTAGATTTCGTGAGAACATTGACCACTTTGACAGTCCATAGGGCTTTCTATCATTCCAATGTGCAGATATGGCTAGTAGGTCTGGTTCCCAACGTGACTCCAATAGTCTATGTACTGTCATAATTATGGCAGAAGAAGAATTGTGAGATACCCAAAATAAGGAATTTTTGCACAGGAAAGAAAAGTATGTTCTCTTTTTTCGATTGATGGGGAATAAAAGAAAAGAAGACAAACCTTAAGGCTGTTGGGAGAGTCCGGATCTCACTGGTACCTTTCGTGGTGCATTGTGCACCCCGGCTCTGGCAATTTAGACACGGCTGATTCGTGTCACACTTGATGCGATGTGCTCTGCAGTAATCACAGGCTCTTGCGACCTGGGCCCGCTTCGGTCTCGAGGGCAAGGAAGACGGGGTCCGCTTCGGCTCCTGGCCCTGCCTAGGATATCGCGGCGTTGTGCCCACGAACGTCGTGAACATCACGCCTACAGTCCAATTCCTGCAGTCGAGCAGGTGTTTCTAGAAGAATATGGTCCCGGGCTGATCGAGGGTTGACAGCCGTTCTGGGTTCGTAGGTACCGCGCCCGTGAGTTGTATTATGTAATACATCTGTCGTTAAGGAGCCATGCAATGACTAACCACCATCCCCATATATATACGCGCGGGTCTGGTAAGGTAACTATGGCTAACAGCGAGGTACAGTGATCGTATAGTCCTCTGTATGGAAGAAAAATGTTATTGCGGAGAGGAAAGTTGCTTGCCTTCTGTGCAGGAGGCAAAGCAGGAAGTCTACGCTCAGAAACTGGCCAATGGTAACAGCAAGCTCGAGAAGCCACTAAGCCGTAAGGAGTTTGACATTTCAGCGCTATGCTAAACTTAGTAAGGCAATTGCCGTTTGCAGAGGCGATTCCGAACCTCCGGGCACTTACACACAACCCGTGGTCACCAGGGAAAGGGGGCAAATAATGCATGCCTATGCCATTCACACATTCTCAAGGAGATAGGACACCACGGGGTCATTATTGGAAACCCTGTGGAGTGTGGACTATTGGGGGTTACTATCTTTACACCACACTGCGAAACACACTTCAGATCAGGGAGAGCCTTACGTTTAAGAGCGGGTTGTGTGCATGGGCAGTGCGCTGCTCTATCTTCAAGGAACGAAACAGGACATAATACTCGACAGTGACATATGAACCAAGGTAGATGCAAGGACGGACATGCTCATGCGGATCTCGTCTGATCCTCCATGGCTGTTCTTGGGAAGGATGTGTGGCCGAACCGGACAGCCAGAGGAATCAGTCAGGCGATTAACACTAAATTCGGAAAGTTGTGCTGACAGATTGCAGCTTGCCTTGATATAATTTCACTGGGTTGTGGGTGTGGAGGGCGATTCAGGCGCAAACCAAGATGTGCTGCAAGGCCTCAAAGGGCTATGTATTGCGGAGAGGCTGGGATGTATGCACATTTTAACATAAGTTCAGACTCTCCAGTCGCTTCACATTAAGCGGAACCATACGTCCTAACAAGTAGAAGCTACGATAATTGAACCGTAGTCATTGTTCTCCCTTTGATGCTGACCCGAGAGAATGTTTCATTAGATATGGTCGGGCGGACCAGTCAGCGAACGATGGGGTTGTCCAGGCACATTGACTGCCAACACTTGATTTATTCTTTCCCGGACTTCATTTCGAAAAGACACTGCGAAAATTACAACCACGATTTACGGATAATATTCAAGGCGTAATTGTAAAGACTTGCGATACGCAACGAGACATGATTGAACGATGACCTATATTATATGTAGAAGCTCACTAAGGCATTGGGCGACAGCATTCAGTCTCCTACATGTCTAACACGCATTTTATCTCCGTTTCGAGACAAACAAGATTTGCAATTGCAGTGTACGTAGATGTAGTCTAGATGCAAATGCATGATGAGCTGGAAATCGAATCTAAGGGCCATTCGTTCTCGTAGCCTCTAACCATCAGCTCTTACAAGCACTTAGTGACATGCAATGTACAAGCCGTGAAGATACGCAGTCACTACTCGAATGATTCAGACTGATAAATCACACACAATTGGGCAGCAGGTGAATTACAGAAACAATGTGATTGATAGGTCTGCTTTGGCCGCTAAGATGCTTTCGGAGTTGCTCCGGTTAGGGGAGATTTTGGACCTTGACACGGGCTTTAGCCTTAACTATCACCGGACGTAGATAAGGTATATATAACAGACTAATGTCATAGACGGCAGATTCGCAATACCATATTATTCAATCAATTCCGTATCACAAACAACATAGTTTCTCGAAAATGGGCCTTCCACAGACATACAAGCGAGCGGTTTTCAAGGAGGCAGGCTCACCGTTGACGATCGAAGAGGTCCCTTTAGCCTTACCTGGAAAGGGGGAGGTCCTCGTCAAGGTCGAAGCATGTGGAGTGTGCTACTCTGATCAGATGGCTCAACACGGAATGATGGGAGCGGGTTTGTAAGTGATTCCCACCTTGACCACACAATACCTTGAAGAGTCTGCTTGGTAGACTGATATGACTATTGGTGGTCTTGTTTGACACTAACTCTCCTGCTCTGACTTTTAGTCCTATCGTCCCTGGGCACGAAGTTATCGGACGCGTCGCTTCCGTTGGCGAGGGTGTATCTGCTTTCAAAATCGGTGAGAGAGTTGGCGGTGGCTGGCACGGAGGGCATGACGGTATGTTGTCCCCAAGACAAGGATGTGGAATGTGGCTAACTATGAACATGTAGCCACGTGTCTAGCATGTAAGAAGGGTCTATTCCAGATGTGCGACAACCGAGCGGTAAACGGCGAAACAAGAGATGGCGGATGTAAGTTGGCATCCCTGAATGTTATGATGAAAACATATGGCTAAATCTCTAGAAGATGCTGAGTACTGCAGGCTGAGGGCCGAAGCCGTAGCTCGCATCCCCGAGCATGTAGATGCCGCAAAATACGCACCGATACTTTGCGCAGGAACAGCCGTTTTTAATTCAATGCGTCGAACGAATCTGGGCCCAGGCTCAACGGTTGCGATACAATCTATCGGAGGCTTGGGTCACTTGGCAATCCAATATGCAAATAAGTTTGGATGGAGGGTCGTTGCGTTGTCCCGTGGCTCTGAGAAAGAAGCCTTTGCTCGAGAACTTGGCGCGCACGAATACATCGATATCACGAAAGAAGAAGCCGGGGAGGCATTGCAGAAGCTCGGCGGCGCCTCTCTCATCGTTGCGACAACCCCTAGTGCGGATGCAATTCCTGGCCTGTTGAAGGGACTGGGGTTGTTGGGGAAGTTGCTGATACTCTCAGGTGAGTTATCACATGGAAAGATGCGATATGGCACTTGCTGATAGCATTGACCAGTCCCTGGCGAGATAAAGGTTGACACTGCTGTCATGGTAAGGACATCCTACATAACATCACCGAAACCAGTGCTAACCTCTCCTAACAGCTTGCATACGGTCTGTCTGTTCAAGTGTGGCCGAGTGGCCACGCAGTTGATTCTGAAGAAGCTATTCAATTTGCGGAATTGGAGAACATCAACTGCCTGATAGAGACGTTTCCACTCGAAAAAGCCAACGAGGCTTACAGTATGTCCTTCGCTTTCTTGGTCCAATCACACCATTCCTAACGATGTGCCCCAGATGCGATGCTCAATGGTACTGTGCGCTTCAGGTCAGTGATCACAATGTAAAAGGAGGCAGGGGAGGAGCCTAGAAGCGATGGCAAGATTATTAAACCAGACCGCTCGACAACTTGAGCGGTGGTCTAAATACCGATTAGGTAGATAAACGGAAAACAAGGTCTTTCAAAGGTGGCAGGTGCATGACTTAGTAATGGCTCTTTTTGCTTCGGTGACTGTCCATCATTCATTGCTGGTGATGGGAAAGGGACGCACATGATCGTGCACGTGGCTTCATTCCGGGAACATTGGCGGGCCTCCGGACTTAATTCGATGTTGTGACATCGATCGATTTGCCCCGCTGTGACTCCCGGCCTGATCCTCTACTCAATCCTCTTGGGGTCCTCCCATAGGACCCTTTCAGCTTTCATTATCACTTAAAACGTCGATTTCGATATCCTCAACTGTTTCCACAGCTTCTAGTGCATCCTGACGGTGACAAGGGTCTTGTGCCTTCCAGAAGGTACGCGTTGACCCCCAAGTGCTAGCATGGGAAGCATGTGTCATCAGCCATTAGACCGTGGATACTGACATCGCGGCCCAGTGAACGTCACATCAATCGCTGCGTCCGACAACCCTCGAATGTCGTCGGTCCATCGTCTTTGAATGCTGGACTGATATACCCGTTAGCCATAACATGTCGACGCCGTCCAACCTGGGCAAGTCCCTGTCGGTCCAATCATCCGCATCTCACTCGACCGCTCCACCGGCCTCAATTTCCTCACCAAGCTTCGAATCAACTCGCCGATCGACGCAAGTAAGCCCATCTTACTCGCAATCTATACCGAGGAAGGGACAAGCCTCGAGAAAGCAACATCGAAATCATAAGAAAGCCGGAGCGTCAAGAGATCCAAATCGTGTGGACGACGATGATGCGATGGCGGAAATCAGGGCAGTTCGGAATGCTTCGAGTCGTCGGGGCCAGACTTCTATCACTCATTTGATGAACTACTCTCTACCGCCACGCCACTACCTCGATACACATTCCAACACTCGTTCTTATCGGCGAAATCCAACATGGGGCCCTGGCTCCGGGTATCATGCAGCAGACAAGACTCGATATGTCAACGCCAACTATCGATTTGTCGTGTCGCCTAGGGGAAACTACTCTAGCCAAGCTGCCGACGCAGATGAACATCTCGACTGGTCGGATGTGTTACAGGTGCTCGCTTCCACCGAGTCGCAAGCAACCTCGTGTCCTATTTGCCTTTCTGAACCTGTGGCCCCGAGAATGGCAAAGTGTGGCCATATTTTCTGTCTATCCTGTTTAATCAGATTCATGAATTCGAACTCCAATGACGATGCTAACGGCCCGGTGCCTGAAAAGAAGGCAAAGTGGAAGAAATGTCCTATATGTGAGGACAGTATCTACATATCTGAAACTCGTCCAGTACGCTTCTATGCTGGTCAGGAGAGTCCTCTTCCCCGACCTGGCGACGATGTCGTTCTTCGCCTCATGATGCGCAACTCAAATTCGACTCTGGCACTACCTCGAGAAGGCGGAGCTGACGTTCTCAATTCTGGGGAGGAGATACCATGGCACTTTGCTGCTAACGTTCTTGATTACGCAAGGATAATGAAAGGGACCAGTGGCTATATGCGAGACGAATACGACAGGGAGATTCAAGATTTACTGAAACAAGAAAAAGAGGATGAACTCCTCTTTCACGAAGACAATGAATGGACTCAAAGAGCGATCAAGGCGATCAATGCTGCGAAGGAAAAAGTCAGGGATCTGGGCGAAGTTGAGGTAGCCTTGGCTAATGCAGCCACAAAATCCACTCCTCGACATTTTGAGCACGAGTTCTTTTTTTACACCTCGCCTCCACATCTTTATCTCTCTCCGTTGGATATCAGGATCTTGAAGACAAAATATGGCTCATTTGACCAATTTCCTTCAACTCTTCTCCCGCGAGTCGAGCATATTTCTACGGGACACTCCGTCGACGATGCTCTTCGAAAGCGGGCGAAGTATCTGGGCCACCTTCCTTATGGGTGTCTCATATCTTTCCTTGAATGCGATTGGACGGATATTGTTCCCGCAGAGATCTTGGACACATTTAAGGACGAAATTGAGCGGCGTCGCAAAAAGAATCGCGATAAGGCTGCTCAGGAGGATCGCGAACGTATCCAGGCTGAACGTCTCGAGTCGGCTTCATATCACCGCAATCCGGCGAGACGAGCAAATCCAGTCGATGATGGTTTCACTTTACGATACGGTTCGGATTACAATTTTTCACCAGATCGTGGGGTCAATCTAGACGATTTCATCCCGCTTGGGGCCGAATCTACAACACCCCCCAACCCTCGGCCAGGCTTCACCCATCTAGCTTCTATGTCTACAAGCCCCTCAACACAAAAGACGGTCTGGGGAACTCCTGCGATACCTGTCTCACCAACTCTGATTCCTCGTGAACCGCAACGTGCGGCTGATGATGGGTGGCTCAAAGATGATCAGTTCCTTGAGTCTCTGGGAACCGCAGAGCTTGCGGTGCAAATGGAGGCGCTGGATGTTCAAGAGGCTGCGCAACATGTGCCTGTGCCTAGTGGGGGTGGAGGAAAGAAGAAAAAGAAGCAAAAAATTACCCTTATGAGTACTGGCAGTAGAAGGGGCCAGTGACCACCATAGTATGAACATCTGCTTAGGGGTGATTAACCCTTGACGATGTTCCACCTTTGGTTCATATTACGGCAACATACGAGTTCGGAAGTTGCTTGCATTAGACAATTTCGGGAAGCTTGCCGTGAATGAGTTTACCAGTTCAGACCTCAAACATCCAACTGAAGATTTAGAAGGATGGTGGCTGTGTACTGTGTAGTATGGCTTCGTGCAATGTCTTATCTGTAGTAGAACTCGCGATTGGACTCAGTAGCCTCAACAATCGAGAACAATTGCTAAATCGTTGCAATTAACAAATAGTTTTCTGCTTCAATAGGCGATGAAAGACAGCGCAATAGTTATCAAGCAGATCTTGAAGTGAACTACTGTGAAACGTTCGCATTTCTTTGTAAACTCGACAATGGTTAAATCCCCACCCTCGATCGAGAGCTACAAACCGGACGAGAAGCTCCGGCACAGAAAGATCCCTGGGCAATACAAGATACAAAAACGAAATGATCTACGCAGCATAATACAGTATGCCCTGGGGTGAACGGATGGCAAATATATACCGAACTTTAAGCAATGCCATTTGATGTATTATGTTGGTCTCCACCAAAAAGCCAGAAAAGCGGCAACCTCTGGACTCATCCATTGCATCATGAGTATGACATCATGGCTTCGTCAGGAGGCACCTTATATCACCACAAGGAACAGAACGACATCTCTTTTGATCCTAGATTGTACAGCTAAATTGATCAACTCTTTATACTGGTTATCAAAGGTTCTGAACTCAAAAAAGCAGCCACTCAAATAAGTCAACATGGTCGGAAAGGCAACTAGTGAAGGCCAGAAGGTGAGTAAGGCTCTTTATGCATATCATACTGTGATGTCCCCATGTTGTCCTACCACCGAATTTTATAGGGGGCTGTATATGAATAGACTAATACTTTTATTGACATTTACCAGGTCAATCTGGGTCAAAATGCCCCAATCTACCAAGAGGGAACCGGCAACGTAGCCTCAGACTCGCTTGCCGCTGAGTCTTATCGCGAAGGTGGCGAGTTTGCCTCAAATCGCGAGGCTGCACCACATGAGACCGAAACCAGAGCAAGACAGACAGAGTATGGCAGTGGACCTGCGTCTACAGGCAACACCTCGTCAGGAGGCATTCCATCATCTGAGCAGGGACAAGCCGCCCCGACATACGTCAACAATCAGTTCACCCGCGACGAAGACGGTCCGCATGGCAAGAATCTGCACGAGGGTGGTTTCGCCGGGTCTGGGCCAGGCAATAGCATCCAAGCTGAACCGGGATCAAAGCACGATCCGGCAAGGCTAGCAGAGCAGAAATTCAACTTGAAACAGACCCATCAGGGGACTGGTACGGGACCGAGGCAGGCGGGTATCAGTGGTGAGCAGACTTACGATGCGCTGTACCCAGAGACCTCATCATAGATGTATTTAGTCTACGGCAGGATTAGCCAAGTGATTGGCGAATCAGATGTCCCGCGATAGTTCAGAACGCAGTGCGACGTTGTCTTCCTGACAGTTCCATGGCAAGATATTTTGGGCTCTCGGTTGCCTCACGATGAATCAATGTTCCTAATGGTGTTTCTGAATGATTTTCCCAGCTCATCCTGTCTATAATTGGTGTGCACTGGCACTTTCTCCTCACAAGTCTTTCCTTGTCACCCAGACAAGCCCCTTGAAGGCGCTTCTGCCAACAGACAGAAACTAGATGTTTAGCTTGTGCATCTTCCTTCGTCAACAGCTTCACCCATGAGAAAATATGGAGGCTAATCCACAATTGATCGATCAAGTAACAAACTTCTGTCATATGTTTCTATAATCAGTGCTGGAACTACCAGCTGCAGGAGCCACACGGTTCAGAATGACCAAAACAAGTGAAAGGCATGCACCTGTTCGTCCGGCTCAGAGAACAGGTGGCCTTGCCGGAAGAGGCGCTCCCCGAGTAAAAACCAACACAATGATGCTATTCAGACCTCCACACGCAACTTGCGTGATGACTGCGCATGAGTGTGTTGTGAAGTCCAAATCCTTCTTTATTTGGACAGGCTGGGTATAATAAGAGCCAACAACGGCGTGTCCGATGTTGCACCAGAGAAAAGCTTAAAGAACGGGAGTTATAGGCCGATAATGACCAGATCTCAAGTTTGTTGCCGGTAGTTGCACCTAAAGATAATGATTGGCAGTATTTTCAGCGTGATGGCGTGGTGTTGCCCGAGCTGTATGGCCTCTGATGCGCGCGGTTGACAATGACAGACACTCTTTTCTAGAAGCGCCTGGGGAGCTTCGAGGAGCCTTCCAAATGTGCAAGCGAGGGTTGCAGTGATGCAGTGATGCTGTCCCTGCGTATAAAAAGCCACACTGGTGGTGTTGGATAGACCCGATTTGGAAATAAAGTCCACGCGGTGGAAGAGAGATGTGCAACGACTGCCCAGTTGGTTGGGCCTTAGCCTGACCGAATTTGGCACCGAACGACGTTGTAAATAGTAAGCTGCTGTGATAACGTTAATTCGTCTGATCTACGCTGTGGGTTGGCATCCGTGCATAGCATAGCATGACATGGCATGGCATGGCAGCGCATGGCCGCATCTGTGGGAAGGCTCGATGGTACAGTAGATCAAGGAGTTCCCAGGACCTCTTAATACTGGGCAGGAAGGTGACATTATCTACAGATTGCGAAGACGTAAGTGAATTGTTCATGCTCACGCACGCAATACACCTCAAATCAAATCTGAAGTACATCATCGACTCGACCGTTGTCCTGGAAGGAGGCTTGGTAGCCTCGGTGGGGAGGTTGCCCTTGTTCACTAAAAATAGATTTTAGCTCCCCTTAGCCGCTCACCCAGGCTTGCAGATGCACGAAACTGATAGCGCGGGAAGGAACCACCACCTCCACCACATCCCCTCCTCGTCACCTCCACCCATTCGATCACTCACTCACTTACTCCTTCAACCCCTGCCATACCAATACCGAACCGCATCGCACCATATCAGCGAGTCCTATGCTACTTCTCCGCTAACCACCGACCCCAAACAAGCTCCTCTAAAGCTAAAGTACCTTACTTTAGTTCATCCGCCAGCGAAGACCTCACCACGCAGCGATTAGAGCGAGATACCCTGTCTAGATTACAGTACCAAGAGCCAAAACAATGTTTTATCTTTTACCATCTCCGGAGCACCCCCAGACTCTCCGTGCGTGCGTGACCCAAAGATACTTGATGAGCACCCATCGACAGGCTTCATCGAGGCTGAGCCAACCATGTCTGCAGTCTTAGATTAGAGTAGAAGCGTCATGCTAGTCAGTCAAAGACTTGCCTGGCGAGGCAATCTCTCCGACAGACTTTTCCTTATCTGTGGATGCTACTAACCTCTATGATAAAGCTATGATGAATGGATTTCCGAGGAAAAGAACTGGGAGGAAATGAAGCGAGGTTGCGACCAGAACGCGGATTTTGATAGCGAACTGTGTTGTCATCCATGTCCACATCCGCGAATCCGTGACCCGGGCGGCAGATTTGAGCTGGGAGGCACTGCACTACGAACTACGGGTGGAAATAGGCGCCTCCCGCCTTTGCCAACACCACACCCATCATAATCACCCCAGCTTAGACTCGCCAGCCCCCCGGGTGGCTGTCCGTTACGCTCCCGATAATCATGGCTGGTGCTAACGCTCACTACACGGTGCTAACGTGCGTGTCTTATTCATCAAACATCCGGTATCTAACGGTTCCGATTGCGCCCCCCGACGACACCGAGGAGGCTTTCGCACAGTCTCGTAAACGCGCACACAACGGTAGCAAAAGGATTGCATCTCGTCTGTCGCAGATGCAGGTCATCTTGCCCACTTTGATCTGAATCGGTTTCTCAAAATCACGCCCCCAATCTTCGGCCTTCGCAACCTGCCGAGTCTGGCCTGCCGAGCACGCCATGGCTGTTTAAGCCTCAACGGACCCCAAGTTTGAGGCGGAGAAAATGCTCGCGAAAGCACGAGAATGCACTGTAGCGTCTGTTTAAACGCGATCATGTCACGACTTGTGATGCTATCGTCTGCCGGCTGGGCGGGGATCATCGCGATAACGGCCCTTCTTTTTCACCCACGACGTGATGTGTCTCCACGGGTGTCTTTGGGCACACGCCCGCAACTTGCTTGAAGACCAGGGCCAGGAGTCAAAAGTAAAAATAGGAATCTCACGGTAAATGGCGCGGAACCGCCATACCCAATGGGGCTTCGAGAGGCGTCTAAGCCCCCTGCAACTCAACTGAGTCTCCCCACTAACTTAGCAAACCCCCCGGGCCTTGCCTACGGCTAGCCAACGGGCCACACCGTAGGGAACGAGTTTCTTGGTGCCAGTTAGTGGCCCAAGAGTACCCAGAACATCCCCCTGTGATGGCTCCCACCCGTCGACCATGCCTCCTCTCCGGGCCGTGCTATGCATGATGTGATGCTTGATTGGTGCTGCGCATGACGGACGGCATCGAGAGGCGTCCACCACAAGGAGTCTCCTGCCTCGAAGGAGCGATCTTCACGAACAAGCCTTCGCCTGTTCTTTAGACAACATCCCGCGAATCCACTGAAGGACCTCGCTGGCTCTGCCAACACCCTTGGGGAAATGAAACAGCGCGATGCTGTTATCTCCTTGAAGAACCACACCATCTCCTCCTGTGCGCTCTCCATTTTCGATCCTTTCCTCCAAGAAACGGGAATAGCTCCATTCATGATCGTCAATGCTTTGACATTGTTATAGTAGACCCGGCCGAGAAGAGAAGCAACTTAAGGTTCATCGTCCGGGGCTAAGATGATTTTCACCCGCGCGGTACGGTACTTTAATCTAGCATTGAAGTGATCTAATAGCCACTTCAAGCGCGGACACAAAGTACTACCGCGTGCGCAGACATCATGTATACCTCAAAGTCTCTGTTACTCAGTGCGACTCTATGCTGAGTGGCTTCGACTAGACAAGACGTCATGACATGGCTCTAACCATGGACAAGAAGTCAACTCCAAAAACGGAGCAGAGGAGAGAGAGAAGGGGGAGACAGTCAGGGGTGTCGCCTGGTGTCCCAGAGGTATCGCTTGAGAAGATACAACTCCAGTACAGTAGCGCGCAGGGCCACATAAGCACAATCCCATCGCGTTCAAGGGTGGGCTGGGCCGCATGCATGCACTAACTTCGGGCTGCGCCTCTGTCAGACTGTCGAGGACCACTAACCATCACCCACCAGACCCGTGCAGGGTACTCCCGTGTACGTCCAATAGCAATCGAATCCAGCGGAGCAGTGAAGAAAACAATCCCGCCTTTTCGCTGTGCTGGATCAAAGTACCTACAGCAAGTCCCTCGATACTCCGGTCGGTATAGCTGGTTAGTTGTCTGCATCACGCCCAGCTTCTCATGACGTGCGGGCACGAGGACACGAGCACCCATTCCACCCCATCAAGAGCCGTGTGCTCCTCATTTTATTACTTCTAATTATGGCACTTTCTAGGTCCTTACCTCCCATGCCAACGCTCAAATGGGACAAGTTAGGTCTCTCTTGCGGGGGGACACTTCTCTCTAGTCTGAACCCGGAATGGGACATCGCGGCCACGAGTTGATGTACAACAAAGTCAACAGTCATCAACTGCAAGATGATGATCCAAGCAAAGCACGGTATCTGCGACTTTGCTCAGCCTGCCGGTACGCATGTCAGATGTGTAACTCTACTCGGGACAAAATAGTAATGGGGCCCATCTTTCCGTCGCGCGACTCCGGGGAGGAGTACCTTGCATTCTGGACTGCCTACATGGCACCCATGTATCCAGCTGACATGGGTGCTCCTCGAGATTTACAGCCTCCCCCAAAGCGGAACCTAAGCCTTGACAGGCACCACGGTTTTGGCGTCCGTCCATCTGTCGACGGTTTCCATACTTTTCTTGTCCAAGTTCAAGTCCAAGGACCATCTCAATATAGCAAGGCCACTCTGTTGACCTGCTAGCCTGGCTATCTTTGTACCAAAATCCCAAGTGTCTCTTGGTTTCACCGCGCATCGGGACTCTCTATCCTAGACTTCCTCCACCTTAAACTGGAACTTGACCCCAATGCAACTGTAACTCCCAGAAGGCTGAGGCTCGCTTCTGGCGCTTTTCTCCTCACGTCGAGGCCGTCTTTCCTCGAACACACCCCTTGTCCTCCACATCTTACCCTTCTTCATGGTTATTTCGATCCTCTCACGCTTTATTTATCTGGGCAGTTTCAGCCGGGCTGTGTAGGATTACTAACTTTGTCCTTCTGACTTCCAATTTGAGGGTCAACCGCCATGGCTAGCATCAAAGATATCATGAACGTGGATGCCGACCAACAGGGACCACCCCATCCAAATAATAAAAAGGATAATAACTCTGGTACACCCGCTTCCGGGACCCGAGGTCATGACCCTTCCACGAGCTCGGT